AATTAACCCCCCAAAATCCGCAGTCATAAAAGTCAAAGATTGAGATCTGTCGCCCACACAATCATTCACAGCCTTCTTGAAAGAACCCCTCACCCCTTCTTGACACAATTAAGGAAAGATGGAGTGGGAGACTTCAACTTCCAGGATGTATAAACTTTTAACGGCTGATTTGAAGATATAATGGTGACAATACTGCCTGATTTATAGAGGCACTTCTTTGAAAAGCTATGGCTTTTTAATTAAGATCGTCTAGATTTATTCGTAGTCCGAATTGAACCCCCCCCCCCTTCCCGCGGGCATGCGCACCGCCCGCTCGACTTTTATTTCTGTCATTGCCTGTTACAGCACCAAAAATGGTACTGAAGTTCAGACTCGACAGGCCGTGCATAATCATTCGCATCACCCATGTAGAACTGAGCTCTCAGACAAACACAAAATGTTCGAAATAGTGGGAACAGTATAACGGACCACCTTGATTGATTACATGAGAATTCAGCCTGTTTCTTCGCATTACTAGTAGCCTCAAGGTCGCCAGAGTTTTCAGTGAATTTGGAGACCTTGTTTCTTGTTCAAGTTGGCGTGAATTTGGAGACCTTGTTTCTTGTTCAAGTTGGCGTCTCAGAACCATCACTTTACGCTTGCTGTTGGATTTATAATAAGAGCAATTATTTTTTGGTGAAACGGTGAATGATTTTCTCGAAGGGAAGGAAATTACAAAATCTTGAGCTTCTTCGGCATGTCTTTTCATCTTTCTTAATTGTTCTGGCGTTGGTTCAGATGTGAACTTGTGAAGTCCAAAGTGCTCTTTTGGGTGCATATTTCAGAACGGCCAACAACGAGCCGGTTGCTGGCCGTCACTTGTCAGCAATCAATCTTCTCGTTCAGGAAGCAGACGGGGAGAAATTTCAACCCTGAGCGGTGACCTAGACCTTGCGGATTAAGTCCGCTAGTCAGCTCACGGCAGCCGTGTAGACCCAGGAATGTCTAACATTAATCTCGAAAATTCTCACATTTAACCGCGAGATTTCATGTTTTTGTAGGCCAGGCCCTATGATTGAGACTTGTCGTGAGAGTTCGCGTTCGCAGAATTGGAATGTTGACTTCCGCTGGTGATCCGTGTTTCTTGTAAAAAAGATTTAAAGTTGACTAACAGCTGACTTTGTTACATCACCGACTGCGCAATCCCTTGGCAAAGATGCATCAAAACGCGTGGGCCTAGCTTCATGGCTCCGAGAAACATTTACTATAGAATAACCTTCAATTTTAAGGTTCGCAGAATACGTGGGCAGAGAGACACACGCGATGTGCTTGTATTTTTGGCGCACTTTTCTTATATAAAGACACAGGTGATTCATGTACAACCAATCAGTGCACATGCGACGCCCTTTGTCGTACGCCGCGTGGTACCTGAAGGGCTTTTGTGCTGCCAAAAAGACCGCCCGGTGTGTATTTGTTGCGAGGTACAAAGCTGCCCCGCCGAGGTCCCACCGGCGTGGTTTCCGGCCAGGTTTGAGGGTGTACCACCCCGCGGTCCCCCGCCGCAGATTCAGGCCTTTCCCCGCTGTCCTCGCTCGACCTTCGCAAGTGTAACACTGTTCTGTGTTCGTGGGATCTATATTAAGACTGCGAAATTTGTTGGGCGTTTCGACTAATTTGGTGATCATTTTTTGGTGAACAAACGTCCTGTGAGCTATTGTGGGACCACCATATTAAGCAGGCAATTGTGAACAGTTACCAGACTTTGTTACTGATCGTCTGGTGGTCATTCATAATATTATTTTGTACTGTTGAGATTGTGTAACGTGAATCTTGCCCATTTCAGTTGGGTACCCGAAATCGCAGCGTTTCCTTTGCAAGACCAAGGCGTCATCTTGATTTTAAATATAAGTAAGTTTGTAAATGAGCAAGAGTATTAATAATCTCCCTGCAGACACCGTTTCCTTGCTTCTGAAGCACCTGTCCGGTTGCAGACAACGGTATGCATGCGACACTGAATCACGCTCTAAGTCTGTCACAGATTTTTTTTTTGTTGCTTTATCCGTTCTTCGATCGGAAGTAGGTTTTACAATTGTTCAGCCGCCTCTAAAAATCAACCAGTGGCAAAATACAATGCATTTGAGGAATTGATACACCCATCCTGTTACTGTTAGTTGAGTTAAAATTCAAGCCTTGTGTTGCTGTAATGCGGTTCTGTTAACACAAGAAAATCAGCCGTTCGCGTTAAGGAAGTGTACGATTACACAAGAAGCCTAGCGTCATCAATTTGCAACCAGGAAAACTTGAACTTGTACGGGGACTGAAAATGAGTCAAGAGCATGTTGAGCTGAGCGAATTCAAGGCCACCTCGCGCGGTGCCTGTCCGCGTTAATAGGCCCGTTGAGACCTCAGTCTGCCTAAGTCCCGTAGACGCCAGTCAGTAATAGGTTACCATGCGAGCACGCTGGGGGACGACCGGGGGACTCGGCAAGTGCTATTGACCCCTGGCAGACATCTCCCTGCCCGAGTGCCCGATTTGTCTCAGTGACGAATTTGAAATCAGTAACGCTCGGGGTGGCTCCTGTGCATGCGCGAACCGCTCGAGAGTAATTTGATCACGGGGGAAGTCTCAGCACGATACGAGGTTTAGGCGGCAGCAGACTTGTCATGGTTATGATTAAAGGATTTGTTTGGTAACGCCCCCAGTTTTTGGTTCGATTTCAATCACTTGGCTGGGGTGGGAATAGATAAGCCTGGAGTAGTTTATTTTATGAAGGGAATATTCCCCGGTTGTTTTTTTGGTGGAGTGATGTAAGGCTGGCTGATTTTAGGTTCGTGTTTAGTCAGAGTGAATCTTCCTGTGGGTCTAATTGTGCCATGTTTTATTTCCCTTATCCCACGAAAATGATATTAAGCCAATTCCGATTCATCATTTACTGTCTCATGGCCAACAAGAACTATCGGAAAGGCCCTATCGCCACATGCTGTATTTACATATTGCGCAGCATTTTCCCCACAGAGTTATCCATAATTATAAGCAGGTGAAACAGTTTTAGCAATTTATGCATTAATCCCCCCAAAGGTCCTTTAACACGGCAAAAAATTGATGGGTGACTTAGGCCTACTTTATAATATGAAGTACGGAATTACTTGTTAGTGCTAAAATCTTCGGTGTTTGCCCCTTTAAGGAAAGTGAAAACTGATATTGAAATATAACTTCACACACCCTCTTTGATGAGCGTTGGACACCAGACTTTTCACCAACCCTGGATGGGTCGACATGTGAGGTCTCCCAACCCCATCAGAAACCAGACTTGTAGAGCGATTAAGGGGTCGCGGCGTTCAGTTTTGATATTATGTGATAATCAAATGCCACTTAAGCCCCACATGGTTACTGGGTTTTTTTCTTGCCATTTTTTTCTTCTTCTCGTTTTACCGGGGATGGCGGGAGTCGGTGAGCGGAGTCTGAAACGCTATCTGAGGGGAGACGAGGGGCTTGGGAAGCGGGCTAATGAAGTTAAGGCCTCCGCTGCTGGAATCTTACAATTTGGGTCAATGCACTCGGTGTCTAGGTTCAGTTGGTGGCTTCTAATCCCAGGGCCATCTTTCTTTTTATTGCCTAAATGAAGATGCACTTTTTGGAGGGGTGGGGGTGGGGGGAATTTGCTGGCAATCACAAAAATGTTTAATTTGAATTATGGGGAGGCGTGGCGTTGAAATTAACTTTGGTTGCATGATGAATTAGTAGACGTGGTCGTTCCGGAGATTTGCGATTGAGGTTGGGGCTGACAGTGATCATAAATAACTGTTTGAGAAGGAACATTGTGGGACACATTTTAGAGGAGGGTTAAGACCAAAGTTTCTACCACAGCTTCATATTTTCCACTAAGAAAAACAACAGTCGCTTTTCTCTAAATCTTCAACCAAACAATCCAGATGTGCAAAAAACCGTTTATTGAACATGACAGCTTGGACAGACACGGACGATGACGAATGTATTCCCAAAGAAGTCTGATTAATAACGTCTTGAATTTCTCTCTCTCTTTTTGTTGGCTCCAAAAGTAGATGTTCCTGTTTGTACCAGAGTTGATAATTTCTGGCGTAGAACCATGTGACGAAGACCTTTGCATGTTGGCCTACAAAATGGCTAAAGGCCGGGTGCATTGACACACCGCGTCTATAACTCTAAGCCCCAATTCTGAGCTCAGTCACCAGGCCTATAATATAGGCCATACCCGCAGGGCTCACGGTATATAACGGACCCTTAATACCAGTCCCTAGATACGAGGGGAAAAAACAGCAAATTTAGACCCTCTTGAGCAGCTAGGGCCTATCCCTTCGGTGTCTTAATCTCCCCAAGAGTCGAGTCCAGAGGGTTTGCCTAGTCTAGTTAGGGGCACCGGCTTCGTTACCTAGTTTTGCAGAGGCAGCCGGGCCGTCTGCGCCAGACATTTTTACCGGAGGGTTTCTGGGGCTATGCACGGTGATTGTCCCCTCTCTTGGTCTTGTTGTCTGGACGGATTGATAGCTTTAACGTCTGAGGTGTAGCCCTGTCACAGTAACCCGAAAAAACAAGTTTGAAATCTGGGTGCGAGTGGCCGCCATCGGAAACGAGGTTTTCATGTCAGCTTTGGCGTTTATTAACCCACTGCAGTGAATTAATCAAATTCCCGCCAGATCTTTGAAAAGGATGTATCACTTTACGATGCATTGATTAATTGTAACATGTCGATTCAAACCTTTGTGGCTTTAATTGAAAGTCTGAGAGGTAAAAGCTATCGTCAAACATGATTGTATAGACTTGTGTTTTACTATAGTTTCAGAAGACAGACATTCCTGTTTTCTCGAAGAACATAAGTGCAATAAATTTATTTCAACAGCGTAGCCTAAACAACATTATTGTGGTCAACACCCAAGGCGAGACCAGGGTGTGAGGTTCATGTAGACGTCAATTCAATCCTTAAAAGGTTATGGAATCCCCTTCATGATATCTTTTCTATTTTACGTATTCCTCCTCGATCCAGGCAAGCTACCGGAATGGCTAGAAGGAAGCTTGATCAGGAACGGGCCCGGGCTCTTCGAGGTCGGCGAGACCTCGTACCAGCACTGGTTCGATGGCCTCTCCCTCCTCCACCGATTCAGCTTCCAGAAGGGCAAAGTCACATACCAGAACCGATTCCTCCGTAGCGACGCCTACACCAAAGCCAAGAAGTACAACAAGATCATCTACGGAGAGTTTGGTACCATGGGCATCCCGGACCCTTGCAAGAACATCCTGGAGAGGTTCGTCAGTCACTTCGTTCCCGTTAGTACTACCGATAATAACCTGATCAACTTCTACAAGATTGGAGATGAGGTATATACGTCGTCCGAGACCAACACGCCCATCAGAATCAACGTGAATGATCTAAGTACAGGACCAAAGGTGAGAAAAGATAACCAGACGTTGTAAAATGTCTTCTGAAATTTTGTATAAAATAACAGTATTTGCTTATGAATTTCATAGAGCTTGCGTTGACCAGTGCACATTTTCCTTTTACCATTTTGTCGACAGTCGTGATTTCATTTTAACCGAGACATCTTCGTTTTTCCCCCTTCACTTTTTGCGTTTTTGCTACAGATTGATTTGTTTGGCGCCTTTTGGACAATGACCGCTACTGCGCATGGGCAAGTCGATCACGATGGCACCACGTACAACGTAGGCACGTCGTACTTCACCGGGTGTAATTATAATATCATCAAGTTCAATCATAAATGTAAAGGTAAGATGGAGTTCTTAAAGTGCGCAGTTGCAAATTCTCCGCCTAAGCTCTGTCTCAAATCTTTAATATTAATGTTAATGTTATTCCACATTGAAGATGCATTTCTTTAAGTTTTGATTAAAAGTAACCATTCATAATAATGACTGATTTCCATCAATCCCGTCTAACGGGTCATGAGTTTGTGATTGGTTAAAAGGTTTTTACACAATGCATTATTCATGACCCATTTCCACCAATCCCGTCCAAAGGATGCATTTCTGATTGGTTGAAGGTTTAACACAATGCATTATTCATGACTCACTTCCGCCAATCCCGTCGAAAGGATGTATTTCTGATTGGCTACATGTCTACACATGCATGATTCATGACCTATTTCTACCAATCCCGTTTCCCCTTCCGCGCACAGAAGACCCCACCAAGTCCGCCAAGATTGTTTGCACCATCCCGGCCCGCTACAAGACCCGTCCCTCCTACTACCACAGCTTCGGTATGACGGAGAACTACTTCGTCTTCCTGGAGCAGACGCTCTTCATCAACGTTCCCAAACTGGCCACCTCTGTCCTCCGTAAGATTCCCGTGTGTCAAACCTTGGAATACGACCGTACGGACACTTCTCTCTTCCACGTCATCCGGAAGACCACGGGGGAGATTCTCCCGGTCAAATTCGCGGCTGGTCCGCTCTTCGGCATGCACATCGTCAACTCGTACGAGCAGGACGGACAGATCGTCTTTGACATCTGCTGTTTCCCTGACGACTCTCTCATCAAGAAGTTCTACCTGGAGTATCTGAGACACGGGGACCAACAAGGAAAGAGGAACTTTCCTCGTGCCCAGGTGCGGCGGTTCGTCTTGCCCATAAACGTGGACCAGGTGAGAGCTAGCGAGGTTTAAAAGCTGACGCTTGGTTCGGCCAATTTCAAATTCAGCGAGTTACATTCATACCTCCCCATGCTATAGGTCGTTAGCAATGTCGTGGTCTCCATTTTCATAATCCGTTAAAATGGCGATCGGTGAGAATCTTAAATCTTCCTGGACGTCTTCCACACGTTTGGATTGTCGCTAGAATGGAGGCAGTATAAGACTATAATAACAGATAAATCAAGATGGCGATTGCGCTGTGAAAATGATTCATTTGACTTTGTTTAGATTTGGGTTTTGTGGTTTAGTTTTACTTCCGTTCGGTTGAATTTCAAGAGTTCTAAATTGTGTTGGTTTGGCATTAAACGAAAATGATAAGGGCCGCTTCGGTTTAAAGCAAGAACCATTTTCCCCTTCAAATTATTTATAAAGGATTGTTTGCTTGTGTTTACAGAAAACAGCACCCCCTGGCGTCAACCTCGTGACCCTCCCAGACACATCAGCAACAGCAGTACTGCAAGATGATGGCGTCATCTTCTTGAAACACGAAATCATCTCTCCCATAGGTTAGTAGTCAGTCCTCTCTCTGTCTTCCACACCTGAACCAGACTAAAGTGTCCAAATATCTTAGCTATTGTCTAAGTCTTTGGCAATCACAGCTTCGTGAGAACATGCTGACAACAGGCCAACTTTATTAGGAAGTTACCATGACGTTGTATAGTGTTTCTATAAGCCCGTGACATAACTTTGCTGAGTCCACGATTTTAAGGTTCGGAGCCTGAAATTATATTTTGAAGTTATTTGGTAGAAAGTGTACAGATAAACAATACTCAAATTAAAAACCACGACTATAAGCTTACCCTTCCACCTCCAAGGAAACCAAACTCCACTTAAGACGATGTATTGTTTCTTAAAGACGCTCAACAGAACTTCCCACCTTTTTATTTCTTGTACAGGTTTTGACATGCCCAACATAAACCAACGCGTCAACGGACGACCCTACAGATACGCCTACGGAAACTGCAACAGAGAACTTGGGGAATTCGTGAACACTGTAAGTACAGTCTATTTTTAATATCTTATTAACATAATTGTAGATTTTCATAAAGATATTTATGTTTGGTCACTGATAAGTGAGGGAAAAAAAGATAGGCATTTTAAGGTACAATTTTGTTTTAGTGATATACATGTACTGGGGTAACTGAATAATGGAAAAGTCATGCTTACTAAAGATTTGAAATTGATATAGGTCTATTCTAAAAATAAGTCTCTCTTTTAGTCAGCTATAATGAAAGTTAAGACATCGGTTTCAAAATGATTTTATGTTTGCTGTTTTCAGATTGTCAAGGCAGATGTCAAAACGAGAAAGTGCGTGGTGTGGCATGAGGAGTATTGCTATCCGTCCGAACCCGTGTTCGTCGAAGCCCCGAATGCGGTCAATGAAGATGATGGTAAATATTGTTATTTTTAATTCTGAGAAACAAAGATCAACAAAACTCGAAAAAGCACTTGCTTCTTGAAAAAGCCTTTTGCGACAGTAAATCTTTTCGATTTCCATCTTTCAAGATTATCAACTTGCTTCTTTTCATTTAAAAGGCAGATTTCAGAATTTAAGTTGTTACTGCTTCTATTTCAGCCTTAATTCGTAAACTTCCTTTTTCATCCGCTGTTTGTTTCCCATTTACGGACGCATCCCATTTGAGAATTACCCTCTACTCTCTATTTCTGTTTCAGGTGTCATTCTTTCAAGTGTCCTCAATTCGCAGACGGGCAGAGCCTTCCTACTCGTCCTCGACGCCAAAAACTTAAAGGAACTCTCCCGTGCCCACCTTCCGGCTGATGTCGAATGCCCTCTATCATTCCACGGACAGTTCGTGCACTGACGAGCCCCTTTAATTACCATCTTGGTATACAGCCTCAACTGATATGATTCCATCTTCAGAGGGTCCAACTTTTCTTCTTCGTTTTTTGGTACCACTTGGCTGTCCATACGTGTTTCTATTTATCAACTTCTGACTGATGGAATGCCACGTGGTACTTTGTACAAAACAGACTACCCGAGGACAACTACTGACATTTGAATTAAGATAATTTTGAACAAAAAAACACTTTAGTTCCAAAATCATTATGACTGATTTAAGCTACTTTGTGCGAGTCTACCCAACTTCACTTGCTTAGAACATGGCAGCTAGGCAAGTTAGGTAAACATTTTTCGAAGCCGTAACATCACCCTGTCGTCTGAACAAATAGCTGCTGAAATAGGTCTACTGACCACACAAATATATGACTTTCACTGAAATAGTCGGTGTCCGCGGAGTGGACACCGGTAAGCGGCCGCGCCACTGACTTGGCTGCCGTTGGAGGCCCACCAGTCCCATACCTGCACGCTGCTCGTCACTCACGGTGGGCTTCGGACTCCAAACATTTTACCTCAACCAAACCAGGCTGTGGTTCCCTTTCCTCTTGCATACTCTCTAGTTCGGTCTAGTTCCCGTGCTCACCGTGAAAACCACCAAGATACATGACAATCATTCCAACAAAGTAGCAACCAAACTACATGTGTGTATTAATCTCGTGCATGGTACGCGGCAAATTGCTTCAAACCTGTGATTTGAAGCTGAGTATAGTTTTTTTTTCAGATTCTGCAAAACTGAAAAAAAAATACAGTGCTCTGAAGGATATTTTTTTCGGACACCTTTTTTCCATACCTCAAAAGCAATGGGTGAAACTCAATAATGTGGGAATTTCAAACGGAGGAAATAACATCAATGTTTTTTATTTGTGCTGCTTAAGAACGAAAGATAGGCCTATTGGTTATGTGCAATATTAACTTAAATTAATGATTATTTAAAAAAAGAAAAAAAACACTGCCAAAATAGAAGGATTAACTTTTAACTAGTAATTGATAAATGGCGACGTCGCTGGTGATCCGGCGATGCTATATTAGAAATGGAACGTGTTGAGCAGGGTACCAGGTTTTATGATACTTGATAAACTAGGTAGATGAGCTGTGTGGTTTCTTTCATAAGCTGTATGTGCGTTCTAATCGTGTTCCCAGAAGAAGCGGTAAATTTCAAAGGCGAGGTTCGGCATTTCATCACAGGTATCGGTCTATTTTTGGCCTCGGTACCTCGTTCAGGTGTGGTTCTCAACTAAGTTGTTTTACAGAGGCCAAGATGATATGCCGGGGGGCTTACACATTCCTTCCCATCTCAGAACTGTACCTGTTTGTCTACGAATCTCGTATTAGTCTCTCATATGATTTAAGACCTTTTGCCAAGACGGAGATATTAATTAAACAATTAATTTAAAGTACTTAAAGCATAAATTTAAGATATTTTATTCTTTGCTAGCGTCTCTTTAAGTTGCGACCAGGGTATCGAAAAGTAGTTCAATATTTGAATGATATTTTCGGTTGTGTATTCTCTATTGTCCTTATCAATATTGATAAGAAAATAGTGTTTACTGATAAGGCAAAGTTTAGAAGCACGAACAAGGCAAACTTCAGAAACTACCGGTTCATTGTCACCTTGCTGGTGGATTGTTTCTGCAAACTTTGTGGGACCTGGAAGTTGTAACGTTGACTTTCATCCAGCGTCACCAGCGAAACATTAGTGTCAAGTAGTGGGCCTATGACTGGGCCCCTGTTGGCAAAGCACAAACTTTTTCTAAGCAATAGGTGCCTACTTTTTGACTATAAGCTCTATGAATTTTTACCACTGTTTGTGTTCATTGAATGTTTTTTGGTGTCATTCCGTGTTTGATGAAATTTCCACTCCGTATATTAGTTGCAGTTATACGGAGAAAAAGATTATTTATTAGCTTTCAAAGCCATACTGCAAAATGCTCAGTGTGGTTTTCGTTAAGTATGACACTATTACTTATTAGATGCTATGCTGCAAATAGAAAACAAAAAGTTGTGACATGAATGTTTGAAATTGAATTTTGGTACATGTCTTCGAATTAATTAACTATAATGCTGCATTTATCATTATTGGTTAAACGTTAGGCGACTTCAAGTTTTCATGTCTTAACAAAAAGTATATTGTTAACCAACTGTACGTTTGTTTGCCTGTGCCTTGTATTTGCAACTCAATTGGACACGCTCGATATTTTGCCAAACTTAAGATGAAGTTATATATTATTTATGGAAATAGGTTTGTTAAAAGCTGTGATGTAGCGACATTGTATTATTAGAGCAGGTTTATTTTGTTTATTTATGAATGTAGCAACTCAAAGTTATAGAGAACTAGCCTTTTTTTGGTCTATTTAATTCGTTAGAGATATAAATAGGTAAAAAATAATACAATGTGAAGTCATTGAATGAACTTTATATCGAAATTTTCATTTTATGCAACATATATTGTTTGTTCTCTGCAAAATGCGACTGATTGTCATTGATGGTGACTTTCGATCGATAAAACTTTTTTTTAAACTCTAATGATAATTTATTCATTATTGTTTTCTGGAAGTTTATTAGAGCAAAGTTCAAGTTCAAGGCTCCGATGTACCAGGAACAGACAATGCTTAAAATCAATGTTCAATTGATAAAGGACTGAACTTTGGATATGAACGTTTAATATGGATGACAAAGCTATATTAATAAAAGGAATTGCTAACCATGCGAAAATTATCAGCGCACGAATGTCAGATTTAAAAACAAATATTGTAATTTTTCAAATTCAATTTACTTTGTAACGAAACAAAAATGACGGTGGGGAAGGAATGTCTCAAATCTCGAGATACATTTATTATTATGCATTGTAAGTATAACAGCTACGTGCCTGATACACTTGAACAATTTATAAGTAAATAATTAGAAATATGTATTTTTCTGAAATATTATCACTGCCTCGTGTGTCCAAAGTAAGAATTGGACACCTTTATTTTGTAACGATACCATCTTAGCAGTTGGACGATTTTTCTCGGATTTTGTGAAGTATTATGTTTAGGTTTTGATTCTCAAAATCGACTCTAATATGCAAAATTCGATTATACCGATGAACAAAACCGTTTGTATTCGGCAGAGTCGGCATTCGAATAGGAGTCTTGAATGTATCTTGTATATAAAAACCTTAAATTATTTATATGCTTATTTTGATGATGTGGTATCGATAATAAAATTTGTATCGAAACCGAATACTCGACCGTCGTCTGCTTCTTTGCATAAGTTCCATTACACATCGCGCCATGAGCCAAAGTTTTTTGGCATGTAGAATAATAAACGCCTGCGAGTGATTTACCGTAATAACACCTGCAGTCAATTTGAGTGTAGACAGTGACATTGCTCAAAGTCTGCAGTTTCCCCTCCTCAAAGAAAACCACAAATTTATCTTAACATCAACTTCAAGAGTTTTACTTTTTCCCACCCCAAATTCTACCGGTGTGCCGACGGCTCCCACCACTACACACTACATGTGATTAACGTCACAGACAGTTGTCAAGGCCACCCACGTGTCAAAGGTCAAGTTCAAGACGACAGAGGGCGGGGCCCGGGTAGCTATTAGATTTCAAGGTTGGGTGATGGTGTAAATCTCTTTGATTCGCAGATGGCGGGAAGATTTACGGCCTTTGTGAGTGAAATCGCCAAATTTCAGCGGCTTTTCGGCCCTAAACTTGTGTACCAGTCCTCCAAAGAAGAGTTTTTTTACACCACTTTTTTGCTCTCTTTTATTTTTTAATTCAATGCTACACTCGTACATCATTATTCTGAATGGTTGCCAATTCAAAGAAACTTGCCATGTGCAATTTTGTCTAAATTTCTAATCCATTTTCGCCCATAAACACCAAAATGGCTCTTTGTCGTTCCTCACTTTTACAAACTCCCGTGTTATTTTGACGTCAACTTCCCCATGTTTGCTTAATTGACGATTTCGCCGCACACGATTTTAGGCACAAAAAATACAAGCGAAATTATCGGGGAAAAGCCTCTTTTCTTTGCCGTGCAGATGCGTAATAACAAGCCAAATTTTGAATCAGCCACTATTTTTGTTCAGGCTTGTCTTGCATTGGCCGGTTTATCGACAGAGCACGTATCGTACGTGGTGTGTGATCAGGTTGCAGACCAGTAAATAAACTTCCATAGACCCCAATGGTAAATGCTCCCACTTCAGAAATTCGGGGAAAATACTCACAACTCTCCAAGGTGTTCGAGACACACATCAAACTAAAGCGTATTTCATCATCTTTCATTTTCTTTTAAATTTTTGTGGGGTCAACTGCTGACTTTTAGGAGAAATTTCCATCCGAAGATGATCACCCATGAAAATAGTCCTGAAGCCCATCGCCATTTTGAAAAACGATGCCTACACTCCATTGCAAAATAGAGCGCTTTAAGGGCCCTAATTTCATACAAACTTGAATGAAACTACAAGTTCATAGTCCTGTGCACGGCTTCCACCCATATTTTTTACAAACCCTCAAGTTCATGGCCCACAGCATGCTCAAGCAAATCGTGATTTGGCCGGCGTAGGCAATTTTGGACCGATTTACTGGTCTGCAAACATCATAGCGCTTAGTCTGGTGACTAACTCTTTATACACAGTCTAACTGTACCACAACGACTTACATATGCCTGGGTACGATACCAGTGAGCGCGCCATTTTGAAAGTTGACGGCACATCGTGCAATTCGCAAGAGAGTCTTCAGAAACGTGAAGGAAGTGCTCTGGTTGCAGTGTTCAGTTCTCCACTATATGGAGGAATATTAAGAACATTAATTCTTCAGACGTGATCTTCATTTTTGATAAGCACAACATCGCTTCATCCCAATGGCAAAATAAGGTAAACTTTTTAAAGGGCTATTTGGTAACAATGAATTCACAAACTATTTACTCATGGTTATCCAGGCCTGCATAACGCGTAAAGTCTATGGGGCCCAGACACAGACATATTACAAGTAGTCTTTTGGGGAAAAATGTTGCAACCTGACGCCACTCTTTGCTTCATATATCATCTCAATGAAGGTCATTCATTGCAAAAATGATGATAAGACATGAATCTCGGGGACTGGGACACATTTCCAATTTTGTTAGGAAATACTTAGAAAGTTTTCTTGACTCTCCATAGATTTTGTACACTACCACGGAAGTGGCGTCAGGTTGCAACATTTTGTTTCTGTATTTTGGCCTAATTTACGGGGATACATGTATATCAAATTTACACTCGAGAAAGTGTGGAGAGGACTAGCAGAAGTCTAGTGTCTGGTCGGCAAAAAAATCCGAACCCATGGGATAGTCCAGATGTGAGATTTTTTAGGGTGGTCACAGGGAGGGTGGGGGGGGGGGGGGTGGATTCCACAAAATGACAAAATACATGTGAGATTTATTGGGGAATGTGTAAACTATCAAACAAGCACTATGCATCCTCTTACATGAATCATGTGATGGTATTTAGAACAGCGGAATAACGGTGTGTTTGAATGCAGGTTGTTTATGGGAAGTGGGTACCGAGTTTGACTGCTGTTGCGTCAATGGGCAAACAGCTGTTCACGCGCTTTCCGATGCGTGTGGGCTTTTCTTTCTTGAGATTTTCTTCCCCAGTTGTTGGGGAGAAATCCAGGGTAGCGAAAAGGGGTAGCACAAGGGTGAGGGCGTGAACAAATTCCTAACATCGTGAATTTGCAATTTCCTAAACACATAATGAATTTTGAGATGGGCATTTTTCCGATACAGGGTTGTCTTTTTGCCGGTCCCAGCAGTGGCACACCCCCCGGGTGGGGAGGGGGGGGGCAGGTTCCCCCCCCCCCCCCCTCTGGATACGCCACTGTTTGGGAGGACTAACTACAAGCCCAGAACGTTATGTTACTTACATTGAACTGTCGACTGTCATCGGCGGAAACAATGCTCGACTTGGTCTCACTGATCTACTGGCAAAATCGGAAAGTCGGGATAGGCCTATTGACTAATTTCACGGTATCGTTCATCTCACTCTAAGCATTTGAATTTCTTTCAATACGATAAATTGTCATCTGTGAGGCCCAATACTAGAAATAATCATTAAAGAGTTAAAAGGAAGAAATCAAAATATGTTCACTCAGTACCGTACGAAATGTTCCGCTATCTCGAGATCTCATCTATCATAGAAGCACCGTGAGAAACTCGGATTCTTAAAAGTGCAACGATCCAGCTGATAAGACGGGTCGCATCATCAACTATCGATGGAACTAGAACTAAACCAGATCTTGAAGGGAACAAACATGGAAGATTGGAAAGTCGTTTCGAAACAACTTTTGCTTATCATCCTGACAGATAACTCGTTAATGCAAATACAAAAATTGGGGAAAAAAACCTGTTGAGATCCAACATCTAGGCCAAGAATAGATAAAGCTTTATCAGTCGTTCGACTGGAAAGGTATTTATAACTTGAGTCACGTCATTGCATTTCAAATATCGATATTTGACGCTCAATTCGTTCTTATCTTAATCCCTATTCATTTCCGATTGTGCTTATTTCAAGGTTAGCTGTCAGTAAAATCTGGCTAGATGATGAAACATTTCCGTCATTTCATGTCACAAAACTGAAAGGAATATATTTGGTAAAGATTCAGGACAAACTGATAAGAAGTCGGGTTGATATGCCCAGGTGCCAGCGCGTGATGTAGGCGGCTGGCCAGGTTTTAACCAATTGTTCTTCGGTTCTGCTTTTTCCCATCCACGTCTGAAATTATTACGAAACTTTTTTCTGCTATGAAAAATGACACGTACAGTAAATGATTGATGGGGTTTAGGCCCCCCCCAAAAAATATTCGGTCGCTGGTCAGACCAAAGTTCCGGAATTGACGCGGCCACGCGGCTTTTTTTCTTTTTTTTGGTTCAAGCCTGGATTGTACAGACAAGGTAGGTACTATTTTGCTTTTTTGGTGTCCTCATGTACATTGGTGTCCTCCATAATTTGCCTTGGTGCTGTCGATCATTTGCCTTGGTGCAATTTCCCATTCCTTGGTGCTCTTTGGTAAAAAAAAATTGAGGAGGTGCGGAAATAGAGGGCGCTGTTGGAGCTACCGCGGAACATTTTGGGGAAAAAAAAGATCGACGCGCATGATTAAAATCGACGCGCGCGCTGACCAGAGACCGACTTTTTTTTTTTTTTTGGCCTTACATGCATATGGTTCAGATATGGGAGCGAACGTTCACGTATAGGCCTAATAGATCAATTTTGAGTTTGAAATTCGTCGAATATACGTCAATTGTCAACCAGACGTCTTGATTGAACATAAGTGACACAAAAACGTAGTTATTTCAGCCAGTGTTCAACGTAAAGATCATCTTATTTTGTTGCCTTATTTTCAAAAGACAAACTTGCGAAAGTCATAAAAAAAGAAATTATAGGCCTATGTTGTCTCTGCGATCGGTTGAATCAAGTACACATTTTTAATGCGAGGCAATTTGGTTCATAAACAAAACTACAGAAACACCTTAAAATAGTACCTGTGAACTCGCATTGAAACACACACATACATCTGCCAGTTCATTTCTTCTGGTCCTTTGGTATTTTTGGCATTTTGCACTATTTATTTTTGTTACAAAACTACAAAAAGTCACTTTTTTTGTACTACAAGAAAATCTTTCACACTTTTTGATGAATGATAAGACATTATGGTTTCGCTTACTTTAAACGATTTAAGACTGTTTCGTATACACATTAAAAACTTGATCAATGTAGAAAAAATAAACAGTGACCTCAAAGTCACCATGTATAGGAATTATAGTTTTTGAAATCTCTTTTTTTTTTAGAATACATTTTGCATAATTGATGAACCGCAATATGCCGACATATGAAATCCATGGTTTAAAAGCACTTAACAATTTGGTCTTGGATAAGTCACTAATGGTAAAAACAGCCAATGGATTATCTGCATTCTACGATGTAGTTTATACTGAATAAAAGTTTTCTTAAAGATTTGGTGACCATTTAGGTAACTATCGGGTAGAAGCCCCAACTAAAAATAAACATGACCAAAAACTAGCAGGAACCTTCCCATTACCAAATGTCTTAAGTTTACCGAATACATTTCACTGAAACTCAGATATGTGATGCGATCAAGCTAAATGAGTCGTTTGTCGACCCTGGTCAATTTTTTTTTTTTTTTACAGATTTGAAAAGAGCAGAATCTCAGCATTACTGCTGTGGAAACCGCATGCTGGTACCATCTTTAGTTCAAAAATTATGGAAGTTGGAACACTAAGAAATGTGATGAAGTGATGTGATGAAGTGGTCCTATTTTGGCCTGAATCTCCAAATGAAAATTCCCGACAAACGACTCATTTAGCCTGATCGCATCACATATGTTGAAAATAGTTTGGGTATATCGGGATATAAAATAGTTTTTATTTACCAAAAAAAATACCAGTCAGGCTTCTTCTCTGTTTTAACATTTTGAGATGAATGCATTGGTTGCATTTAGAAATTTCAATGTCAGGTGTATTTATACCCAGTATCTGTATTAAATGTCAAATGTAGGGTCTCAAGTAATGCATACATATGAGGGGCAGGCTTGCTACGTCGTGTTCTGTTTTTTTAAGGTGACGGCTACCTGACCTAAGATCTACCGGAATAGTCAGAATCTTTTGGTCTGGGAACCAGACTAACCCCTGATCTCAGTTCTGACTATCTTTTGCCCAGTTTCCCTTTCAGTCTCTTCTTCATAGCACCGATGTCATCATCATCGTCGTTGTTTCTCCTCCTTCGTCTCCGGGGGGCTGGGCCTGGGATGCGCGGTTGGGGAGCCCTGCTGTCCTCACTGTTATCGTCATCATGATTTCTCCTCGATTTCTCGCTGAGGATTTGTTGAAGCTTGACAATATCCTTCCAGATGAGTATATTGTAACCTAAAAAAAAATATTACAATGGCAAAAGTTGAGTTTTTTGTTTAAAGTAACCGAAAATTTTTAACACCAAGAGAAATAATTTTATATTTGAATAGATAGTACATGCCAAAATTATTTCAAAATGTACTCACAGTGATACTACTGTTATATTTTTATGAATGAATGCTGTTGAAAATATTCAAATGCAGAGTTCATTTTCCTCTACTTGTAAGCAAGGTCAATAACTTCCATTGGGCAATATAGACATTTTAGATTTTTTTCCCCTGTGAGAGCAAAATGTATAATTTTTTGGGTTCCCAGGTTTAGCTTGAATCTTTGAGGGTTGAATCTTTTGAGGGTTGACAGAGTATCAACAACGACAGCACAAAGGGCATTTGGAAGATAACAAATAAAAAAATCACTTAAAAAAGAATCGTTCTTACCCATTCCTGATGCCAAACTGTCTCCGGATGGACTGAACTTATTCAGCTAGAGAGGGGAAAAAAGAAGACGAAAAGCCTGATGTAATCTTTCCAATTCATGAGGTCACTATGATCTGTTGAATGCAAACATGATTGGTTAAGATCATGTCACATGATCATTTAAACGCATATAGGATCTTTTGCTTTTCATGCATTTTGTTCGTTTCCAATAAAAACACCACTTAAAATCCAAAGAAGAATGTTCAAAACTTTACCTGTTGAAATTTCAGTTCATTACATTTGTCGAGAAACTTGTGAAAAACCATGCATAACTTTTTGATCATGAATATCATTTCGTCCACGACACTCTTTATTTCCAAAAGACAGTCAATTGACTGATCGTTGGAACTCGCCTACATTTCTTGATTTCTTCTAAATGACAGCAAGCCAGACGGAATAATTTCACGGGGTGTTTAGTACCAGTACGATCTTTAATCCAAGTGAGCTTTTTGATAATAATTCAGTGGGCTACGTTTGGGATAAATGCAAATGATCATTTACGTCTTTAAACTACACTTAATGAAAAGATTTATTCACTCACCGATGCGATTCCAGAGACACTAGGATCCAGCAACTGGCAAACCATCTCACCAGTGTTTGCGTCAAAGACATCAATGCTTCTCTTTTCCCCTTCGCGGTAACCAGGAAAGTTTTCGTCAGGGTAACGGCCTACGACCACCAGGTCATGAAGCGGATGCCATGTTGCCTACAGGAATGGCATGGAAACAGGACTGATTGAGGTCATTTCAACTGCAGTTATGGATAGTTAAATCAACGTGTCAATACCTAACCTGAAGCCAAAGTATTGCGATTTGAACATAGACATACATACAGTCTGTGTAGCTTTCCTGATGATTACGTTTTCTACTGTGTTTGAAAGAAGATTTGTTCAACGTTGGAATAATTTGGAATATGCAAGAGTGGGTTACTGCAAAGTCTTGGATACTGAAAGATTCAGGAAGGTAGTTATAGCAATATACCATTGTCATGTTGCGGCCATCTTGATTTTTTTCCCCATTCAAATCAACGGAACCAAAGCGAGGCTGGAAGGAAAAATAGTCTGGTTCCTTTTTGCACAAAAACATTATCATTCAGCACTGTTATTGGATACAGGGAACATGATTGAAATGGTGGCAGCATGATAAAGGTCTATACCATGAGTGCTAGGGCTGACCGATGACCTGACACCAGGCAACCCCTTCAGAATAAAGAAACAAAGAAAAGTTCTTTCAGAACTTAAAGCAGGACTGTTCTTATCAGAACTAAAAACTTCTTAGCAAAAGTTGATAATTAGCAGGACAAGTTCTTATCAGAACTAAACATCTACTGAGCGGCAGTATTATTACCACATGGTGTTCTCGCAAACCGAAACGATACAGAATAAAGAATGATTACAGATATCATTGGATCATCCTTTCAGATTTTAAATTTTTTTCTGCATTTTATTTTTGTTTACCTTAATAGGTGTCAAGTGCTGGAAGAATCGGTGAGGATGGGCAATGGAACGTTCCATTCTGTCCCACAGGGGTGCTGCGTAGATCCTCAGTTCTCCATTCTGGTCTGTGGTGAGTAATCTTGTACTGTCAGGGCTGAAGTATGCTGCAAAAAGAGAACACAAATTTTGCAGGGGTTTTCATTGTGTTTGATGCGTTATACTTGAACATTTGAGGATTATAATGTAAGCATCTTTCTGATCATCTTATTTGACAATTTTTGTTTGGCTTTACTTACCTGAGTTGATGGGTTTCTTGTGGTTAAGTACAAAGAGGGCGCTCTTTCGATCTGTCATCATTCTCAGATCCCAAATTTTGACTGTGTTGTCAGTGGAGGCCGTTGCTAGGAGCCAGTCACACCTGCTGTTGAATTCGCAGTGGGTGGCTTTGCTCTTGTGTAGTCTACGCGTCCACAGAGCCTGCAGAGGAAGGACAGAAGTCGGCTGCTTTGTCAATCGAAAACTTTGTATCCAGAATGCCGGTCCAGATATTCTGTGGACATCGGAGTTTCAATTTATCTCATCGAAGGTAACAAGTTGCAGAGTCATCATACATCATCAAAAGTCATCACAAGTCATCACGACTCATCACAAGTCATCACAAGTCATTACAAGTCATCACAAGTCATCACAAGTCATCACAAGTCATCACAAGTCATCACAAGTCTCACAAGTCACCACAAGTCATTACAAGTCATCACAAGTCATCACAAGTCATCACAAGTCATCACGACTCATCACAAGTCATCACAAGTAATCACAAGTCATAAAAAGTCATCACAAGTCTTTACAAGTCATCACGACTCATCACAAGTCATCACAAGTCATCACAAGTCATCACAAGTCATCACGACTCATCACAAGTCATCACAAGTCATCACAAGTCATCACAAGTCATCACAAGTCATCACAAGTCATCACAAGTCATTATAAGTCATACCAAGTTATCACAAGTCATCACAAGTCATCACAAGTCATCACAAGTACAAGTCCTCACAAGTCATCACAAGTCATCACAAGTCATCACAAGTCATAACAAGTCAGTACAAATCCATACAGTCTGAAGTGAAGTAACAAACTATTCAAATGAACTATCAAAACCGATTTCTGTTTGTCATCCCGTACACATCGACACAACCTTGACACATCGTCTTGTGCAGCTCCTAAAGAATTTCTTTACATAACATGTCTTTTTCAACTCTGTACGACGGCCCTCTTTCCATGCTTGCTCATAATTACTGACAGCTACATTAGATTTTCATATACTGCATATACTGCAACTCCTTTCCTTTTCCCAAAAGGCAGGCTCAACTTTATTTCAACAGCTTGTGGAAATTGTCTCAAGACATCTTGTAAGTCATTGCAAGTTCTACAACATTTCCTGAAATTATTTTTATCATGTCGCAAGTACCCACAAAAGAACATATAGAATGTTCGCAATTCCCTTGCTTTAATCCACAGACTCTGCAGTATAAATTAGAAACATTGTCAGCTTTAATTCAATTCACTTGTTAAACCAGACTGTTTCAAAATCATTTTACCTTTCCATCTTTTCTGTCCAGCATGGTAAGATTTCCAGAGTTATCGCCAGCTATGAGCAGATTCCGTGCATAGTTGACACTCAAGCTGCAGTACCAGTGTCTGGAAACAAGAGATGGAAAAAAGAAAACAGGGTTACTCCCAGGATTGAAGCTACCGATGAAAATTGGGATATTGCTTCAAGAATTACATGAAATAAAATAGGGCAGGAATATAAACTGTAAGCCTCTATGAGCTGGTGAGGAAATTGAGTTAACTCAATCTTATTATGTCATAAAAAAAACTTTATTGAAATTCTTTCTTGACCTTGAAAACCTTCCTTAGGAGCCTAGGCTCAATATAAGACTTTGAAAATGCCCCCCCCCCCAAAAATAAAGGGTTTATTCAGTGGCAATTACATTTCAGTGAGTATAATGAAGCAATGGCATGTGCAAGGGCTGAATCTTGTCTTAGTAATGTGGATGTTCCTTAAAACTACACAGTGTTTTAGTACTCGTACTCTGTACTCGTACTCGAGTACTACTCGAGTACTTTTTTTGGAGTACTCGTACTTGTACTCGAATGTCAAAGTACTCGTACTCAAAATGACGGTACTCGTACTCGGGCAGCAAAGTACTCGTACTCGACACGTCGAAATTGTACTTGATCTTTAAAGTACTCGTACTCGAATAGCAGTACTCGGGGGGAAAAATGTTACAGCTTACCATGGCCTTATTTTATCAATACTTTCTGTTTGAAATGGTTGATCGGCTTGTGGAGAAATTGAGATATGCCGATTTTCCTTTGAGCATGTCCGGACAAACACATTTAATAGCTAGCCGTGAGTGGGTCGGTATATCGGTCTGACTTGGCATGGGCCAATTACGCCGCATGAGCCATTTGCCATATGGCCGTTTTCTGAATTACTCGTACTCGTACTCGTACTTGTACTCGGAAGTACAAATACTCGTACTCGTACTCGTACTCGGAAGTACAAGTACTCGAACTCGGAGACCCGTTCTTGTACTCGGAAGGCAAGTACTCGTACTCGTACTCGGCAACCACTACAACACTGAAACTACATTCACAGGAAATATCTCAGGTCATGAGAATGGGTTTTATGTTCAATCCTTCGCAGCTACTTACTCCATATTATGGGTATTAAGAAAAACCTGCCGGTTGCCATCTTGGCCCAAACAGTGTCTGCAAACTGTCCCCTCATTGGACGATGTGTAGACCCCACTTGGCTCCATGAGGTCAAAGGTCATGTTGGTGATGGCTCCCCCTTTCCCAACCTGGTGAGTTTTGGTGGTCAAATAGGTTGAACAAAAAAATCTTTAGCAAAAAGTGAAAGACTAAGGATTTGTTAGCCTACCTGTAGTCATCTGTGTTCAGAAAGACGCGATGCGCATTTTGGGATTCACCGAAACACTGTCTGCTGAAGGTACCGTTGATGGAGGTGGAGTAGATGCCACTGGGGTCATCCAGGTCAAAGGTCATGGCAGTCACCGATCCACCCTTGCCTACCTGATTAGTGGTGAAAGTCATTCCATGAAACTCCATTCGAAATACAACTGAGACGCACTTTCATTTAAAGGGCAAATTTTGTCAAGTTTAAAGATTCAAGATTTTTTTTCTGATTTTTCCACTTACTCCCTTGTTGAAGTCAAACTTTGCTGCATTTTTATAGTTCCACATCACCATATCGCCACTCTTTGACGCCACCGCTAGTGTCTTTGGAAGAGTTGGGTGCCACTCGAGGGCTGTCACCCGCCGATCAAATGGACTTGCCGTGCTGTGGATCCGGAAGTTAACAAGTTGCTGAATGTAGGGCTGTACCACTGCCTGTAATAGGGTTTAGAGGTATGGTGCTGAGCAATACAATCACAAATTTTGGCTACAGATAGTCAGGACATGATTTGGTGAAGCTTTTTGATCACATCAATAAAAACTGTTATTTTAAGAAGGGTAAAGTTTTGGGCACAAGGACCATTCTGTGAGTATGAGTAAGGCCTAATTCCAAGTATTATTTTTTGGTTCTACTGATGGAATTTTTGTTACTTTTTTGTGTGTAATTTTTCGAACAAAATTTACATGTAGTATCCGGATGCCACTTTGATTGTTGTGTACAAAGTTTATGGGGAATTGTGAAAAGTATTTTGTGATAGGAAAGGTTCCTCAGTCGGAAATTCATTTTTCTTTAAATTATTTTGAATAACTGACATGCACTGAGGTTATTTATGATGAAAACATGACATCAAGATACTACATTCTACCCTAACTTTGTCAAGACTGTATACCTGCTTCAGTCTGTTGCCTTGAGAAATGCTGAGGGATGCGTGGTGCAGCCTGTGTACCATGTTACAACTGTTCAGACCGAATGGATTAACGGCCGGAATGTTTGGGGGTTTAAACCCTTCTGGCGTCTTCCAAGTGTTTTCATTGATGTCCGTGGCTGATTTCTGCAAACTTCGCTTGGTAGATGAGGCTGTTGGTTTTGGCTGGTGGGAAATTAAAATTTTCAAATAAAATTCAAAACACATAATGTGTTATCAGTTTGTTGTTGATACCGTTACCATGTTACAAAAAAAGTATAATCTATACGTAAACTACAAGGTATGCACTGAAATTGCTTTGCAATATTTCACTGGCATTTTCGTTAGCGTTGGCATTTCTAAAAATGTGGTTTACAACATTAATGATGATCCTTATAGTGTTTATTGGAATCAGTACTAAGATATGATCCTAAAAATCAAAGAAACACATCATGAAGTATAAACTTTTACGAAACAATCCTATTGTAAAAATCCATGTTTTAGAAATACAAATTTTGATCCACCTTCTCATCTGGCAATTTTTCTGTTGGCACTTTTTCATTGAAGTTCTGAGTTGAAGACAGTGCAGCTGTTCGAGACCGTAGCACACGCCTGGACAAAAGGTTCTCCTTTTGTCTTTTTTCTTTCATGATTAACACTGGGGAAAAAAGGTAGAAGGACACAAATTCAATTATTAGGAACTGAGTGTAGTTATCTAGGAAAGATTCCCACATCTGGCCATCACTGACCCTGTGCACAAACCGTATGTATTATATGAGACTGGTCTGAAAATTAAGTTAAATTAAGTTAAAAGTGAACAGACACATGACAGATAAAACATTTGCGACTTACCGTTTGTTTCTGAGTGAAATAGTTTGTTTTTATTTCAAGTTTGTATTAAAAGGAATGTCGTTGTTCATTATTTCGATGAAAATGAGAATAATCCATGCGATCGCTGGCACTAGCTGTCAATGATTGACGATGTTTTGCTTTAGTTATGTAAAACCTGCCCTGAACAAGCAGGGAATCTGGACTTCTCATGCGTTATGCACAAGCTTTTATTGATCAAAGACAGAGGTAGCTGACTAATGTTTTGCACGTTTCCCGCGGTGCCGCGAAGGTCGCACATGGATGGCGCGCGGGTTGGCATTTAAATAACCTCTGACCTACGGAAACAACGACTGTTTTAGTATGAGATATTACGATTATGCTCATTTCTCTATGAATCATGCCTGATAACATTTCTGACTTAAGGGTTGGGGAAGGTTCATACTTATTATTCACGTGAAGTTCGCAAAAAATATTTGGTGATCTTTTTTGCAATTCATATGTTCACCAAAAGTCAAATTTGAAAAAAAAACATGCATAAAAGAGTCGTGTACATGGTGCGGCTTTTAGTCTGGCACCTTGCAAAGGGGAAAATACTGTAAAAATAAGCTCACCTTGTGTTGGGTATAAGACCACATTTTCGCCGGCGTTAAACGATTACGAGTGGGACGTGACAAAAAAGGACGGCGTTTTGTGCCAAATTTGCAGAAATTTTCCAGGCCAAATCAGCTACGCAGTCCAACCATGGCAAGCGGAAGGGATTTCTTCGTCGGCGGGAACTGGAAGATGAACGGGAGCAAGAGTAGCATCAATGAAATCTTGCATTTCTTGAAAGAAGCCGAGGTCCCTGAAAATACGGGTACGTACCCCCGGCCCCCTGCGCATGAGGCTGGGGAAAAGGGCTCAAGCTGCCGGGCAGCGAGCTCGACTTGGTACGGTCAGCGCGTAGTGCAGGACTAGGGAAGTTGTTGGGGCTGCATGTAGCCTATATTTCTGGTCCGCAGAGCTAGAGGCAGAGGGAAGGTGTTGAACATTTGTTGTAGCTCGAAGGAGCTTAATAATGTTGATGTTATGTTATTTGTTTTATTTATTTAATTCATGTTAATTTGTTATTGATAATAATCGTGTGCGAATTAATTAATAGTACTTAGCTGGAGTTACCCAGCCCTGAGTTTTATCATTGGGTTGTCTATTAGGGCTGGAGCAAATTTTTCTCAAAACTTGTAGTATTTGCAAAAAAAATTTGAAAAATGTTCAATTTTGTCCCCATTACACACTAATTGCAACTGCAACTCACCCCAAACTTGCCTGGAATAACCATTACACAGGTCCTTGAAGTAAAAAACGATCCACGATGAAGATTCAGCCTCCAATTGCAGTGAAAACAGGAGGAATAACCGCTAACTTGACAACCTTGCTGGATTGGCCAGGACCGCTATTGGTTTGTGCACAAAAAAAATTGTGTACAATGAATGGCGGTCGATTACCATGCACGTACAGCTCGCTGGTACTAGGCGTTTTTGCGGTCGGTGCATGACGTGACGCGGAAGCGTAATACCCGATGACTGTTTCATGCATTAATAAGAGGTTCACTCGCATCACAGTGCGGTACTGGAACGGCAGTAACACTGCACTATGAATGCACGATAGCCGGCCAACTCGACGGTTGCCGTTCCAGTACCGCACTGTGATGCGAGTGAACCTCTTATTAATGCATGAAACAGTCATCGGGTATTACGCTTCCGCGTCACGTCATGCACCGACCGCAAAAACGCCTAGTACCAGCGAGCTGTACGTGCATGGTAATCGACCGCCATTCATTGTACACAATTTTTTTTGTGCACAAACCAATAGCGGTCCTGGCCAATCCAGCAAGGTTGTCAAGTTAGCGGTTATTCCTCCTGTTTTCACTGCAATTGGAGGCTGAATCTTCATCGTGGATCGTTTTTTACTTCAATGACCTGTGTAATGGTTATTCCAGGCAAGTTTGGGGTGAGTTGCAGTTGCAATTAGTGTGTAATGGGGACAAAATTGAACATTTTTCAAATTTTTTTTGCAAATACTACAAGTTTTGAGAAAAATTTGCTCCAGCCCTAATAGACAACCCAATGATAAAACTCAGGGCTGGGTAACTCCAGCTAAATAGTACTCATGTAATTATTAATCAGGTGAATGCTGCCTCCTAGTATTATTTGTTGACACTGGTTTGACCATAGAGCAAGGCCGTTGACGCTTGTTGATGCTAGCTGACGCGTGACGCTTGTTGTTGATGCAGTTTACTAGGGAAAAAATGTTGCAACCTGACACATCACTTCCACGATTGTGTACAAAGTCTATGGACTGTCAAAAAAATTTGTAAGTCTTTCCTAACAAAATTGGAAATGTTTCTCAGTCCCAGATTCATGTCTAATCATCATTTTGCAATAAATGGCCTTCATTGAGATGATAATATGAAGAAAAAAGTGTCGTTACAGTCCTTCTGTTTTGAGGCGTGCGATCACACCCCCACGCCATCACACGCCTAAAAGCTTCCCGAGAAGTGCGAATAATCGCACGCCTGAATCCCTCAGTACCGCACACCTCGGCATACATTTACGGAATAATTACACTTCATAATTTGTGAAAAATAAAGTATGTCGGTGAAGAGAAAACGGCTTTATTGTAAACCAAGATGAATATTATGAAAAACAATACCAGATTGTTCAGTCCCAGCTTGGACCACAGAATCACACGCCTAGAAAAATCACACGCCTAGAAAAATCACACGCCTAGAAAAATCACATGCCTAGAAAAATCACACGCCTAGAAAATTCAAGGTGTGCGTTTCTCCACATACCTGCGATTTTCAAATCAGAAGGACTGGCGTAATAGGTTGCAACATTTTGTTCCTTTACTAGGACCGCGTTTACAGTCACACTCACAGCCAAGATGATTTTTCTTAATATTAAAAAATGTAGAAAAATGATTCATTTTTGGTAGCAGCAATGTAGATACGCCGTGGCTTAATGTTATGGCACCTGTAACATGATTTTCAACTTTTGTTACAGCATTGTCTGGTTCCTTGACCCGACAATATTCAATGTCGGGATCCTTGGCTTTAGTTTTAGAACCAGACTCGACCAAATGGTTCTCAGACTTTATTTCCCTTTTTAAAAAAATCCTCCAGAGCCATGGATTACGAAGAAGAAAAAGAAGTCTACTTGAACTTCAATAAGAAGTACAATTTGATTAAAAACATAAAAGTAAATGAAACTAGGCCTATTAAGAGGAAAAAGAAAGAAAGAAAAATCACCCAGTGGGGTTTTGATCCCGGTACCTTCGGCATGCATAGTTGAGCTTTTAACCCTAAAAGGGCAGGGGGGGGGGGGATCCCCTCAACTTTTTCCTCGATAGCTTTGAACTTTTTTCTTTCGCGACCTGAGCTGTTATGACTTTATAGCCTCGAGCATCTTTTGATACCAAAAACATAAAAATCAGACCATGGGTTGCCGCGCAGCGAAAAATTTTCCCATGCGTCGTGTACACAGAGCATAATTACCATTCGTACATATGAATAATTAATTAGCCATAATTCCAAAACCCTTTGACCTACAGTCATGATATTTCTTGGGCATGTTTATGATGAGTTGCTATATGCATGTACCGAGTTTCAAAAATTTTCGTCACTTGAAGTTGATGGCCGAGATCTTAGGGCCCCCCCCCCCCTCGGCTGAGAGATGTTCAAAATAACCCGGCCCTTCTAGGGTTAACCAATCGAGCTACCAAAACACTCTGGTCGGAAGGGCGGTTATAAATGTGATAAAGATGCACAATTGTGTTTTTTTCAATGCCGTAACAACAGCAGTCGAAAATTGTGTTTCGGCTGTTGTAACGATGGCCACTACGCTTTAGATACATGTGTATTGACATTGCTTGGCACAAAATAAATTTTAAAAAACTAAAATTCTATAATTTAGGCCACATACAGAGCCGCAAAATGTCCTCGTAGATTTTATTACTTGAAGCCAAATTTTATGAACATCATCAAAATATTTCCAATACAAATACTGATAAATTATAACTCTATGATATTTTTTTCAGATGTGGTTGTTTCACCTCCCGCCGTGTACCTCAGCTACGTCCAAGAACGCCTCCCTGCAAAAATCTCAACGGCAGCTCAGAACTGCTACAAAGTGGACAAGGGCGCATTCACCGGTGAGATCAGTCCAGCCATGCTGCTTGACCTGGGGTTAAGCTGGGTCATCCTGGGTCACTCGGAGAGACGGCATGTTTTTGGAGAGAAGGATCAGGTTAGGAAAACTTTGTAACTTTTTTTTTTCCGAGATACATAAAATTAGTAGTACTGGTAACTTACATCTTTTCAATTTCGGATAGTGAATTACAGGATGTGGTTGTCGTGCTGTAAGAGTCTAAAGACAAAGAAATTGCTGCATGCTTTTTTATAATATAATTTGGAAAATAAGTTTATGAAAAAAGAAATTGTTTTTCTAGTAGCCATGTGTATGTTTCCACACCAACAAAAACATTTCCATGGACGAACATGTGACTGAATTTGAAGCTTCAGCTCTTTCAAACACTGAATACCATAAACTAAGAGTTTGGTCCAAACATATTCATGGTTTAACTTAAAACTTAATGATAAAAATAACATCTTTTTACGGCAGCTTATTGGAGAAAAGGTACAACACGCTCTGAGTAAAGGGTTAAAGGTCATCGCGTGCATCGGCGAAACCCTTGAACAAAGACAGCAAGGGCAGACTCAGGAAATTGTGTTCCATCAGACCAAGGCTATCGCAGGTACAACCTCCTCTGTGCAACTCTCCAGGGTTGTACATCAGTCAGTCACAAGTTAATCACAGATAAGGTCTCAAGTATTAAACCAGTTTGCGCCGGAGGACGTATATATACACGCAAAGGTTTTGCGGTATTCGGAACGGATGACAGATAAACACGCAGGGAGCGAGGCCGGAAATATCCGTCAGCGACCCGCTCGCAGCAAGCGAGGCCGGAAATATGAGGGTGCTGCCTGAGGGTGATGGCTTCAACCCGCCTGGCTTGAGGTTGAGTGAAAAGTAAACTTGCGCCTTGTTCCATTCATGTCAAAATAATCCTGGCGCCAACTGGTTATTTAATAATCATTGACCCCCTGTTTAACCGTTAAACAGGGGGTCAATGATGCCTTGTAACTGTTCTTTTGAATAGGCTGTCACTTTGAAATTTGAAGACTTGACTTTTGATGATTGACTTCTAACTCAGCCCTTATCTCTCATCCATTCAGTACTCGCTACTGACTTGTCACACAAGTAACCCTTTACCATTAGAAGTGAGGAATATCTCTCGAGTTGAAGCTTTTCCATAATAAGACTGTTCCAGTGTAAAACTAGAGATCAATAATAGGTCTCGTTCAAATGACGTCATTTCCTACAGACCATTCTCGTGCATCAGCATTTTGAGCATCAACTTGCATAACGCGCATCGGCTGCGTCGTATTTCGAACACATTTCGAGCAATAAGCGCGTGTTTGGAACATTTTCAACACTGCGCAATGCGTGCTTGATTGCGTAAAATACGCAGTTGCAGTTCTCCTACAGAGATGGCCGTCATTGAGCGAACCCTATTGTTTCACATGATGTGTGATCAGGTGATCCCAGCTTTAACAAATTAAAAGCATCTTTAAGTTACACAAAGACAAAACGACAAAACAAAACATGCTGTTTTGAGTATTGATGTACACTTACTTTTCCCCTATTTTCTCTCTAGATAACGTGACTGATTGGGATCAAGTAGTGATTGCATATGAGCCAGTGTGGGCCATTGGAACAGGAGTCACTGCAACTCCAGACCAGGTAACTAGAGTGTCCTGGTTTTCTTCAAACCTTTCCATTTCTATATTTTTTACCCCAGTCTTCCCTAATCCTTCAAAATCCTCTTTGCAAAATGGAGGATTCCGCAGGATTGAGGCTATATATGTCAATAATGTGTGGCTGAGTTTGCAGGATGCACTGTGTCAAGGTCTTGGGTCGGACATTGTGTTGTTTTAATCCTCAGCCGTGCATAAATTTAGGCCCAGATTATACTTTTAATCCTCCGCATTGCTCCAGGATGTCACTGGCTCTGCCTCAACATATTTTGCAGGATTGAGGCAGTCATCACCCCTCCAAGGACCACATTCAAGAAATAACGGAGGATTTTGCAGGATTTGGATTGTATTCAGTTTTTACATGGAGGTAGTTGGATTTTGCAGGATTGAGGGTGCATCCAAGCAAAATTGCAGAGCGAGTTAAGGTTAATGGTAATTTCAGTCTTGCGGTGACGTGTATGACGAACATGTATTTCGTACATCTCAAGTGTATTTTCAGGTTCTGGTGCTGAATGGTAAGGCCAAAAAAAAAAAAATATTCGGTCTCTGGTCAGACCAAAGTTCCGGAATTGACGCGGCCACGCGGCTTTTTTTTTTTTTTTTTTTGCTTTTTTTTCTTTTTCTTCAAGCTTGGATTGTACAGACAAGGTGGGGTACTATTTTTTTTTTTTAGTGTCCTCATGTACATTGGTGTCCTCCATAATTTGCCTTGGTGCTTTCGATCATTTGCCTTGGTGCAATTTCCCATTCCTTGGTGCTCTTTGGTAAAAAAAATTGGGGAGGTGCGGAAATAGAGGGCGCTGTTGGAGCTACCGCGAAACATTTTGGAAAAAAAAAAGATCGATGCGTATGATTAAAATCGACGCGCGCGCTGACCAGAGACCCACTTATTTTTTTTTTTTGGCCTAACACAGCAACTGGTGAAAATGCTAAGACGTTTTCACTGACCGACGTAATCCCTCGCTGCCCTTTATATACACGCGCTGCTCACTGCATTCTGAAATATATTTAGAACCCCATCAAGGTTTCCAAACAAGACCTTTATTACAATGCTCAGTATGCTTTCATACTTTTCCATTTTTTTTGGCAAACATGAATGCCATTTTTAAAGAATAACCAGAAAAAAGTATTGGAATTGATGGCTTGTATCTAATTTTTTTCCTTTTTAAAAAATGTAGGCACAAGAGGTGCATTTACAGCTCCGGGGTTGGCTGGCAGAAAACGTCTCTGCAGCTGTGGCTAAAAAGACGAGGATCATCTATGGAGGTCAGTACAGTTTGATAGACATTTGTGATGCGATCAAGCTATTAAATGAGTCGTTTTTCAGGAAGTTTATGTGGAGATTCAGGCCAGAATAGGGCCACTTCATCACATCACTTCATCACATCTCTTGGTGTTCCGACTTCCATAATTTCTGAACTAAAGATGGTATCAGCATGCAGTTTTCACAGCAGTAATGCCTAGATTGTGCTTTTTTGAAATCTGTAATAAATTTCTTTTTGACCACGGTCAACAAACTACTCATTCAGCTTGATCGCATCACATTTGATGTTTCTGCCAAATATTGTTGTCTTTTTAAGTCAGTTGAACCTTGACCTTAAATTTCAGGCTTTGTTACTACTTTGAAAATGGCTTGTACATGTGGTAGGGCCTATCTCAATTCATACCCGGGACGATTTGCGGACAAGATGTGGACATTGTAGCGGGTAATTATAATAATTTGGTGCTTATATAGCGCTTTACACCAGGCTCTCAAAGCGCTTCACAATACTTACCCTGTTCATCAGGCCATGAGACCAGTTTTTGCAGCAGCTAAGCATCCTGGTATCTACCTTCACAGGTAACCCGTTTATACTCCTGGATAGAGAGAGGCAATTGTAGTAAAGTGTCTTGCCCAAGAACACAAGGAACATATTCCCCATCAGGATTCGAACCCACGTACCACGGCATACGAGTCAAACACCGTAACCATTGGACCCACAGCTTTCCACGAGTTATAAGTTGCAGGATTCTGAACAACTTCCCCGCAGTCTTCCGCAATGAAGTTATCACTGAGTCAAGCAGTTGCTGATGAAAATTTCCCCGGAACATGTTCGGGACAAATGCAGAGCTTCTTCCAGACAAAGTGAATGATTCTACCCGCAACTTGTCTGGAACTCGTCCCAGGTATGAATTGAGACGGGCCTCCCATAAATACATTTATACTTTTTTCCTGCAATGTGACTGTAACTTCTGTTGAGGTTTTCATTCAAATAAATATTAATAAGTTTGAATTTTCAATATTCACCTTTGACCTGTAGGCTCTGTCAATGCTGGTAACTGCCAGGAATTGGCCACCAAGCCTGACGTGGATGGCTTTCTGGTGGGCGGGGCCTCGCTGAAACCCGATTTTGTCAAGATCATTAATGCCAGGAATTGAAGCTATAAAACAAAATGCCCACCGATTGTTGGAGCTGTGAGATGCATGTTGCGAGTGGTATTTATGTGGATAGAATCCGCAGAGCTTAGGACAAGTTATAATTGATATAGGTCTAACCTTAGTGTGATAGAAACCCATTTGGACGTTTGTGAGTGGCGCCCCCGTAAAATTGTGAGAGTTTTGAAGTAGAATCATGATATGTGTGATGGAAACATGTATTTTATTAATCACTAAAAGTTGAGCATTGGAAAGTATAAGGGCAGCCTTTTTTTATTGCTTTTGGGGAAGAGCTTTGCAGCAGTACCGGTAGGTTTGCAAGTTAACGACTACACATAATTGGAGAAGATTGAGAAAACACCATTTCCTTAACAAGCCACTTTAGTATTTCAAAACTTTCTTGACTGTGAGTGTGATATATAATTAGGCATGGATCATCCCTGCTGCCTGTCAGAATTCAAATATAAAGGGCCTGTTACATTATATGCGATCTCATAGGAGACCTTACGGCGACCAAAAATATTTTATAAATTTAACAATCGCAGCGAGGACGCAAGAAAATGACAACTTTCTGTCTCAAAGAAACTCAAGCTACGCTCATACTGTGCTCTTTCTGCGCTTACGATGCGCTCAACTCGCTCCCTATACGCCCCTGTCAAGCTCAATTACTCGATCTAGTCGCTGCGCTGTCACTGCGCTCACACTACGCTCTGCTCGCTGTTGATACGTCCTAGTAGCTCGCGTCGCGCTCTCTATTCGACCAAAATACGCTCATGTGACGTCACTTGCGCTGTATAAATACCACGACAAAACGGTCAATACACAGTCCGGTTTCAAAATTATTCTACAAGTTCATCGCAGTCGAGTTACTTTCTCATGGAGACTACATCGACTGCCTTGCGCCTATAGGCTGCCTCAATGCCACTTCAATGTTGCACGATTCACGCTCGCACAGCGCCCGAGATGCGTCATTAGGGCGCCCTGGCCAGAGCGCAGAGGTGTTGCGATTGTTTTGAGCATGTTTAAAGACCTTGGCGCTCATCGGAGACCATTAAGACCCTCTGACGCCCATCTGGTGACCTATGTAGTTGTCGCTGCGATCTAGTAGTTGTTTTTGCGCCCCAGCTATTTTTCAAGGACGCAGTGAGAGCGCATATAAGATTGCAGACAGTGTGACAGGGCCTTAATGTATGGATCAGCTTCAAATGTGACTTTGAATTATAAAAAGATGCTGTTTGCATTGATGTGAGTTGTAGCTTTTTGGCATTTTCTGATGTTCCGATAATTTACTGAAGAATTTGGTACTTGCTGCTAACGATAAAGACTCTAAACTGTCTAAAATGTGAAACCTCCGACACAGGGTTCTACAATGTTTGCTATTGGCTGATCATAATGGTTTTATTGTCCCAAATATTTTTGGTCCATTTTAAAAAGAATTATACTCAATTGGCTCAGTTCAACCATAGGTATGTAAAATGAAGGGGAAAAGACAGTTTTTACCTGAATGAAAAAGGATTTTTTTTAAGGTAATGTATTATTGTATATTTCCTTCAGCCATTGTCAGCTAATCAAGTTAAATAAAAATAGTGTTATTGTATTGTGGTGATTTTAACCAGTTTGCGCCAGAGGCCGTGTATACATGCAAAAGTTATGTGGTATTCGGAACGGATGACAGATTAACACGCAGGGAGCGAGGCCGGAAATATCTTTCAGCGACTCACTCGCAGTGAGCGAGGCCGGAAATATGAGTGTGCTGCCCGAGGGTGATGGCTTCATCCAGCCTGGCTTTAGGTCGAGTGAAAAGTAATCCCGCGCCTCGATCCGTTCTTGTCAAAATAATCCCAGCATGAACTGGTTAACAAATTTAAACTTGCCCCTTGATAGGAATGTTCACATTTTTCTTAGACAGCTGAGCAATAAATATACAAATTAAACATGTATTTTGTCTGGAACATTTCTTTTAACAACCGTACTGATGTTTTCGGCTGGCACAATTGAACTAAACATTTTGTTTGAAATAAATAGAGTCAAACTGAAATGTTAGAAACTAACATTTCTTTCTTTTTAGTGTAAATGCTATGCGTAAAAATACGCTGAAATTTATTTTATCAAATATAAAAAATTTCTCAACCAAATTAGAACTAAATTGACAAAGGTAATTTTGGTTTTCAGCGATCAAGGCATACTCCAGGTATGGTTTTACGAGTCGGGAAAAACGTTTCGAAATATTTTTATTTGCAAGGGGTTAACCTTACATTTTGTGGTCAAAAACTGACTTTTCAGTGAAAACAAAGTTATGAAAGATTTTTTTTTAAATTGCAAGGGGTTAACCTTACATTTTCAATAAATGTGGTAAAAAAACAACTTTTTAGTGAAAAATTCATTTCGAAAGATTTTGTTAAATTGCAAGGGGTTAACCTTACATTTTAAAGAAATGTGGTCAAAAACGAGTTTACTGGGTCAAAAACATATTTCGAAAGATTTGTAATTGCAAGGGGTTAACCTTACATTTTGTGGACAAAATCTGACTTATGAGTTAAAACAAAGTTTTGAAGGATATTAAAAAATTGCAAGGGGTTAACCTTACATTTTCAATAAATGTGGTCAAAAATGAGTTTACTGGGTCAAACATATTTCGAAAGATTTGTAATTCCAAGGGGTTAGCCTTACATTTCGTGGTCAAAAACTGACTTTTGAGTGAAAATAAAGTTTTGAAAGATTTATTGAAAATTGCAAGGGGTTAACCTTACACTTTGTGGTCAAAAACTGACTTTTGAGTTAAAACAAAGTTTTGAAGGATATTGAAAAATTGCAAGGGGTTAACCTTACATTTTCAATAAACGTGGTAAAAACAGCTTTTTGTGAAAAATTTATTTTGAAAGATTTTGTTAAAATTGCAAGGGGTTAACCTTACATTTTGTGGTTCAAAAACTGACTTTTGAGTTAAAACAAAGTTTTTAAGGATATTGAAAAATTACAAGGGGTTAACCTTACATTTTCATACAAATGTGGTCAAAAACAACTTTTTTGTGAAAAGTTCATTTCGAAAGATTTTGTTAAAATTGCAAGGGGTTAACCTTACATTTTGCGGTCAAAAAATTACTTTTGAGTTGAAACAAACTTTTCAAAGATTTTGTAAGAATTGCAAGGGATTAACCTTACATTTTTAATAAATGTGGTGAAAACAACTTTTTTGGTCAAAAATAAATTTCACAAGATTTTTAATTGCAAGGGGTTAACATAACAGTTGTGGCCAAAAACTTATTTTGAGTGAAAACAAAGTTTTCAAAGATTTAAAAAAAAAATTGCAAGGGGTTAGTTTACATTTTAAATAAATGTGTTAAAAAATGACTTTTTAGTCAAAAGTAAATTTTGAAAGAATTGTTTAAAATGCAAGGGGTTAACCTTACATTTTAAATAAATGTGGTGAAAATAACTTCCATGAGTCCTAAAAATATTGCTAAAGATTTGTAATTGCAAGGGGTTAATCCTACATTTTAAATAAATGTGGTAAAATATCCAGTCAAATACAGAAATGTTTACACTGAGCCTTTATGGTAAGTGTCTACATATTTATTTAAAAAAAAAAAAGAATGAAAAACACAAATAATGTCTACAGAAGACCATTTCCAGTAGAACTATGATGGCAAAGAGTGATTGTGCTTGGCTGTATATAAAAATAGAGTTTACTTGTGTTTGTTTATTATTTTTTTTAAATGGATCTTTACACACGACTAAATTTTTAAAAATTGATAAAATATAACATACATGTACATGTAAGTGCTTTTGGGAAGACAAATTTAATTTGACCCTTTTTTTGGAAAGTCATGTTCTAAAAACCGACATGCAAACAAATGATTGTTTCAACCAACTCGTTTAAAAGTTTTCTTTCCAATGTAAACAATCTTTTACAATGGAAAAAGTAGTGCAAAATAGACATACATTATAAAAGATATAGTTCTACATCAAATTCAGTTAAAAAGTGATATTTGTTAAACAAAATGTGAAAATTGAATCAAATTATTTGTGAAACTTGCACAAAATACTACCTGACCTTTGACATAATACCCTATCAGAATACAGACGGAGCTCTTTTGGATAAAAGGATAGAAACAATGAACAGAGGTCGAGAAAACAATTACCATCGACAAAAAAAGTGACACCTGACAATAAAATGTCGCAACTTTACGATAAAGTAACGTCACAGTCATGTGTGTATGTGCTTAATGTTTTTTTTGCTTTGAATATTCAAATAGGCTAAAAGCTACTCGATATATTCCGTTGATGATGGAATAGCTATTCTGAATCAGTTAAATGGAATTGGTCTAAGACCAACTTTACTAGACCTACCCTGTCTGATATTTAACAATTGTTGACTGCTGTGATGTAGGATATGACGTTTTAACACCCGAGAGGTACATAGTATAAACCCAGGTGAAGCCGAGGGTGCTGTGCGCCCGAGGGGATAAAAAACAGCATATTAGGCCATCAGCCTGGGGGTTTGGTCAGTATCAAATCAGGGCATAAATGATAATAGTGCGCATGCGCAAGGTATACCGCCCCTAGAGTGGTAACAAGCATTTTGATGGACGTTTTGAAAAAAAGGGCTGCCACCGCTGCAATGCTATCACATATTTTCCAATTCTGGAGGTGTATACCTTGCCAAAAATCGCTATGACGTTTTTCCCCTCATTTGATACCGGTGGCCAAAATTTTGGACCGAGGCTGATGGCCTATATCCCACATCACAGTAGTCAACAATTGTTTTGTCATATCGTGCCAATAACTCAAAAAGATAAATGGTTGTGACTTACTTTGTGCAAAATACATAAAACCTGTGTAATACCCTTGGACAAATCAGATTAAAAAGTACATTTACTCAAAATAAAGGTGAACTTATAAATGCGATTTACAGAAGGAAATCTATTGAATTTTAAAAACAAATCTGAGTAAATATGAACATAAGTTTACATTAATCGCCTTTAAAAAAAAACTAAGCATAAAATAGTACTGAACTATTCCTAGAAAAAGAAAGCAAAACTAACCCTGGAGACAAAATGTTGTTTAAAAGTTACACCAAAAGAACTGGTTCCCGGCAAGAGTAAGTGGCAGACTGAGGATTTGAAATACCTTGTCTCCATAGCTACCACATGATTAGTATACACGCCAACGGTCTTGTCAGCAACGAACATTGAAAACGATACCAAATGAAACATTTCAGCGTTGTAATCACAAGACGATCACAAGTAAGGTCACAAGTCAGTTTAGGCCCAAAAAAAAAGTCTCCGGTTTCTGGTATGCGCGCGTGTCGCCGTAGCCATGCGCGTCGGCAAAATGAAAAAGTTTTTTTTTCAATGAAAGATGATATCTCAAAACCGCCAAACTCACTGATTTGACTGGAATCCTGCTGCTGCTGCACAATTTTAACGTGTTTTTAGATTGGGTTATGGTCGAGAATAAGCTTTATGTGGCCTCTCTGGACTCCCATATATTTGCACTAAGTTTAGTCGGGCACCATTTGCAATCATCAGCCGACATTTGAAGCAAAAAAATCAGTTAAAAAAACCCCAAAAAAAACGCGTCGCCGCACCACTTTTTGGGCAAGCTCCATACCCGAAACCGGAGGCTTTTGTTTTTTTGGCATTACTAGTCACAGAGGATGAACAATGACACAGCCTTGCCTCAAATTGTACAACAGAGGGTCTAGAATCCAAAATGTAGGGCGTCACTCTTCGTGCTCATATAGGTCTCGCAAAGACGGCCATCTCTGTAGGAGAACTTCAACTACGTATTTTATGCAATCAAGCACGCATGAAAATGTTCCAAATATGTGTGCTTGTTGCTCAAAACGTGTTCGAAATACGACGCAGTCGATGCGCGTTATGCAAGTTCACGCTCATAATGCCGATGCACGTGGATGGTCTGTAGGAAATGACGTCATTTGACAGCGACCTATTAGTTCTGATCAAGGTATGTGTCCTCCTCCCCCCCCCCCATTCTTGAAAAGCAATTGACGCCCTTGGTAAAAGCTCATAGACTGGATTACTTGAGACCGACTTAATTACAACTCTGAAAATTGGGGTTTAGCACCCCCGGCCAACCCCTTCTTGTACACATTGTACATCTAACTGGACAGAAACATATAACCGTTTTGAACAATGAAATGGAATGAATTTCAGATTGACTGGTGTAGGCAGTGGGTGCAGTGTTAACCCTTTTCCCCCTCTCCCCATTGAAGAGGGAGTGACAACATCCAAAGCCATGCTTGGAAAACTAAAAATGACGTAAACCAACAGCAAAAGCTTGCAGAACCCGAAAGTTAAAATGTGTATGTTTTTACAGAATCACCAAGCAACACGTGACAAATGAACACATCTACTGCCCTGTGCTGCCCCCCTCCCCCAACTTGCACTTTCCAAAATATTGGTCGTGTCTGAAACAAGTATCCAGAGTTTATACAGCTATGTCTTTTGCCAACATGTTCCCATGTAATTGAATTGGGAGAAGACCTACACAAGCACTCTAGAAAAAAAAACGTTCGGACAAGGCCTACTTCTGGGCTAAATATTTCATTACTTTTAGCAGGGCAAAGCATGACACCTGAACATTTTCTAGCTATGTTCAAGCTAGCAGGTGATTTTGGTTCCTATTCCCAAACAAACTTTTGGATACTTAATTAATTGGCTCATACTTATCTGCCCTTTTATCATCATAACTATTGGTGCTGTAGTTGATATCATCCTCCGCGATCAAGGGCTCACGTAGGTCGCGATCCTCCGTCGGCAAGGGACGCAGGACGTTGAATCGCCGTAGCAACGGCGCAAAGATCGCATCGTTGTAGATGAAAGTGCCGATGATAAGGAAGGAGAACCCCAAGAGTTCCTGCCAATGGAAGGTCTCCCAGTGGGCGATGAGAGAGACCGCCCAGATGACCATGGTCCGGAGACTGTCCAGGACCATCCGCGTGGTGGCGCTCATCTGCTTCGTTACGCTGATCCCTGAGAAGTTGAAGAACGCGATGGAGATGATGGTACCCAGCGTACCCACCAGAATGATGCGGTTGTTGGCAATCTGCAGGAAGGCATCGATGGCGTTGTCCAGGGCGTCGTCCGGTAGCTTACTGAATTGCCCGGCGTCGATGAAATAGAACGGAATCAGCAGGAGGGAGAGAACGCAGAAGCCAAAGAAACCTGCCAAAAAATAGGAATGCAACAAAAAGACAGTGCTCAAACCTCATTACTACTTTCATTGCCAAATATTTAACTCATAGTTGTTTTCCGGCACATGATTTCACAAAGTGCTGTGACGCTTCATAACTCCGCTGCATTGAGTGACAAGTCACAACGCATTTCACAAAAATGCATTTCGCAAAACTTCAGACGTGTTGTCGCTTGGTCATTACAACATACGATGAGTCTTTTCTGAACCAGTTTTAGGGTTTTATTACATAAACGAGACCATAATCATGAGAAAATGTGTGCAAAATTATTAATGGAATATGCATTAATGTTACTGTGGGGTAATTCCATAAATTCGGACGTACATGTCAGACACTTTAATGAGCTGCTGTTGGAAAAGTGAATGTGATACATCACTAGTAATGTGACATCTAATGAGTAGAAAACAATGACAGACCAAACTAAGGTACCACCACCTTAACGACCTTGTACATGTACATCATGCGGTCGGACATACATTGGATTTTACAGAATTGCCCAATGATGTACTTTGAAAATTGCTGTTAATTTTCAAAAAATTTCAAAAAAATTTCAAAAAAATGTCAATCCAAGCATGTCTTCATTTTTTACCACAATTTAGATCTGCCATTTTGATTTACGTTTTAAAAACTTTTCAAGAGAAGATTTGACATCTCTCTGCTGAAGATCAGACAAGTATTCCTTACCCTCCCAGCCCACAGCTTGCAGGGCAGGAATCTTATGCTTGTACAGGAACGCCTCCTCGACAACCATCTGAGTGGCTGTGATAATCTGTGCCATGATGATCAACAAATCACCTGCAAAAAAAGAAGACAAAAAAGTACTGAATTTTTTGGTAAATTTATCAGCACCCGTATTTTTTGTGACAGTTGAGGCATTACTTTCACCCCTGACCAAGGCTACTGATAGCACAGTGACGAGAGTTTCTTGGGTCTTTCAAAACTTTCACGAGGTCAACATAACGTATTAGTAGTGCATGAAGTACTAAACAATCCTATAAACACGTACATGCACTGGCCTGGTTCAGTTTGATTGATCTGCTAACTGTAAGTATGATTGAGAGGACAGCCCAAGACAGACAGACAGACAGTCAGCCCGACAGAAGGACAGACAGACAGACAGACATATCGACAACTTGACCAACACACACATGCTCCCAGTGTGTCTTAAGATTTCAGCTCACCTGTAATAATGCTGTTGGCGCCCATGGTACCCGACTTCATTTCAGTTAAGTCTGACGTGCCAACCAATACGAGCCCCACCAGAATGGAAAACATGCCCAGCCAATGGTGGAAGACCAGTTTACGTTTGAGAAACGCAACGGAGAGTAGACCAGTGAAGATGACCACAGCCCCACGCAGCATTTGGAAACTGGAGGCATATGTCAACGCAAGACCTGTCAGGAATGCCAGACAATGTTTAAAGGGAATATACATCATTAGCTTTTGCTGTAATTTTCAGAAATGGATGGAATGGGGGATTGGAAATATATAGCAAATATAGTTACACTGACTTTTTTGAGGTTTTGGGTTCGAAAATGCTATAAAAACCAAGAAAAACAATCATTTTCCTGTAGTCTGGTTCCCTGACTCCATATAAGAAGAAACAGAGCAGTTTACATACATTGGGGAATTGTAAGGTCAGGGAACCAGTCTAGCTGGCTTGTACCCGTTCATAGGTGTGTAATCAATTGCAAACAAATGCGATGGTCAACTGGGGCCAGTATTTGAAAAAAGCCAGTTTTTTCCAACGCTGGTCGGCCGACCAGCGTTGGAAATTGATACAAAAATACCACTTTTCTTGAAAATGACAGTATACCAGGTGCCATGATTTTACAGGATGCTTTACACTGTCATTCACCAACAGTCCAGCAAGGTATTTCAAAATGATTTGGTAGTTTTATTTTTTGATGTTTGCAAATGTTGTATTTTCCCTTTAATCAAAAGACAAGTTATTTATTAAGGGAATAAAATATGTGCTTGGCTGGTATTAAACAAGAACGTTTAGGCCCGGCTAGGAGCCTGCACACGGCAAGGGCAATTATCGGTGACCAGCTCCTAGCCAGTTTTAAATGTACTTGTTTAATACCAGCAAAGCACATATTTATTCCCATTCATAAATCCCTTACGGTCAAAAAAGTCAAAACCAGTCCAATATTATAAATTTCCAACGATTTTGTTCAAAATAGTTACTTCACGTTTTGTGAAACGCCCCTCTAGCTATGTGCGAGTAGTACAACAAATCTCCTTATATGGAAATTGGCGCACGCGTGGCACGCACTGCGCGATGTGGCGCAGTACGCAGCTGTGTCCGTGTAGTGTGAATTTAGGACTACGAAATATGGACTCATTGGTAGTATTGCGCATGCGTAAGTGAAGATAATTAGCTGTGTGATTGGTCACAAACCTAAGGGGTTCAACCAATAAAAAAGTAAAGGGGACCAAATTTCGTGTGACACCGCAAAAAGTGTTTTAAACCAGACGATGTTTTATCAACCCTTTAAAACCAGCCAGATGGCGGGCTCTCAACCAGGAAAGGGTAATTAGATATTTATGAATCATTTTAAAATTAATTCCCAGGCCGAATAAAAGGGTAACCTCCTAAAAATTATCCAGGTAGGTTGGCAGAAAAATAATTGCATTTTTTTTGTAACTTGTTAATGTTTGTCGGCCGATCTTATACACTTACTTTATTTTCACTATAGGATAGGCCTAACTTTAATGATGTTCTATGTAACACTGTTCAATTATTTAATCAACCAATAACACAATTCGTGAAAGGTCAATCTTCACTGTTATAGTTGTCTTTTACTGCTTACCAATGTACATGAGAGATGTAGCGCACATGTCGCACATCGCAGGAGGAAGCAATAGAAAGGGACTGAACGTCTGCGGGCCGAAATCTTTGTCTGTCTTCTTGTACTTGTTGTAGAAGAACACTATCTTGAACAGTAACAGACACGACAGCTCACCCAGAAACATACAGGCTGCCTAAAAGGGGGATTGAGCAAAAAGCAAACACAGTTTTGAGTAATAAAATTTTGATTAATTTGTAAATGGACAGCTCTACATGCTTATAAAATTTGAAAAGGACAAGATAATGACTCCTTCTTCAGTTCAAACAAAAGTTTTATTTCTCTTCTTTACAAGAAATATCTATTATTGTTTCTTCGGTTTAGACTTAACAACTGGATCCTAATAGTGTGGTCTGACTATTCTGTTGGGGGGGGGGGGGAGTACATTTATTGTCCAATCAGTTCTTATTTTGCAAACAAAAGAGGACTGCAGTATGTTATTCCTTGGAACATTTATTTAAAGTATTTTCAAAACTGATTTTGATTGGCCAATTTATCTGTTGCTGTAGTCGGATGATTTTTCAACACTACATGATTGCATTGGTGTGTGTAGGCAAATAGACATTCCGATTCTAGGACTGAACAAACCGTACAAATCAAACAAAGGTCAAGTACAATGCTCCACAATTGACTTGTTGACCTTTCATGGTCATTTCCGACCTGTTCTATCAAAGTGAGGATTACCGGTATGTGGCTTGTTAGTCTTACTCTTAGTGCATTGTTAATACATTTTGAGAGCACTCAATTTGAAATAGGTCTGGCATTTGAATTTTGTATTACAATTTTAACACTCGTTAACTGAACAGAATAATGCAGAGCAACACGACAGGTTGTGAGATGAGATATGTTTTCCCCCTTTTGTTTACCAAACAATTTTGAAATTGAAACAGATTTTTTTTTTTTAAATTGTAACCTTTGAGGAGAATAAATTAACCAAATTGGAAATAGAAATGTTATTAAAATTCTGCTTTTCATGTGTTTTGTTGCAGATGTGCAATTTTGCTCTCCCACTTGAAAACTCTGTGGAATAAACTTTGAGATTCAATTTTAATCCTCATTTTGATGGAGCAGGTGCCAAATGTAAACATCTACGTTATCAGATAATATGAAGGACCATGTCATACCAGGTTTTTTTTATGGATTAATGGTCAAGATCACAGGGATAGAAAGGTCAACGGATTCGTTCACTTTATGGTTTCATTTAGTTTTCTTCTAACATGAACCTTCTGTGCCAAGTTGTTCTTTCAGTCAAAATCAATCAAGTGACTGCCTTTAACAGTTACTAGAGCTCCCAGCCTACATAAAGCAGGATTGACTGGCTGTGACTGTTTTAACTTGATGTTTTGACGGTGGGTGATTGATAAGCTACCACTTGTCGGCTTTTATCTGTTGAGTAAACTTGACCAGTCACAGAGCTCGCTTGAAAAATGATCTGACTGTTGGTGACTAGCTTGTGTAAAAGGCATGACAGGGGACGAGGATACATTTTTCGACTGTCTGTGACTGTTCAAATAGCAGGAGGCTTAGGGTTCCTGCTAAAATATACTGTCCAAAAATGCTCAGGTGAATACAAGCTGAAATGACCCAGTGCAAGCTACATCAACAGACAACACCTGCGCAATGTATACAAAGGCTATGCACCAAATAAATTGTTTGTTAAAATCAACTAAATTCTACAGTAATCTTTGATACATAAAATTCATTTTCTTTATAAACTTACTTGAAAGAATGGATGATAGAACATATGCCCTGTTTTACATCGGGGATCAACGTAATCGCTATACTTGGGGTCTCCCTCAGCGCACTGTATATCAGCCCACCTGGAACAGACAGTAAATATAGATTAGATTTGATTAGACTTGGGTTTGCAGGAAATCAACAATTCGGTATTAAAACAGTTATGAGGGTTCCAAAATTATAGTCCCAAAATAAATGTCCCAAATTTGAAGTTAACATATGCAGTACAAGAAAATGACTGGTACACAAAAACAACCAGTTCAACACTTTGTCCGACTGAGATTTTGGCAAATTTAGATTTTGGCAAATTTATTTTGGGTGAGAAAAGTTTAGGGTGTGAAAAGTTAGCTTGATTGTTAATTTGGTTTTTTTTCTGGGAGTCAGTCTGCCTGCATGAAATTGCAACACAAAAAAACTTGGAGCGTTTATTTCCTGTTGTGTTTTATTTGATATTTAACACTCAATTTTTTTTCAGCCAAATTGGTTCAATGAAATGCCGCCATAACGAACATCCCTTTTTGCTCCTGAAATAGTAAATTATAGGGCCTAATGCCCAATCACTACAATGAACGATCACTATTATGAACATTTTTTATGGACCCCATCGTGTTCATTATAGTGGCGTTAAAAAAGAATGTTGCATCCTGACGCCACTTTTTTCATCAAATATTATCTCAATAGAGGTCAGTGATTGCAAAAGGTTGAAAAGACATGAATCTGAGACCAAGAAACATTTCCAATTTTGTTAGAAAATACTTTGAAAATGCACTTGACTCTCCATAGACTTTGTACACAATCAAAGAAGTGGCGTCTGGATACTACCTTCTTTCCGTGGAGTTCTACTAATTGTTAGTTGCTTACTGGAAGAAACTGATCATAAGTTTGCAGAGTAAGGCCGTGTTTGAATGACTCGGCTATGACTAGCTGACACACACGTCTATGGGAAGTGGCTGCAACAACTTCCATAGGTGCGTGTGTAATGGCAAGCCGTAGTCAAGTAATTGGCACCGCCTGAGGACTTACTTGGTACTGAGTGTGTTGATCGAGCCAGTGACCAACATCATCCCAGCCAAAAAGAATTGATACGTAGTCCAACCCATGGTGATAGATGTCTTGAACCTTCTTGCTCCTAGTCTCAATCTGCAAGGAATAAAAGACCAGTGTCATATTCATCAAGTAAAAAGCTGTTGCAAACTGCCTTACTGACTGGCTGGCCTGAAACTAGTGAAAGATACAAATCTTAAATGAGTCTTCAGTCTAGGCAAGATCTTCCTCAAAAGCAGAAGTTTCTTAGTCTTTTTAACCGTCTTTTTATCCAGTAGCAAGTAGGAAGATCTGATCTGTGATTCTGTCCTAGATGTTTTTTAGAACTACAAAACACATTTGCATTTAACACATGATGTATGAACACTGATGACAGCCACCTACATTAAAGCAGTGATGTAGTGCCTTGATGCTGGGCCTTGGCCTTAAGGCTGGATTTTAGGGCCTTGGCCTTGGCCTCGAGGCTTGAGGGCAAAAGCCTTGGCCTTGGCCTTGGCCTTGAGGGTTCAGGGCCTTGCAATTTCGAGTCAAGGCTCTTCAAGGCCCATAGATTTTTGTATTTTCCAGATAAATATGTTCGAAATTTGCTGTTAACATTTTAATCGTATTACCATGGAGGAGGGAAGCACCCTATAGATTTGTGTGTTGGGCGCACTTCCACTTTTGTAGCATCACATTTTGTTTCCATTGTAGTAGATTTGCTGCAAAAATATTCCGTACACTTGTGGGGCTAATGAGATGATCACTTTAATTGCATATAACTAAGGAACAGATCTGATTGGTTGTATTATGTCTCCCTGATAAGTGCTAAAGATTTGAATGTATCTGTTTTAGATAATGCTGATATTTCTGATCATGTTGGGCCAGCAAATAAAAATTTCCCAAATCAGTTTCTTGGATCCCCTTTTGTTACACTTGGGAGAATTGTGTGTCAATATAGAAGTAAATCATTATTTTGTTTAGTTAAACCATATTGAAGACCTGAACTTATACTTTAATAGATACAGTGCAGTCATAAAACGGTGTATGCCTATGCGAGCATGTTGATTGCAATTAAAGAAATGTTGTTCTTCGTAACGAGCAATTCGTGATGATAAGGGCGGATCCAGGGGGGCCAAAAGGGGCCATGCCCTCCCCCCCCCCAAAAAAAACGAAACCATTTTTTTTTATAAAGGCAGGCAATGAGTACACCACCATCTTTTCCTCAAAAAACATCGGTTAAAATGGTCAGAAATTGCCTCAAATCGCACCACAGAGCATCTCGAATTCAAAAATTTTTTCGTGTCACTCATGTGACTATAATTAGTTCTATATCAGTGTTCATTTCATAAAACAGGGCCTTGGCCTTGGCCTTGAGGGTTAAGCCTTGGCCTTGGCCTCGAGGCTTGAGGGTCAAAGCCTTGGCCTTGGCCTTGGCCTTGAGGGTCAAAGCCTTGGCCTTGGCCTTGGCCTTGAGGGTCAAAGCCTTTGCTCCAACACTGCATTAAAGGGAATGTACAACATTTGCTTTTGCTGCAATTTTCAGAAATAAATGGATTTGGAGGATTAGTACGCTATAGCAAATATTGTTAAACTGACTTGTTTCACGTTTTGGGGTTGTAGATGCTGGAAAAACCAAGAAAACCAATTATGTTCTTGTAGTCTGGTTCCCTGACTCCACTTAAGATGAACTTCCAATTTATAGACTTTGGTGAATTGTAAGTTCAGAGAATCAGTCTAGCTGGTTTGTACCCCTTCACAGGTGTAATCAACTGCAAAGAAAATGCAGAATAACTATATAAAAAAATAGGAGCAGTTTTTTTTTAAAAGCCAGTTTTCTCCAACGCTGGTCGGCCAACCAGCGTTGGGAAAAATACAGTTTTTCTTGAAAATGTCAGCACACCAGGAGCCACGATTTTGCAGGATGCTTCAGACTGTCATTCCTTAACAATCCAGTAAGGTATTTCGTGATAATTTGATAATTTCATTTTTTGATGTTTGCAAATGTTGTATCTTCCCTTCAACGTTCACTTCTAGAATTGTAAGGTTTTTACAAACCTTACAGAAAGACCAATTGAAGTTGCTGTTGCAGAAAATTCTCAATTTTTTCCGACCTCCAAACTCTCCTGTCCCGAAATGTTTGGCCTCAATATTTCACAAGTATTATCTTGATGTATATTGGTACCTCTAGGGCGGGTTGAAATCCCTCAAATGTCAAACAAAAATGTGAAATTAACCAGAATTTCGTTCACCAGGATCATTGGAGTCTCGCACTTGGCCATCTCTCATCGTTTACTGTCAACTGAGCCACTGAGGGCGCTTTGATTCTCTTGACCAACTACAGCGTGGCTTTCATTCCGAGAAAGTCTCCGTGCCTTGCACAATGAAATTTGACATTTGAGGGATTTCAACCCACCCTAGAGGTACTAATCCACAACAAGATAATACTTGTGAAATATTGAGGCCAAACATTTCGGGACAGGAGAGTTTGGAGGTCGGAATAAATTGAGAATTTTCTGCTACAGCAACTTCAATTGGTCTTTCTGTAGTGTAAGGTTTGTAAAAAAACCTTACAGTTCTGGAAGTAATTAAGGTTCAGCAGGTGATAATTTTAAACAAGTCTCTTTGTCTTAAGTTAAAGAAAGAATAAAAAGCCCTAAAATGTTGGGTGAAATGATTGGCAGATCAGGTCCTTATCCTATTCCTCGTGAGATCACAATTAGGCTATTTTATTTGGCAGATAAAATACAAGCATGACTAGTAAAACATTAAAATGTGCATTAAAATCAAGCACTTTGGACACAATGAAAACAAGCCAAAAAAACTTCATAAACTTACTGCAGCTAGTATGAAAACTCCTAGCCCCACTAGTGTGGCCGCGGTATGCTGCGCTCCCTAGGTTCAGCGCAGCATACCGCGGCTACACTAGTGGGGCTAGAAAACTCCCAAAACTCCCAGTGACTGTGTACAGCGAGGTTCACTTTTTCAAGTTATTGAATGGATTCATTAAAATTGACCATAGGCTAATAATATAGTCTTACTAGACTAGTTCAAGTTTTTATAAGTTTTTAACACGACTAAAACTTAAACTTTTCATTAAAGTATTTCTGACAAAAATGGTACAACTATTTTGTTTTTGGGTTGCACTAGGAAAGGGTACCATATAGACTCTGGACACATCAGAGCAAGGAACAGAGCTAGCTCTTTACATGGAGTAGAATTAGAGGGTACGTACCACAGACACCAAGAACTAGTCAAGAATGTCAGACAAGTCGACCGTTGAGACAACTCGACTCGGGACAAGTCGACCGTTGAGACAACTCGACCATTGAGACAGGTCGACCGTTGAGACAACTCGACTCAGGACAACTCGACCGTTGAGACTGCTCGACTTAATGGAAATGAATACACGTGGAGCAGAAAAAGTTGCACAAATCTATGGCAAGACCGATCACGGGTGCGGCGTGGGCATACTCGATGTACAGAGGGCGTCGCGTCGGGCTGGTGCGCCCCGCCCGCCCGCGAGGACCGGCCCGGGCACGGCACGCGGGCACGTCGACCGGCGCGGCAAATGGGCGCACAGGGCTGGCAAAAACGATGTCACCGTGCACGGTACGGACAAGTTGACCGGCAAATGGGCGCACAGGCCCGGCAAAAACGATGCCACCGTGCACGGTACGGCCACGTTGACCGGGGATGCGCGCACGTGGCCTTGAAAAAAAACGAACGATGTGCACGGACAATCACGCTGCGCTATATCGGCTCTGTTATATGCAAAAATAAAAACTCATGTGTCATCACTCCCAAATGGCGATCAGCCGCCGTCAAAATCCCCGGTACTATCCCCGAAACTAGGCCCAAAACATGCGAGGCGACTTGTCTCAACGGTCGACTTGTCTTTCCATTTATCGCACATACGGTCGAGTTGTCTCAACGGTCGAGTTGTCTCAACGGTCGACTTGTCCCGAGTCGAGTTGTCTCAATGGTCGACTTGTCTGACCCCCCTAGTCAAGCTTAGTTGCTAGAGTTGCCTTGATCGTGGTGCGCACGTACACGACGTGTGTGGACGGATGTGGACAGGCGTTGGGAAAGTCAACTCAAGTCGGTCTACGAAATCGTTGCGTTAATGGTACGTTTCCAGTTTGCTTGAAGCCGTGTACCGAAGACCAAATCAGACTAGGTAGGGTCGGGCTTTTCCAGTCACTTCACTGCCACTCTGTCGTCATTTGTTCGGAAGAACAATGGGACGTGGTTTCAGTTTATAACATTGTTTATCTGTTTATGACAGCTGCGATTGCCACATTCATCATGCCATGCATGCTGTCATGTGGCAACTTCCTTGACTCAGCCGGATCATGTGACACAGTATCACGTGATCAGAAAGTGGGCAAATTCCCTGGTTCCCGGCAGCACAGCTGCACAAAAAGGACTAGTTTGTTCTCAGATATCATTAAGAAAATCAGTTTTGTTCAAATTAATATTTCAACTTAAAAAACCCCAGATGTTTGGGAATATTAAACAGATTCTGAATGTGTCCATTCTGCCAACAACTCATTTCTATTGTATATATTGATTACAATTTCACTCTGAACTCAACTGGCTTGTTGGTCTAGTGGCATGATTCTCGCTTAGGGTGCGAGAGGTCCCGGGTTCAATTCCCGGACAAGCCCTGTTTATTTTTTTTTAAATTATTTTTCCCCTCTACTCCTGCTCTATTTGTTATCTCCTAACTCTTTTGCTCGAATTTTGTCATTACTTCATATGTAACTTTTTCAACTTTTGATATAAGTTTGTTATTTTCCTCACTCATAAATATAAAAAAAGTACAACAAATCAGAAAACACAAATCCTATTTCGGAGATCTGGAGTTTGTTGTTTGCGAAACTATGGTATGTTTTCAAAATGACCATTATCTGGGCAGTGTCCCTTAATATCTTTCAATTTAACAACACACTTTAGGGATGTACTTATTTCATACACTTAATTCTTGTATCATGTTGATCAATTTTTGTTTTCAAGTGACAGCAAGATGGGGGTGGGGGATGTTGAATTAAGCTAGGCTATGGCCTCTTTTGGGAAGGCGTGGAGCTGTAATAATCCACAAGTGTTTGAAAAAACAATTCCAAGGGGGGGGGGGAACAAATTCCATGTATTCATCACGTGTTGTGATATATCTTTCCCTGTAAATTTGCAATCAGTGAAAGTACAATGAAGATACATAAAAAGAGATGGATACTTCAATTGCATGTTTTTTAATGAAATTTTCGCGTTCTTTTCTACATACATCTTTTGAATAATTTTTACTTATAAAACTTTAAAGTACCCCCCTTCCTAATCACAAAAATACATCAACATTAAATTTGAAGTCCAACAAAAATTCAATTAATTTCCATACAATTGAGGTGGTGATTATTTCAATGTCAATAACACATGTACTTATGAAAGTCCTCTTTTGACAGAAGTAATTCCTGTTCAGAAGCTTTCATGAGAGATTTTAATCAATTTGGTCTTCAGGATGAAACATATGACACAAGTGCGTAACTTCAATGTTACTGCATCTGTAACTATACAGTATCCGTCATCGACTTAACAAGTACGATACAACGGTACGGTACTACGCTTGTACGGAATCCTTGGAACTTCTCTTGGGAAGCCTCAAGCCCGGTTCATACTTCACGCGAATGCTAAGCGAATTCGACGTCATGAAACATTCGCTGCGAAATTTGCCCGAGTTGAAATATGTTCAACTTTTACGAATTTGCAGCGCGAATACTTCCCATGACGTCACAAGTTCGCGTTCGCTTTCGCGCAGAGTATGAACCGGGCTTTAGCCTGACATAATCGGTCCTCTTTAAAGAGAATATACAACATTTGTAAACATCATAAAACAAAACTATCAATTTATTATGAAATACCTTATTGGACTGTTAGTGAAATGACAGTCTAAAGCATCCTGTAAAATCATGGCACCTGACCTGGTGTGCTGTCAGTTTCAAGAAAAAGTGGTAATTTAGTATCAATTTCCAACGCTGGTTGGCCAACCAGTTTTGAAAAAAACCTGGCTTTTTTCAAATACTGCCCCCAATTTACCATATCCAGCTATACTACCCCCCCCCCCCAAATCCATCAATATCTGAAAATTAAAGCAAAAGCAAATGTTGTATATTCCCTTTAAGAGGGTGTTTTTATGAATCAGATTTGATTTGTTTCTGATTTATACAATGCTCTTTGAACATGAGGGTGAGTTTACTTTGTGCATACTTTGTGTTTTACTTTGTGATATGCGACATTTCCAACACCAGTCATGGCACATCTTTTACCCACAAAACCATCCCACCTCAACCCAACCCCCCAAAATACACAATTTATTTTTACAAACTTTTATAAGAAAAACAAAAAACAAACAAAAGACTAACAGCATGAATTAAATGGAAAAGAGTAATCATCCTCACTTTAGGTTCTAAGTGGCAATACAGAAGTGCAGTTAGAAAAGAAAAATTGTCAGGAAAAGTTTTGTGATAAGATTTCTGTGGAAAGACGGCTTATTTTTTAGTGTCCAATAAAAAATGTAAATGTAAAAGTTTCCAAACATTTTGGAAAAACTTCTCACAGAAATTGCCTTGTTCTGCTTTACAGACAGCAGAATGATTCGGTAAGCTGTCTGAAACAGAAAGGTTTACAGAATATACAAGAATCTATCAAAAATCTGATTTTATTGGAATTTTTTTTGATATTTCGTTCTCCATTACCGAGTGTTTTACAAGTATATACATCAGCAACTGTAACAGGACAATACAACCAAATAACTAAATACAAGAAATTTCAACATAATCCAGGAATAAATAGTCATTATTTGCAGCGTTGCTTTAGAACTGATGAAATGTCTTCAGAATCTTAAGGCTCAGGCATTTTGATACAGAACAATGGGAAGTTTTTTAAGTGAAACATAAAATTAAAGCAGATATCAGTGGCTGATTCGGGGGGGGGGGGGGGGGGGGGGGGGGGGGGGGGGGGGCGGAGGGGGGCGCCTGCTCCCTGGCAGTGACCAAAAATGTTCTCAAATAAGGCCATTTTTCACTTGAGAGAGCCCTTCCACCCCCTCTCCCTGCACACCCTCTGTCCCCTGGCAGTAACCTCTCTGGATCGACCCTTGGAAATATAATTATTGTTAGTACAGAGCCAGGTGTTTATATTAAAGGAAATTTTAGCTACAGAATCCAACTTGTTTGATGGTGAGCACTAGTGACAGCGTCATTTAATGATGATAAAGGCATTATACAGGGTGAGTAAAAAAAACCGAAACCCAAATGTCGGGACTATTGTTTTAGTGAAGTTCTGCATGTAGCACTTTCAAAATCTAGGATATGAAAGCCCAATTCATAAGCTTTCTTTTAGTACAAGAATCATTTAAATCACTCGTGTACTTTTCAAGTTACGGAATTTTAAACACAACCATCAGGTGTTCTTTCAGCAAAACGAAAACAAACTACATAGGGATGTATTTTCGTTTTGCTGAAAGAACGCACATTTTTTTTGTGATCCGTGGACAGAACTTTAAAACGGTGGCTGTGTTTAAAATTCCGTAACTTGAAAAGTACATGAGTGATTTAAATGATTCTTGTACTAAAAGAAAGCTTATGAATCAGGCTTTCACATCCTGGATTTTGAAAGTGCTACATGCAGAACTTCACTAAAACAATAGTCCTGACATTTTGGTTTCGTTTTTTTTTACTCACCCTGTAGACAGTGAATCTGAAAAGATGCACCTTATAATCCGTGATCCCCATGAACATATCTGTAGAAATTGACTCATTTTTGTTTTTTTCCTTTTTTTTAAAAACCACGATGGCCAGAGGTGGCCAGAAGTGGCCAGAAGTGGCCAGAGGTGGCCAGAAGTACAAAGCTTATCTAGCACCACCACTTCTGACCTTCCGCTCTCATGAAAACACAATTTAATTTTATTTTTCAATCGGTTTTTACATTTAGGATCCAAAGCTATGAAGGCAGCAGTTTAAGTATGCTGTTCTGTACAATATTTCTTTTCACTTAAAAAAAATTGCCTGAATTAGAAAAACCCATGGGCACACGGCATTGTACATCAATAACGGGTAGTCACTTAAAAGTCTCGCGACGGATGGACTCTATTGTTTCAGAAACACGCTGCAAATGCTTTCTTCGCTGCGCATGAATTTACCACGATACATTAACTTCTAAGAAATGAAAAAACAACATCTAATGAACCTCTGAAGAACTGACAAGTGCTACTAGGAGTTTTAGCGAATGACATCACCCGAATCCTCCTTGCCGCGATATTTAGCCTTGCCGTGGCTCCACGGAAGATACCTGTACTTGACCATATGCTGTACAAAAATAAAATTAAATATTGAGAAAATGAATACAAATTTAAAATTCTCATAATTAATGAAAGCAGTCTGATAAGAGCATCTGAACTCTTGGGCCGGACCTTGTGTTGTTTTTGCTCAGCTATGCATAAATATAGGCCTGGATTATGCTTGAAATCCTCCGTACTGCTCCAGGATGTCACTGGCCAAGCCTCAACATATTGACAGTCACTGCTGCAGGATTTAGGCAGTGGTCACCCCTCCACGGACCATATTTAAGAAATAATGGAAGAATTTGCAGGATTGAGGCTATATGCTTTTTTTCCATGGGGCCAATCGGAGGATTTTGGAGGATTTTGGAAGATTGACGCTACATCCTAGCAAAAAGGCCTAGAGAGTTAGGGTTAATTCTGTAAAATTAAGACGATTACTTCCTTTTGAAGAAGCTTAATAAGTTTCTGTTTGACGGTCGATAAATGTTTGGGGTAAAATCCACAGACTTTTTTATTATCCCTTTTGTGTGTGTGTGTGTGTGGGGGGGGGGGGGGGGGGGGGTGAACAAGTTGTGTGGGGGGGGGGGAAACAAGTTGTGAGTGGCATTGCTTCACTTAACTGCGACTTGCTACAAACAAAACTGAGGTGAAGCTGCATGAATACAAGCAAGTGTGTGTAATACTGAATGAGAAAATCATTCTCTTCCTCGGATGAGAGAGTTGTCCCTTGTGCAAAACCATACCTTAATTTGTCGCTTCATGGTTAGACTGAAGAGGATGATGAAGTACATGACCAGAATAGGCCAGAAGACTGGAACATCAAATACATCAAAGAACGTGCAAAACATGGCCACCAGCACAGCTTTCGTGGCGGACAACCTGCAGCAGGAGTAAACACGCTATTAATGTAATATAAAATTTGTTTGACAATTCTTTAAAACTATTTTCATTCCAATAGTGGACTGCCATTTTGCATGGAGCTTGTTCAGAAGTAGGACTTCATCTAATCTTTTCACAGTCTCAATAAAGCCCTAATGTAAATTTTGAAAGAGGTTGTGGAATGCTCAAAGACATTTCCGTCATTTTTCGGGTATATGTAGCCTAAGGTGTGATGAAATAAAAACGACTATTGTGTCTGTCATGAAATGAGTACAAAAGGTACTTTTGAGAGCTGTTTTTTCAGGTCCTGTTTCGACCCAAACGTGCAATTTGTGTAAAAGTTGTCGTTGGGGGCAGCAAACAAAACATAGTAAATCTTGACGTAATAAACAGTTCATCACACCTTAGGCTACACATACCCGAAAAATGACGGAAATGTCTTCGAGCATTCCACAACCTCTTTAAAATAAATATTTCATAAATGTTCTCAGTTTTAACTTACCAAAATTTAAACTCGGGTAATCTTCTGATGAACGGCCTGAATTCTTCGTTTGACTTTGTGGGTAATGCAGGGCCATCATCTTCTTGAAGGAAAAAAAGGAAAATAAACTTGTTTCTTCAAGAAAGGAAACACACACAGTGCAATAAAGTTTTAAGTTTAAAAGATGAGATCAGAATAACCACATGATTGTGTAATTACCTGAGTCGTCTGTCAGTGCTGGATCGATCTTTGGCGACAAGAAAGCAATGAAGAGGTTGAGATGGTATATGCCTAGTGCATAGGTGACTATATACCAACCCTGTGTGAAACAAAAAAATGTAACAAACAATTAAAATTTGCTACAATTGAAAGCTTCTTCCATGCCTTTTCAACAAATTCTCCAAACCTGTCAACACACGTGTGCAGTTTTTTTTTATGGGGGTGAAGGGGCTCGTCAGTTCATAACACGATGTCGAAAACTAGTTTGAAATACAATATTGTCAATTATGTCAGTTATATCTGCTTAAAGGGAAAATACAACATTTGCAAACATCAAAAAATAAAACTACCAAATCATTTTGAAATACCTTGCTGGACTGTTAGTGAATGACAGTGTAAAGCATCCTGTAAAATCATGGCACCTGGTATACTGTCATTTTCAAGAAAAGTGGGTTTTTTGTATCAATTTCCAACGCTGATCGGCCGATCAGCGTTGGAAAAAAACTGGCTTTTTTTTTCAAATACTGGCCCAAATTGACCATCGCACTTGTTTGCAATCGATTACAAACCTATGAACGGGTACGAGCCAGCTAGACTGGTTCCCTGACCTTACAATTCCCCAATGTATGTAAACTGCTCTGTTTCTTCTTATATGGAGTTAGGGAACCAGACTACAGGAAATGATTGTTTTTCTTGGTTTTTATAGCATTTTCGAACCCAAAACCTCAAAAAAGTCAGTGTAACTATATTTGCTATATATTTCCAACCCCCAAATTCCATCCATTTCTGAAAATTACAGCAAAAGCAAATGATGTATATTCCCTTTAAACTAGCTAAATGTAATTCACAAATTATATTCAAACCCGCCGACTAGAGACTCTTCCATAGCAGTGGAAAGTTGACCTAACTCTTCTTCTGACATCAAATCGTTCAGTTCTCCTTTGTCTCACTGCCAAGGTTGTGTGTCTTTCTTGCCAATGGCATTCACGCAATGTCAGTGGCATACAGTATTTTTTAATGAAGGTACCAAAACAGAGGTGCTTTACAAGTGCCTCATAGATTTACAAGGGACGCCTCTCACACAAAGACAGAAAGAGAGGAATGATCGGACACCTCATGACGTTGACTCGTTTGTACAAGTTTAACTAACCCTAACCTTCCCAAATCCTCCAAATCCTCTTGCAAAATGGAGGATTTTGCAGGATTGAGGCTATATGGTAAAAAGTGTGGCTGATTTTGGAGGATGCACTGTGTCAAGGTCTTGGGCTGGACCTTGTGTTGTTTTATGCTCAGCCGCGCATAAATTTAGGCCTAGATTATACTTGAAATCCTTCACACTGCTCCAGGATGTCACTGGCTCTGCCTTAACATATTGACAGTGATTGCCGGAGGATTTTGCAGGATTGAGGCAGTAGTCACCCCTCCAAGGACCACATTCAAGAAAAAAACGGATGACTTTGCAGGATTGAGGCTGTATGCAATGTTTCCATGGAGAAAGTTTGAGGATTTTAGAGGAATGAGGTTACATCCTAGCAAAAATGTATAGGGAGTTACGGTTAAGAGACTAAAGTATAGCTTTGGGGAAAAATAAAATTTAGGCCAAAAAAAATAATAGTTCTGCTTCCGGTTTCCCTACCTACCCTATTCTGACAGCCCCTACCCTAATTTTTTTATTGGAAAAATGAGGAAAAAAACACCCAAAACCATCAATTTCTACCTTTTACCCTTGACTACACGCAGACACCCCCATATGATCGTACACACAAAAAATTGGTAAAAAAAAAAAAAAATTCCCTTCCTACCTACCCTATTTTCGAATGCCATGTAATCGGAAGCAGAACTATTTTTTTTGGCCTTAACAACTGACCTGGAGTATCAGAACTCTGAGGACGTAGAGCAATAACAGGACGACCGTCCCAGACCATCGGACAACAGGATGAGGTACTGACTTGTCCAACAAGATTTGGTATCTCTGCAATGGGAAATGATTGAAAAATCCGTCAGGTTGATTGGGCCATCTTTACCTTCAAGATTGTTAGCGAACATTCTTTTGAAAAAAACCCCACAAGGTTCTGAGTAGTTTACAAGCTAAGAACAATTTCTCAATTCAAAAGAGTTCCCTGCAATGTTTTGCATCCGAGATTGAAGAAATTAAGAGATCACTATGGACAAAATGTGTAGAAACAGACATTAGGTACCAAATGATTCCTCTGACTTACACAGTAACAAAGATGAGGAGAGTTAATCAATTTGTCACTTGTATCCTGTTGCAGTTAGCAAGAACAGACCTATAGGCAGATTGGCTTTAGGATTTTTTACCTGATGGATTATGTTACATTGCAATGGCTTCCCACTTTGACAAGTGCTGCATTCTGACAGGTGTTTAGCAGGATTCCTAGCCAAAATTATCTGGAGGTAGCGAGAGCACTAACTACTTACCATGCCGATACCTCTGAAGAATCTGACTATGATCCCTGGCTGGCTCGGAACTGAGTCACCAGGAACGTTGTTTGGTGTCCCATCCATGAAGAAAAACTGTGTGATCGGACCAACTGAGGGGACTGCAATGTTACAAAATCAAACGATGAAATAGAGTCAAAAAGTACCACCGAGATGGAATACACGCAATAAGGTTGTGAATCCAAGTGCATGACATTGGCAGTTTGCCATGGAGAGTTCATTTTTCCCAGTGCATTGTGGGAGATGGTTGACAAATTATTAGTTTTTCCGGTGAGTAGTTTGGTAAGCATATGATTTGAGTATATGGGGGGGGGGGGGGGGGGGGAGGAAGGCCCTGTACACCATGTTACACTAGGGGGCGCTCTTCAGGATATCAATATGTATACTTGCGCTTACATCGGCACAATTGCAGAATACCCCGCCACTCGATCTATCCACCTCGTAGCCGGCTACGACGTCACGGTTGGTTGACCTCAATAAACATTCTCAGCGCTACTTGTACGTACTATGCGTCATGCTCCATTGCACTCCCACTTCGTAACCGCGTAGCTGCCAACAGGGTAGTTGGTTTGGACTTAGAATTTTTTCAGCAAGTCCCATTCCTTTTGTGTTGCTTCGTTCTCAGGCATATTCAAGGGGACTCCCACTCCGTATCCGCGTAGCCGCCAACAGGGTGGTTGGTTTGGACTTAGAATTTTTTCCAGCAACTCCCATTCCTTTTGTGTTGCTTCGTTCTCAAATAATGGACCCCCACTCAGTATCCGCGTAGCTGGCATGGACTTGAATTGTTTCTTTTTCAGTGATTCCAACCTCGTAGCCAGAGAATTTAGGGGTGTATTTCCGAGTGGCAGGGTATTCTGCAATTACTCCCTTACATCAAAACAGCTCAAGCTTTTTGGTACTTTGTTTCTCCACTTTTCAGTGCTATTATAAAGCATTTTTGTTGTTGGGATGTTAACAAAAATACCTGGAAATCCGCTTTTTTTTTATAATAATGAAAAAGTGTGGGGGGATGATGCAATAGCCCATTCCCCCTTGTCAAAAAGTGTGGGGATATATACCCTCACACCCCCCCCCCTTCCCCCTCCCCCCTCCACATTATGCTTACATTTCTCCATTAAACATTTAATTAATTTAAGGCAGTGTATATTTTGCCGGAGACGGCAAACCTTTAGTAAACGTTAGTTTGCCGGATATGCACTGAACATGCGCAGTTACTGTTTTTTTGTACTTAAACATTTTCCGGTGACAAGTTTTAGTCTGGCTCCATGCCAAAATTATCGTTGTTACCTCGTATTCACAAGATGGGATTCAGACCATTTTATAATTTCGGACTTTATTTCCCTTTTTAAAAAAATCCTCCAGAGCCACAAATCTGAAAAAGAAAATGTAATACTCTGCAAAAAATGTTTGAGACATGTTAAAATAATTATAAGAAGAATATTCTCATTTATTTGGGGATGAGAAAAAAAACTTTAAAATGTGGTGCGGTCGGAATCGAACGCGAGTCATCCCGCATACAAGAGCCTTTGCTTAACCATTACACCAAACGTGCTACACAACTTTTGGTGGGAATTTAATACATCTTATAATTCAGCCCTATTTTAAAGAGTACAGCGCCCTCTGTTGATATGGATTGCCGCCGGCAAACCTTTAGTAATCGTTAGTTTGCCGTCATTACCTCCGGCAAAATATCCACTATCTTAATTTAACATGTGAGAATAATCTAGCTCTACTGAGTGGAGCGTTGAATTACGGGTACCCCTCCATACAAACGCTCCACCGATTTGCCATACTTTGGTAGCACCATACACGGTCGTCATGACGGTATGCATTTTGTGCATGCCCTCGCGAGGACAAGGCCCAAAAAAACTGATAAAGAAAATACAAATGAGGAAGACAGTAACCCTGGATAGATCCACACATTCATGACATTCCATATGACCCCTCAAATTGTTTCAAACAACCGGTAATTTTGAAAAAAGAACAAAATAGTCTGAACTTACCGCTCACAATTAAATGTGTCTGCCGAGTTGCACAGTCTATTTCACTGACATGACTGATGCATAATTCATTGCGCGCGTGTGTGACGTCACTATTGAAGAAAAACAAGTCGCGCTTACTCAATAGCTGTTTTATGTAGTCATATGTGCCCCGCGCCGTCTGACTGTGGGTTTTTGGTGCGGGGCACATATCAGTACATGAAACAGTCATTGATTAAGCGCGACTTGTTTTTCTTCAATAGTGACGTCACACACGCGCGCAATGAATTATGCATCAGTCATGTCTGTGAAATAGACTGTGCAACTCGGCAGACACATTTAATTGTGAGCGGTAAGTTCAGACTATTTTGTTCTTTTTTCAAAATTACCGGTTGTTTGAAACAATTTGAGGGGTCATATGGAATGTCATGAATGTGTGGATCTATCCAGGGTTACTGTCTTCCTCATTTGTATTTTCTTTATCAGTTTTTTTGGGCCTTGTCCTCGCGAGGGCATGCACAAAATGCATACCGTCATGACGACCGTGTATGGTGCTACCAAAGTATGGCAAATCGGTGGAGCGTTTGTATGGAGGGGTACCCGTAATTCAACGCTCCACTCAGTAGAGCTAAGAATAATCAACAATCATTAAACTAAAATAATGTGATTCATTGTAAATGTATTATTTGTGGAATGTGGAGACTGTAAATAGTGTGATAAGGAGTTTCAGGAGTTTATATGACAATTTTTTTTGCCCAGTCATTTTGACAAGCCACATAGTCATAGAGGGCGTTCTTTCCCCGTACGCAGACTGTCATGACTGTACAGCGCCTGTAGCTGTATACGAAAGTTAAACCGGCCGGCCCACGGTCTACAACGCCAATACCGACAATTTCCATGAAAAGGAAACATTTTGAACATACCTATAATATCAGATCGATGTGAAATATTCCGATATACTTCCGTTATATGTTCTCACTTTTAAAAAGTAAAAGAAAGTCACAAAAAAACTTATAAGATGTTGGAATTCTCCGATGTTCATCCAGTTCCACGTCGTGCTTTGCTCTTGAGCTCGTTCCACAAGATAATGTTGTTAATGTAAAGAATCAAATAATTATTAATTGTAATTGCATTAAATGTAAAATAAAATTATTACAGCTTATTTCTGATTTTATTTATGGTTACCTATTGTTTTCATTAAAAATTGTGGTTAACTGTATTTCATCTTATCAATAATTTTATATAACGTAATAATGAATATTGTAGGTCAAAGTTGAAAAGTTGTGACCTGCCGGTTTCTTGGGCCTGGCTCGGATGATCTGTGCGGTAGACTGTGGTGAAATAACTCGCATTCTTTCCCCGTTTTCTGCAATCTGAGGTAAATAAAGCTTCATCAACAAGTAATTATCTGTACATTAAAGCTTGTTCATAATACTGTTTCAAAATGGCAGCTCTTTGTTGTCATTTAATAAGAAATATTAAGGGTAAACTTGCAGCACCGGGGTCGATTTTTTTAATGATCATTTCAATGGGATGTGCTACCGGTACCCGTACGTACGGACTCACAGTGTAGTGGCGGACGTGTCAGATTGCGTGCGTACGTGCAGCTCGCCGAGGTTTTGCGGGCGGAAATTATGCGCTTAATACTGGTTCAATTTTTGGAACGCAAGGAGCGAAATTAACATAACAAGCCAAATTACGTCTGAGCAGTTTATCCACTTAACATTTATTTTCTGTTCGATTAACTTGGAAATTAATTGTGAAATTGTGTTGTAGGGCCTATTGACTTGTATTTTGTTCAGTGAATGAATTGAATTGAATTGAAGGAGTCCAATCCAACCGACCAATATTATGCACCCCTTTCATCCCCCACTAACCTAGTCCGAGTAACTTGGACCCAACTTATCGCCTTTTTTAACATTTGGACATGGTCTGGTGATACTGATAGTCGCCAGACCATGTCCAAATGTTAAAAAAGGCGATAAGTTGGGTCCAAACAAGTTACTCGGACTACCACTAACCTAACCAGCTTCATTTTCCAGAAATGCAAGAATGAAAAATACAGTGCACAGGAGAAAAAAAGTCAGGAAAACATTTAATTTCTAATATTAAAAAAAATATGATTTAATTTAAAGTTTTGAAGTGATTATATTTGGGTAAAAATCATATGCTAAATTGGGTACATTCTTTGAAAATTTCAGGGATTTTATTAGTGAAAACCTAAACATCCAAATACACTTGATGCCATTGTTTTCTACCCACAGAAGATTGTTTTGGGGGTATTGTTTTTTGAGCCCAAACGAGTACCCATTTTACAGGGACCATTTTGTGGGCGTGGCATCTATTTGGAAAACAATGGCGAAATAAGCCCAAAATGCGAGTCATTTATTCAGACTTTTTGCAGTAGATGAAAAAGTTGAGTTGAGAATTACATGTTGAAACAAAATTTAGGACAAATTTTCTCTTTAAGGGGCGTGGACACCTTTCATAATTTGGGGGTGGGGAAAACAGAAATGAGTAAATTTTTTGAGTAAACAAACAAATTTTGTGTCAATTTCAGTTATCAAATGAACATATAGCAGTTTGAGATACGTTTACAGTGTATAGTAGAATAAACTTTTATTTTGCTTATTTCAGACCCCAAAACCCACCTGAATTTGGCCTTTCATGAGAAGTCACTCTTTCCTACCACTTTTGGACATTTTAGTTTTATGCCTAAAAACAAAGACATACCCGCTAAAATTTCATGGAAATATTAACAAGCTTTATAGGTTTGCTTATTTAATGTCGTAAAAAAAATGGAAAGTTGGGTTAGATTGTTGTTGTTTGTTCATATTTAAGGTGTGCCTCCTTTTTAGGAAAAAAACTGTGACACGCCCCCAAAGGGGAACAAAAGGTTTTTGATTTGACAGCTAGATTTTCTGTTTACACCTTTTGTCCCCCCCCCCCCACTTTTTTAAGATGTGGCCCCACCCCCGACAGAGGCACAATTCTGGAATTATATCATTCTCATCAAGTAGCACTTGGGTGAGCTGTCCAAATACGAAAAAAAGAAAAGTGAAATTATCGGAATAGTTTTTTGCAGATTTCATAATGTCATGGCCCCACCCATAAAAGGTTTTTCAAAAATGGCATCAAGTGGTTTTGAACTTGTTGAGGCATCCATAAGTGATCCTGAGCGTTTCAAAGAGTGTACCCAAAACTGCACACCCACAAGCCCTCTGACTAACTGCCATATAGTTTTCTTGCAGAAATATATCCGATAATTATTTGCCTTGGTATTATAAAACCATTTTCCTAAGTATGCCAAATTCAATGTGTTTTTTGCACAGATCCGGTCCCAGTGAAACACCATGCCGATTACCAAGATTTACGCTCGTCAAATCTTCGACAGCCGGGGCAACCCAACTGTGGAAGTTGATCTGACAACGGAGAAGGGTAATAACATTCAATCCCTGGGGATATGAATTACGTACGGAATGAGAAAGATAGAATAAAAAGGTTGTTAAGGACATTCTAGATAGAAGGAAGGGGTCGGTTGTAGAGTTTCTGTTGAGGCCATTCAGTTGTATACACTACCAGAAAAGTTCAATTTTACAATTAGCATTATTTCCTTGTTATTTAGGCTTTGAGGGAGGTAGTGAGAGACAATACGTCCTTTGCGTTGCAGTCTTCTTTGGGGTGTGTGCTATGGTTCCTTAGGGATAAGAACCTGTTATTATTATACTGAAGTAGACCCCTTTATACATGTATTACTGAATTAGGCCAAGTAAAAAAAACACACCAGTTGATCGTCCGGGTTTTCCTAAAACGAGGAGGATGAGGGTAATTTTTTTTAATTGAAAAATGGGCCAAAGTAGCCATATTTTATAGCTTACACGATATGTTCCTTAAAAAGGAGGAGGCCCTTTCTATTTGATAGTTCTGGGTAGTTGTCTACAAGTTGATGACTACAAAACCTTCTTAATTAAAGTGCTTATTGAACATTAGTAAAGCTACTATGCATTAACTTCTGAAACAACCTTAGAAAAAAATGTTATGCCTGAAATTAAAAAAATTAAAAAAGAATGACGCAGCCTCAAAAAAGGCCTTAAGGTAACAAAAATGGCTGCAAGATGTACAAATCTATATCATTGATTATATCATTGATTTAAATGAATTTGACACATGTGTAACCATTAAAAAAAAACCAAAAATGATGTGATTTCTAGGAGTTTTCCGGGCAGCTGTGCCAAGCGGGGCTTCTACTGGAATCTACGAGGCCTTGGAGCTCCGAGATAAAGACCCGAAGAAATACCTGGGCAAGGGAGTGGAGAAAGCGATTGCCAATGTCAATGAGATCATCGGGCCAGCTCTGATCTCAAAGGTAAACCTGCCAGAGTTGGGCCTAGTAAAAGAATAAACCAGTCTCTCCTCCATGCCTGGTTCCCTTTTCCCACATGCTTCCTTTGTTTTGTTTTTAGTCATACATTTGCAATTTATTGTGCAAATTTTGTCAATATATTGTCTTTTTATTTGTTTCCAACAACAATTGCAGCTATTAGAGAGGGTGACGGCTCCTTTGGACACAATTTTGTGTCAGCCAAAGAGTCGAGAAAATGGATGAATCCATCCGCCATCTTTGAAAATCCACCATCTTGGGGGAAAAATAAGGGGCCGCCTCCTTCATTTTTTCAGATTAACAATTTCTTTTTTACTCAGCCTTATAAATCAAATCACAAATCAATCAAAAATAAATCAAGAGTCAAATCACAAGTCACTCACAAGTTGATCACAAATCAATCACAAGAGAAATCACAAATCAATCCCAAGCCTAGTCATAAGTAGTCTATGTAATAGACCATGGCAATCTATAATTTTGAAGAGATTCGCTGATTAATTATGCAAGACAACCACATCTTCACCTCTAGATTTTGACCAATCAGCGGGCGCATTCTATGTCGGGTCTTCGGTCATTCACCCGTTGTCCCGTCTAGACATGGATAAAAAAAAAAACCGCTAGACACAGCAACAAAGCCTATGGTCACGCGCTCTGTATTATGTTACTCGCCACGCGCCCGGCTGTTGTTGTATTACAAAACACTGCATTCGAATTGACCAATCACAGTTTTAGTCCTGATTTGGGAATGAAATGACATCACGATTTTAGTAAAGTCGACTCCCATTGGCTGGTGCGCGGCTTGCATATATCTGCATGTTTAGACATATCAGACGTTATTCAAGAGACCTGGCTTCGTGGATAACGGGTGATACTCGGACTAAGTCGTAAGTAGCATGGCATGAACAGTGCCTTTGTCACAGTTTATTGGAGTAGCTTTTGACTTGACTTCGGACCGGCAGGCTTGTGATGATGAACTCGTCCTCATTTTTCGTTTTTTTTAGAAAATTTTAATGCTGAAGATACACAATAGTTCCGAGAATATTATGGATATTTCTGAGCAGTGTCTAGATATTTCAAGTATTTGAGATCATTATTTTAGGGGTTTCAATTTCCATATTTTATTTATTTTCAGAATCCGGATGTCACCAAACAAGCCGAGGTTGATAAGATGATGCTGGATCTGGATGGCACTGAAAACAAATGTGAGTAGAAATATTTGCTGATAGTACAAGTCATAACCAGAATTTTCTGAAACGATGTCTGAAAAGTTTTGAGCAGCTGCAAAGTGCAAAATTTGGTTTAGACTGATATGGCCAATAGTCAACTGTAACTTCACCCAGATTTTGAAGGACGTTAAAGGATTAGGATTAAAAAGGAATCACTTTCTGCTGTCCATAACAATCCTTCAACTTTCAACTCTCCAACTCCAAGACATTTTGTTAACTGGTAACTTGTTTTCCCTGGTGTCCTTCCAGCCAAGCTTGGAGCTAATGCCATCCTGGGTGTATCTCTCGCTGTCTGCAAGGCTGGGGCCGCACACTCTGGTGTGCCTCTCTATCAGTGGATCGCAAAACTGGCTGGCAATGATAAGGTCGTTCTCCCAGTTCCGGTAAGACAGGTGGAATTCTGTACTATTTATAGGAATTTGCATCAGGGAAATGTCAATTGGATATTGAGTTTTGCCCTTCGCAGACATATTTCTTACCAGCCGGCCAACCCCGGCAAACTTGGTGGTCGAGTGGTAAGATGTCTGCACTTGCAAGCAAGAGGTCGTGGGTTCGAGTCTTACCCGAGTAAGCTTGTGAAGTTTTTTGCAAGTCCTCGGACAACACTGAGTATGATGGGCAAAACCCAACATTGAGTATGGAATTCTGTTGTGAGTTTCTGCACCGAAATACAAGTATTTTATTGTTCATGATGAAGTTTTCTTGTGTTGGGTTTAACATCAGATTTTGAATTGGCAGGTCGTTCTAGCAGGATTTTGGTTGACTAGTTTAAACATCTGACCTAGAAAGCAAGTGGCAAGGGGTTCGAGTCCCACCGACGAAGTCTTGCAAATTTAATAATAGGAAATGCGTTAATGGCTATATTCCTGAAAAGAGTAGAAACTCTTTGTTGAGTAGTTTATAAGAATATTGAAAGGAGAGTACTAAGTTTTAAGATACGAAAGTGTGCCGAATAATAGATTACAATTTTTTTTCTTTGATTTTTTTTTCTCATCTAGGCTTTCAATGTGATTAACGGAGGCAGCCATGCTGGCAATAAACTGGCTATGCAGGAGTTTATGTTGCTCCCTACAGGTTGGTGTTCTGTTATGATTTATGTCACTTGTGGACCGGGCAGTGCTATCATATAGGATGTCCTGTAACATCCACTATACTAGTTTATATAACTGACATACAGATCCTTGTCATTTGATTGGTTGAACGCACATCACGTGACATTCATTGTTGCTCCCATTCACGCCGGGGCTCAAATAGTCCCATCCGCCCATGGTGTATGGGATTTACTATTCAACAGTTAGGATCATCCTTGTGCCATGGCGCGATATTTGTGTGCAAATGCATGCTGGTGTGAGCGTTGCGCGTAGTGCATATTGTTACACAAGAGCCAGCAGCTACAGAGTTGGGTTCAAACATTTCATGAAGGGGTGGTTCGGAAGAGAGAAATGCATTTCCCACCAATTTTATATTGAAATTGAAGTTCATTTTAACTGTAAATCAAATGACAAGGATCTATATGTCAGTTATATAAAACAAATATTGATGAGTGGCTTTAAATTGTGAAATTGGAGGAATATTATCGCTCGGTAAAATCTGGACTTTTCCAGTTCACTCGTCCCCAGATTTTACCTTGCGATAATATTCCTCCCATTCCACTCTGAGCCACTCAATATTTGTATAGCAGACCATCAGCATGAAAAGACTTGCAGTGAATAGCCATTTTGTTTCTAGTACCCACTCATAAAATACCAGGTCTGTTTCACAAGGTAATCTTGTTCATCCTTTATCCAAATCTAACTCAGGAAAACGTAAACTTGCGTCTCGTGGAGTTAATTTATTCAATGACCTCTCTGCGATACTTAAACATCCTTTGCCTCCCACTCTTGCCAGCTCTACAAGAACCTAATAGATTAATATTTTATGGTACATGTACATGTATGTCTTGTTTTTGTCTTTTTACTGCCAATGTACATGTAACAACCGTGATTAACCTTGTCTCATTTTACTGTTCATTAATCTTCTTAATTATATCTTTGTAATGTTTTTATTGCTTGTTCTATTTTTATACTATTGTATGTTTGTCGTTACTGCTGGGCACCTTTGAAAACTAAAAGGTCTTCCAGGATATACAATAAATAAATAAATAAATAAATTCTGAATCAATTGAATAGACTTTTGTGCACTCTGGGACCAGCTCTCCTAGGCTTACCTTATATTGTTTTGTAGGTGCGAGTTCCTTCAAGGATGCCATGCGAATCGGCGCAGAGATCTATCAGAACCTCAAGGCTGTCATCAAGAAGAAATACGGACAGGACGGTGAGCTTGAGAAGTTTGGGACAACTTCATCTGCTACAGACCATTATCATGTTGCAGCCATTGGATTTTTTTTCCCATTCAAATCAATGTAACCAAAGCGAGGCTGGAAGGAAAAATAGTCTGGTTCCTTTTTGCAGAAAAAAAGTGTCATTCAGTACTGTTATCGGATACAGGGAACATGACTGAAATGGTGGCGGCATGATAAGGGTCTATAGGCCTGTCTGGGATAAGTTGCAGGATCTTGAACAACGTTCCCGCAATCTTCCCACAGTGCAGTCATTAGCATTGTTTACAAAATGATAACTTCATTGCAGGAAGATTCAAGGAAAGTTGTTCAGAATATTGCAACTACTACCTGATACCTGTTGCAGATGAAATTGTCCACACCCTATCCGGGATATTTTATTAGATAACTCCTAACAAGTCCGCACATTAACATCTCATTTATGTCATTTTCATTTGAAAAAGAACAAGTTAAGTAAATGCTGTCTGTACAGGCGGGCCTACTGTTCTCATTAGAAATTTCCGTCATTACTTATTGGTCAAAATTGTATGGTCACCTTGATTTATAAGTTTTTTTAACTTGTTGTTTTATAGCAACCAATGTCGGTGACGAAGGAGGGTTTGCTCCAAATATTCAGGACAACCGTGAAGGTTTGTACTCCAAATTTTTGTTGCACTTTTGGAATTGTGTATTGAAATTAATGAGCCGAGTATATAGCTATTTATCTGTGTACTTTGAGTTTCTAAAAACTACAAAAGCAGGAACATTCCTCTGGGACTACCAGCTGTTTAACACGTTAGTGTCTGTACTGTGCCCCAAACCGCCCCAAACTGCCCTGCCTGTTACTTCTTATACTGCCCAAAACTGCCCCGGCACTGTTGGTTTTACTGGTTTCATCAAGGAGTAACTACAGTGTAATACAGTTTAATACAGTGTAACACAAGTGCGCTAATGTGTTAAGGAACACAAGTGTGTAATGTGTTAACCCCTTGACGCCGGTATTGTGCGGCCACGGACAGCTGCACATTGGGTGGAATGTGAACGTGCAGGCATTCAGTCATTGTCTATGAATGGATGCGGCTATGCAGCAGGAATGCGGCAATAGCAGTGCCCCGGCTTATCAGCTTTTGTTCGAGCTGCGTCTAGAGCCGTCAGCCAGCGTTAAGGGGTTAATATGGAACACATGTTGTTCCTAGTTGGAACAGGCTGGAGAGAATTTTCCATACTGATAGATTTGCCTATGCACTCATGTGTTATCTCCGGAACACCTTGTTCCAAATTGGAAACATGCCAGAAACAGGCATAAGTCTGATAATGATTCCTTGTTAGCCCCCCTGGAACTGCAAGCCTTGGGTCTCGGGTTCAAGTCCCATTATCAGGGTTCCCACAGAACTATTAAAATGAAATTCCACAACTTTTCCACAACTTTCCATGATAGCTTTAAATTCCGAAATTGTTCCATTACGTACAATCTCTATTTGATTCTCATCAGGTCTTGAGCTGTTGAAGATAGCTATTGAGCAAGCAGGTTACACTGATAAGGTCCAGATCGGCATGGACGTTGCTGCATCGGAATTCTACCGTGACGGGAAGTATGACTTGGACTTTAAGAGCCCCAGCCCGGATCCAAGCAAATTGGTGAGTGAACTGTTAAATATCTTTCAAACAAAAGGAGAAAATAAGTTTAAAATATTTGAAACCTTTCTGGAATGTAGTATATTTCGTCGCGTCAGTGCAACGAAGGGCAAGTTCGCGCAAGGACTATAGTTAACCATTGGTCGACTAACGCTTGCCCGAACTCTGTATAGTCGACGATGGTTAACTACGCTAGTCGACTATTTGGAACCAACCTACTGGGGTTGGTTGCTTCGCTGGTAGCCATAGCCGCGCGCGTTCATAACGTACAGCAGGGAGCCAGGATCCAGACGTTTTGCAATGACATTTTGACCAGCGTTTGACTAGAGACGTTCGCACTTTGCTATTAGTGCGCAGGCGTAAGGTACGTCACAAATCAACCACTAGTCGACTAATGGTCCTTGCCCGAACTTGGCCAAGGTCGTAACTCCATTCTGCAACAAAGTTGTATCTCTCGCAAATACGCTCCATGCAACAAAGTCGTATCTCGCGTGAATACGCTCCATGCAACAAGGTCGTATCTCCACGTCCATTGACTTTTGTGTACATCCAAGTTATTAAGTGAGAAACGACCTTCTGACATTCTGAAACTCGCGTTTCACGTACGGCCCATTTTAGGAGATACGTTGTTGCACAGACACAACGATTTCTTTGTTTTTTTGCACTAGTAAGCAAGAGGTTGTGGGTTCGAGTCCCACTCGAGTAAGGTTGTGATTTCTTTTCTCACAAGGTGTCTTACAGTGCTTATAAAATTACATGGCTGCAGAGCAAAAGAGAGTATGCCTGAAATGAGACTAATAAAATCCATCAGTGCATCAAATATTGATCAATAACGAATGATTTATTGAATCATTACATTGATTATCAATGTGGCATATCCCTGATTTCTGGTTTTTTTATTCCTTCTTTTCCCACAGTTGACCGGTGCTAAGCTGTCGGAAATGTACCGTGATTTCATTCAGAACTACCCAGGTAAGATGGTAGCTTGTGATATTGGCCTGTTTTGCTTACCAAGTGAAATTACGGTGTTTTTGATTGGACAGTTGTCTATCAAATAGTTACATACCCTGTTTTGATTGGACAGTTTTGTCTATGCACCCTCTTGATTGGCTCGTTGTGGCCATGATCAAGTGGATATGCCCTGTTTTGATTGGACAGTTTTGTCAACCAAACAATGTTTGGTCTCTTTTGATTGGATAGTTGTGTCTATCAAGACATTTTGCTGTTTTGTGATAGGACTGTTGTGATAAGTTATTTTGCTCTTATTTTGATTGGACAGTTGAGTCTAGTTACTTATTCTCCTCTATTTTAAGTGGAAAGTTGTGTCTATCAATTTCTTTTTCTCTGTTTTGATTGGACAATTGTATCAATTCTTTTTGCTGTGTTTTGATTGGCCAGTTGTGTCTAACAATAATTGTTTACTGTGTTTTGATTGGCCAGTTGTTCCTATTAAACATTATTCCTGTGTTTTGATTGGCTAGTTGTATCTATTGAGGACTGTCATGACCAGGATGACTGGGAGTCTTGGTCAGCATTTACCGGCTCCACAAACATCCAGATCGTCGGCGATGACTTGACGGTCACCAACCCCAAGCGAATCAAGGTAGCCATCGAGAAGAAGGCCTGTAACTGCCTGCTGCTGAAAGTCAACCAGATCGGATCAGTGACCGAGTCCATTGAAGCGTAAGTCAGAGACAATTTGTAATGGCTATGGCTGCCAGTTACATACGAGTCTATGGGACTTTGATTCAGCCGCTTGCATAGCAGTGGCCAGCAGTGGCTAAGTAATATGGATACTACCTAAAGGCCGTTTCGTACTTCATGCTAACGCAAAGCGAATTTGACGTCAGGATGTGTTCAACTTTCGCGAATTCGCAGCGCGAAAACTTGCCATGAAGTAACAATTTGGCGTTTGCGTTCACCTTCACCCAGAGTATGAGACAGCCTTAGCCTTGCTGCTTGTACTTGTCTGACACATGACGATTATTCTGTCAAGGGTGCGTAGGTCTGTGTTTTGTTTCCAAGTGTCATGTTTTGTTCTGGACACAGTTCTATCAACGTTGGACAGCTAGTACATAATGTTATGTGATTAACCAGATTGTGTCGGCGGCCGTGTTAACATGCACTAGCTGTATTTATTTACAGGCACGGCTTACAGTTTAAAACGTCAAGCGTGCTACGACTCGCCTCCAGTTGACGTCTAAACATGCTGATCCCTCGTGTCTTTTGTACACACACACACACACACACACACATACTTGTTTCACATGACTAGTGTGGACTTTCCATTGCTTTCGTGTAGTTAAGAAAAACCAGTGAAAAAACTCATTTTTCTCAAACTGTGAAAACTCTTTCAACCCAATTTTTTTTCTATGATTCCCTTTAGTGTTTCTCTTCATTCTGCTACAGATAAACCTAACCCAAAAATGCCTCTAAACCTGTTTTCCAGAAATGGGGAAACACTGTGTGGACGTGGGGCAAGTCCACACAACGTCGGTGCTACCTACATTATGTGGACGTCTTTTGTTCGGAAGTCCACACTGCGTATGTAAGACAAACTCACCCACACACACACACACACACACAAGTGAAGTCTGTGAAGGTGGACCGTGTGCTGATCTTGAATTGGCCGCTGTGCACGGCCTATTGTTCTACAATTTACGCTCCGAGGCTGCTCTTGATAATGCTAGAAGCCAGTCATGGTTTGAGGCTTAAGGAAACAGGACAAATCATTCTTAAATTATATTGCCTGTTGTTTACAGGTGTAAGTTGGCCCAGTCTAATGGATGGGGTGTGATGGTCAGCCATCGCAGCGGCGAGACTGAAGACACCTTTATTGCTGATCTTGTGGTGGGGCTGTGCACCGGCCAGATAAAGACCGGTGCCCCATGCCGCTCCGAACGCCTGGCCAAATACAACCAGATACTACGGTGAGTTTTTTGGCATCTTTTACCCAATCCAACTTTAAGTGACCCAGGCAAGCTCTGAGCGACAGATCTATAAACACGTGTCAATAACAAGATAAAAGTTGAATTCATCAGATGAATATTATTTTTCATCATGTTTTAGTTCCCTGACCAGCCTTCATGTCAAGAATTCAGGAATTCATAATCCTCCATCTAATCCTGTTTAGTCTGTCAATTTTCTCCATTTTTAGAAAACAAAAATTGAATTTAGTCCTCAGACTTCAGTGTAATTGTCGAGGTTTGCCCTGATATTCTGATTAACCAGAAAGGCTGAAGACACTTGAAATGTCATTCCTCCTACTTTTAGCTTAATACCTGTATCCAAAATTGATGGACTTTTGATTGCGATACTGTTAAAATCTTGCTTTAGTGTCTTAAAAGCAACTTGATTTTCATTTCAATGTGACATTTTGCAGAAATTTGTGTCAGCATGTGTCAGCATGTGATTCAACTATGGTACTTACGATTGCTTGATTGTCTTTGTAGGATTGAAGAGGAACTTGGAGCCAATGCTGTGTACGCTGGTGTGAAATTCAGGCACCCTCTGAAGTAGGAACCCCCCTCCTGGAGGAATGGTTCGGTCCAGAATGAACAGAGATTGGCTATATTTACATAGTAGTTGGGTCAAACCACTAAGGTGAGATAGGGAGTAGAAATTATCAGATCCCACCCTAAAGATATATTATGAATGAATTATAAGGAAGTGTTTGTCTTCTTACTTGGACTTTTCACTTGGCAGCCATTTTGTCTGGTTCCATGAATCTAGATCACCTAAAGTTGGGTAGTTTCCCGGAACGGCACCAGATCATATTTGATCATGGGTACCTATCGGTATTTGAGAATCATGGCAGGCAAAAATGCAGCAATGCGAAATTCCATGTGTTGTGATGTGCAGTACCCAATGGTGATATTGTTAGACTGTCACTGTACAAACTCTTGAGGGCGCCAGATTGCGTTTGTGAATTACATGCACTCCTATGGAAGCCGCTGGCTTATGGCTGCAGCCACTTTCCATAGACTCGTGTGTTATTTCTAGCCGTAGCCATGTGATTTTAGATACGGCCGAAGCCCCATAAGTACTGGACTTCCTCCCTATTGTGAGCCACGCAGTTATTTCAGACAAAATTTCCCAAAATTTCCCCTGAAACTTACAGGATAACTAGACGTCTACAAGTACGGAATACAATTGTTCCTGGTTATTAACCAAGTAATTAGTTTCCCGAGAAAATGTGGGAGAAAAAAAGGTTTAGATTTCAAATTTGGCAGCACAACTTTTCAGGAATTTTAGCATGCATCGCTTTGTGGCTTACAATACTGAGGAAGACGCATATATGGGTCCGAGCAGACAGTACTCCTTTCGGTAGTGAACGTTTTGTAGTCTTTCAGCTGTATTTGCATGGCATAAAATCATACTTCTCACTTTAATGGATATTCCAAATTTGTTTGTGGTGTGTTTAGGCTTAGTCTGCCTCCTTTCCCATTTCTAACTTTAAAAAGTGAGGTAGATAGGTTGCTAGACTGATAAAAAATTAGTAAACGCCCTGCCACCTCAAGAAAAATACAGTAAAGTTGTGAATGCCAAAAGTTGGACAGTCAAGGAATTTTACTTGAAATGTCAAAAGAAATGTTTGAAGGTTGATTTTTTTTCAGCAACTTGGGAACCTGGCCAAAGCCACAAAACTCCCCAAGTGAATGACTTTTGGTTACATGATGAAACTGTTAGAGAATTTATGTTTCTATTGCGTGAAAAAAAAATAAATATATTTTAAGGATGTTAAAAGTCTCTCCAAATATATACAGTTGCAGTATTTTCAAGTGAAATACAAGTGCACATCCAACTTGACGGTAAGTCAGTTGATCAGAGGTGAAGTTTGGGTTAGTACAGTTTACTTTTGAAGTGACGTTTAGAACAGCTGCTAGAGTATTAGTGGAATTTTGAGTCGGGGTGATGTAAATCAAATTAGGTTTTGCCCTTCACCGACGTACTAGAAAGCAGGAGGTCGTGGGTTCGAGTCCCACCGAGTGATATTTTCCAACTTTCACTCGGGAGGTAACACACTGAGTATACAGTGTTTGTACGTCGGTGAAGGGCAAAACCTAATTTGAATATTAGTGGAATTGAACCTTTTTTCGCTGTCAGTCAAAAGGAATACAAACAAAAAGACTTGAAGATGGAATGAAGTAGTTTTCAAAAAGTAAAATAAAATGGAAAAAAAAAAACAACTGCAAAATGTGAGTAAACTGAACTATTTTGCTTTAGTTAATAGAATTAAGGACTAGAACGGTTGGAGAATGCCACATAGATCTTGTCATAGTGATTAGTCTGAGTTTATTTTCTGATGACTAGTTCTGCAAAATTTCTCTGCAATATCTGCATATTTCAAGTTCCTATTCTGCCGTGATGTGGTGTAAGATATAAGCATGCATAAACTGTTTGTAGTATTTTATTAAATTGTGAATTGAACAAAAGATAATGATTTGTTCTTTTTTAAAAACTTTCTAATCAACTGCTCCTATGCTTAGCATAAAGGTTTTGGATAGTTCAATAAAAACATCTCTATAGTATATCATGTTGGTAGTAACTCAGTATTTTTGATTTTGTGTCTGGATGGTTCCTAGACTTAGAAGTCTTTAAAAACATTCTTGGGAATTGGAAGAAAAAGTGTGAAAAAAAGTAACAGTGAAAAATGTTTAAAAGAAAATTAACCGCACCAAGCTTAACACAATGAATGATTGATCACTTTTAATTTTAATTTTTTGATGATGGAAAGAAATTACAGAATTGAAAAATAGTTCAAGTGGAAAGAGTAAATCGCTTATAAATACCAAATAATTATACTAATTTAAAGGACACTTTCAATTGTTCCACATAATTTTGTACAGGAGGCAAAAGTATGTACAAATTTCCAACAAACGTGACCCGGGAATTTTAAATACAGTGCAAGCAAGATCAATGGTTAAAAAATAAATTTCTGTGTGGAATTAACAATACACGTATAACAATGACGAAATGTATAAATAACAGTCTAGGCACTTCAAACTGTAACAGGCAACCAAATATAAGGCTTATCACCACATTTTTGTTGATTTTTGAACATATTTTCTTCCTTCAAAATGCCCAAATAAGTCAAGTTTTGCAACCATTTTTATTCTTCGTTAGCAATTTTCAACCGATTTTGGACTGTTTAGACAGACTTGTGTACTTGCACAGATACAAAAACCACTTTCGTTCAGGTATGTGTAATTATTGACAGTAAAAATACAAATTTTAGTAGTTGTTAGCAAAAACACCATTTTTTGGCTCATTCCGTGCCAAAGTGCGTGCTGTAATTCCGCAAAGTGCAAAGTTAACCAGAAATTTGCAAAAATATAAGTCGTGAAAAAAAAACAATCGCCAAATTTATATGCAATGTGCGTATCGAAATGAACAAAACGTGATTAGTTAATACAAATTTGGGTCATTATTAATGAGAGACCAATTTTTTTTTTATAGTTGCCAATCCTAAGGAATGATTTTGGAAAGTACTTCGCATTTTTATAACCTGTCATAGCACGCTGGAAAAGTGTGAACTCGGAAGACGGTCAGAGCATACTGACCGGAACATCGAGTTCATACCTCTGGTTCTTTTCAGAACCATTCTCTTAGTTGAGAAATTTTTCCCACATGGTGTCTCCGCAAACTTTTCATTCATTATTATCTCCACCATGCAAAACCTCAAATCTTACTTCTCAGAAACTTAGTTTCCAATTCAGTTCAAGATTAATTGAACTAAAGTTTCTCTCATCTATGATTTGCATTCTGTTGACAATTTAAGCACCTACAAAACAATTGATCTCCCATGGTCTAGTGATAAAAATAAAATTCCAGAGAAAATAAATAAAAGCTCCACCTTGACTACCTCTCCAATGTCCGGGAAGAAAACAGCACAGGAATTTTCAAGTAGGATTCGAAATTCTATCCTTATTTCTGGGTCAAACGTCTTCTGTTGGTCCTCACGGGAGCAGGGCTCATTCCAAATGAAGCCGGACTGGAGAAAAACAAATCCACTTCATCTAATATTCACCAGGTAGATTACAGATCAGGGGCTTCTGATAGGAAGCTCCCGTTTGTAAGTCAGTTTCAACGTGAGAGAGGATTTTGCCTTCAAGGCGTCTTCATTCTGCATTTTTATCGTGGGTTCACGCAACCTTTTTCTTAAAGTAAATTTCTTTAACAGAAGTTGATTGGTTCTTAGAACCACAAACCAGACGAAATTTGTACTGGGAAGCTGCCAGCGAAATTTCATCAATACTTCTACAACCAATCCTACTTATGTCGTCCAACAAGAAAAAGAAATTAGGCCTATGAAACCAATATTCCATTGAAATTTACAGGAATTGGCAAACAGGTTGACTAGTTAACTAGTCAATTTTTTTTTATAACTATAGTTGTAAAAAAAAATTCTATCATAATTATCTTGTTTATCAGTGTGGAATGCATCTTTGCATTTTCGTAAGCTCTAATGGCTTTTACCACGTATATCTGAGGAATTTTGGTACCTTCATAAACTGTAACTCATCATTTTTGGTATGAGCTTTCTGAATCCGAAATACTCTGCAGAAACCCAATGTAAATTAGAACTTGCCAGCTAGGCTCTACTTTCTTCAATTCTGAAGAAAATCTTCACAAATTTTGAAGAATCTAGAATGATTAGGGTTAATACTTTAACTGATTGTGATCTTGGTTTCAAAGGTGTTTGGTTATAAAGAAGTTGTACTTGTAGCAGTCTCCATATCTATGACACACTGTGTCTTGTGTGGGCCCATTTCTTCAAGCTCCTCTGCCATGTAGATGGGTCCGATGAAATCAATCCCAGCATTCTCTCTCGGCTTGGCAACAAGGCTCCCTGCATTGTCATAATCCCACCGAACCATTGGTTTCACATTGTCACTGTCGCCTGTCTGTGTGCCCAAACTTCGGTGCTTCACAAAGCGTTTGACACGTTTCTGGTGAGCGTAGTCCTGAATCCCTGTTTTATGCTGTGGTGATATGAGGTCGCAACTTTTATACATTGTAGTTTCGCAGCTTAGACTCTTTGGCAGAATACGGTTGACGTAGCTGTTCCTTCGTGGCGCAGGGCCAAAGTCGCTTTGTGTTGATGCGTAATCATACGCACTACATTCACTACTTGGGTATCTCGGCGTAATGGCTTGGTAAGGCATACCATAGGGGGCGCCATACATGTCGTGGTATGGATTCCGATTCGGTTGTCGGTGATGCGGAAAGCACTGTGGGTATTGAGTGGGGAAAGATGGGACACTATAACGGGACTGTCTCATGTTCATGATGTTGTTGCGACAGACCTTAGGGTGGGGAAGTCCATCATTGTCGGATGCGACCGAACCGGATCTGTTCAGGTTGAGATTTGACGTCTCGTCAACGCTTGCCATGAATAAGGTTGGTTCGATGCTACCGAGCCTTGGTAGCATCCTCTCGTGTCCTGCAGCAACACTCATCCCATCAGCCAAAGCTCGGCCTTCCTCCAAAGATGCCATGGCTCTGAGACGCAAGCTATCCTGCGAGATGAAACTCTCAACGTACCCAGAATCCTTGGAGTCATTCCGCTGGCTGGACCGCATCCCAAAGTAGTGGTTGAGCTTGAAGCGCCTCCTAGCATCACTGAGGCTCTCCGTCTCTGAGCTCTCGATGAAGTTGCCCTTCTCCACGGAACCGTCTTCGGAGTCAGATGCATTGTGGGTCATGGCATCCAGGTTGCTGCGATGCACCTCGGCGTCAATCTTCATCCTCAATGGAGGACAGGTCTCCTCGCTGAGCATTGAAACCTCGGTCGTCATCTCTTCAGCGGATGAGATGACAGGGTTGTCGTACGCATGCTCCTCCGCGTCACAACTCTTGCCTCCCATTATAAGACCCGTCCTGGATGAGACGTCACTCTTGGTGCGATCGCGAGCCATGCCTAGAGGGGGTGGGGCGATAGGGATGTAGGTGCCTGCATCCAGCAGGGCGTCCAAGGTTCGATTCCTATCCATGTCCTTTCCAATCGGAATCTGTAGATACGAAATGTGATGGCAAGATGTTTAAGTTCAATCGAATGCTTTCAGAATCAAATTCAGAATTGAAGAGAAGAAGTTAGGTCAATTATTTCAGGCTTCAACTGACATGAGGCTGATGCTTTTTGAATTGTCTTACTCTGGAGCATGGATTATATTCTCAGGCCCTCTTACTAGTTCTAGCACCATTCGTTCTGGCTAGCATTTTTTTCTCCTCCTTTTTCAGGAACGTTTTTTGCCCCCCCCCCCCAGCGGATGTCTGTGCCCACGTGTAGCCCCCCCCCCCTCAAAATCTTGAATTGAATTGAACAAAAATAAATACTATTTGCCGTCAGCACCCCCTTAAAAAGGTTAACCCAAGTTATGGCCACTGAATGTACCTCAGGTATCTTGGCCCTGGATTGTAAGGAGGGGCTGTGGCTACGTCTTAAGGGTCGCTTGTTGGTCCTCCTGGTGCTGGAGTTGGAGTCTGTACACATCTTGATTGTCACTCGCTTTACTGGCGGCTTGCTGTCACCATTTCCAGCCTGCGAGACAAAACGAGAACATGAAATTATTAGTCATTTCCCTTTTGTAAGAAACCGCCAAATATGCTGCTATATTGTTATAATAGACCTTTCTACGCTTGGTTGGCAAACTGCACATTTTGCCAACCGCGGGTTGCAAAACTATGGAAGGTCCAACATAACACTGCGAAAATGAAGAAAAGTTATTAAAGATAAGCAAATTATTATTTGATTGTTGGAAATACAACATTGTCAACAAACCTACAAAATAATTCCTACACATACCTCTTAACTATGTATTGATGGCGTTATGAGGACTTTTTTTTGGAAAAATATGTTGCCATCCACGGCTTCAATTTATGCGCTTGCGACAGCCCATATAAAATGGCGCCAATGTTTACAAACAAAAAAAAGGTCTGTAGAGTTGAGTTACCCTATCTTTCAACCAAGTATGTTTTTCAACAATAATTACGTCAGTTACTTTTTGGATAGCTGCAAATGATGGACTGTAGCTTTAAGTTACTTTCAGTGGTATGTTTCTAGTCTTTGGGAAAAGTGGACGTGGCCTGCTCAAAAGGACAAGCCTAACCGTGACGATTCACAGGTTAGGTTGAGTTGAGACAGTAAAGTCTCAACTCAATTAGCTTTGATAATATAACAGCCAAGTTCATTTGAAACAGTTTTATTTGATTCAGTTCAGTCCATTATTAAGGAGAAGTTATCAAGAAGACAAAAATTAAACAAATTTATCACAGGCCCCTATATTATTTTTAAATTAAAATGAAATCTAACTGCAGCATCGGATCGCACTATCGTGACTTGCTTAACAACTGATTTCGCGAAACGTCCACGCGGTTCGCAAAATTTACAACCAATGATGAGAACACCGACATGGAATGCTTGTAACTTTCTTTCTGAGAACAGTTTAATTGCACTGAAGACGATTCGCTTCACGGTTTGCGTCACATTTCGCCGAATCTGAGTTCGTGTGTTTACATTTCTTTAATGGCCACTCAAAAACACCCCATACGATTAGCAGAAAGAAAACGGAAAAGCGTAGCACGTTTTAATTGTTTTGTTTAGCTGTACGGTCAGAAACTGCACTGGGGAATTATTGACACATTGATTAAGGTTTTGGTTGTAACCAGAAAAAGGAGGCTCGCGTGCGATGACAGACAACATTTCTTCATTAGCAGAGGGGCCGTCGGGAATTACTTTGTGATTAAAAAAGACGGGGCGACCTTGCTTTGGGAGAAATACACACAAACCATTGAAAGAGCGCGGGAAAAAAAGGAGAACACTGCCGAGTTCCAGCAGTTCGATAACACGAGACCCACTCAGCTGTCATGGCAACTCCCGCTTAAAAATGAGAGTAAAGAATTTTGATGACAGGGAACGCGGGAGAAACGGGTTGGATGTCGTCCGACTTGTGAGTGATGATTAGGTCCCGGGCTGGGCGTGATCATGGCTCCATGGCGTGATGGATCACAGACAAAACCACTCTATAATCATATGGGTGGGTCAGGGGTGCCATGTTTAGGGTAAGACGCAGGTTAGTATTGTACCTGTCCAAAATGGCCGCCCAAAATTGATGAGCCTTAGGCGGCGTCTGAATTAACTAGTGCCGAAGTTTCCGGGTTATATTTATACACGATAACTAAATTATGACAAGCTTGAGTCTGGATTCCATAAAAAATAAAAAATCCTTCGATAAAATCTGCCAAGGGAAAAACAAGAAGAAAACAACTCTTCAATATAAACACGACCAGGCATTCGATTATCGTCGTTCTCAGGAAACAACTCATTTCCCTTTTTTTCAACAACGGGCACAATTTCATTTTGTAAACTCTCACGAGAGAAGGCCACTCAGGTTGTCATAGGAACACAATCGTTATTGCTCAATTATGTCACTATTTTAAAAAAAATTTCGGCCAACGGTTTTTATAGCCAATTATAAACCACTACCTCCCGTTCTTGGCTCCATTATTAAACCCGCGGGAAATGATGTTATTGAGCAGATTGGAATTTTCTTTACTGACAAATTCAATCTCAAAGATGACAAGGCTGGTCAAAGGTTTTGTAGACCAACAGAGAAATAAGAAAAAACGTCGTTGTATTAGAAAAAATAATAATCATCTCTCTAGCCTCAGTATTTTCAAGACGATTCTCACAACTTTATCATTAAATTTTCAAGACAACAATCATGATTCGATGTCCGATGTGTCAGATAGGAGCAAGGGAGTGTCCCTAGTCATTTGGGTTGTCATGGTAACAGGAGATAAGCAATCGCCTGTGGAGCCGCACAGATCCGGACAAACTACTTCAACCCCGTCCTGACGGATCGACCAAATCCCAACCATGCGCGTACCGACCTACTTGCTTCCCGGCAACCCACTATTGTTTTTCTTCAGGATATATTTTAGTATATCCCCGCGCTGCAAGACTTTTAATGCGTATGGAATCAACACGTCTGCATAGTGTGATATAACACAGAGAGAGGCCGAGGTAATAGTTAATAACTATTGCCCTATACATCAGAGAGACCGCTAATGCATCGGGTGAAGAGTTCTGGATCAGAGAGAACTGTTGCCATTAAAAATGACATGTTAAGAGGGAATTTAGAAGGGAAAAAAGGTGAACACACCTCGCCTATAATACGTAATGTCCACTTAGCCTTTACTTGATACACGGTGAATGGTTACGTCGGTTTTGTTATTGCTGTCATAAAACGTGTAATAGAAAATATGGTTTATTACACCAAGTGTCTGATGTGGCCTTATTCCACCAAGGAGCAATAACATGGAGAGAAAAAATACGAGAGAAAATATGCAAGACAAGGCAAGTCTGGTAAAGCTGGTCCCAGTGTGCACAAAATACTATTCAACTGTCCTATCGCCGTTTGCGAGTTAGCCACGCCCCTTACACAACCCTATGGAATTTTTGTACACTAGTTTTGTTTGTCTCAGATTGTGCGCATTCCGCGTCCATTTGTATACATATCATGTAATTGGACAATATCTCACAAGCTGCGTTGACGCTATTCTAACGCGATTCTACCGCGATAGGTTAATTGATACAGAATGGCCCACATAACAGTACTCACTCACACGATTAGGTTACAGACATTATTCTCGAGGAAGCCATTTTTGATCGTGTTCCCTGAATGTATTTTATAAATTGTAGACTGTTGAATGGGATGGTGCCAGACTTCCAAGCCTAACTTTAAATTTTATTTCAAAGGCGGTTTAAAAGATTAGGGAATGTTTATCACAAATTTCAAATTATTCATCAGAGCAGACTGGTATTATTTCTAATTAACTTTACTTCATTGGTTTCATTTCTTCGCAAGCGTCAAAAACGAAGAGTTTACCTCGCTTTCAATTTAATATGGTTGACTCGTGAAAAATACCTATTCAGCATTACCTGGCTCTCCTCACCAGCCAACAACTAGGCTAAAGTCACAAGTGACAACCAGTCAGTGAATCCGTCGGGGAGTCAGTCAGTGAGATAGGTATGACTACATGCATGGCTGGCCCCCAGCTCGGGAGTCGGGACCAGTATAAACTGAGAAATTCAACACACATTGTTGTCTTGTCAGGGTGCATACCTATGTTCTCAATACCGATGTTCCCTAATACCGATGTTCCCCGAAATCCATACCCTATAACCCTAGCCCTAGCCCTTGCCCTTGCCCTTACCCTAACCCTAACCCTAACCCTCATGCTAAGGATTTCGGGGAACATCGGTATTGGGGAACATCGGGTAGACCCCGTCTTGTCATAGACCGTATGCGTTCAGGCAGAGTTAGAGGCACTGTGTGTTTATCGTTCGGATAGGCATGAGTAAACCTTCCGTGCATTCATTGTTACTGAATTGAGATAACAAAAGAATACCCTCCGAGACACCTGCAACTGCATAAGGTCTATTAGTGTTGCATGGATCTTTACTTAAGCCCTCTTTTGATTTCGTGTACCGTTAATTTTTTTTTTTTTACACTGGGACGTTTTCTGCTATAGACCATTATCATGTTGCAGCCATTAGATTTTTTTCCCATTCAAATCAATGTAACCAAAGCGAGGCTGGAGGGAAAATGGTCTGGTTCCTTTTTGCACAAAAACATTATCATTCATTACTGTTATTGGATACAGGGAACATGACTAAAATGGTGGAAGCATGATATAGGCCTATAGGGGTTGGGCTTTCGTGGCCGCTTCGTGTAAGCTGTCTCGTAACAGAAGAATCGAACCTCAGGGACTTGCCCCAGGGACTTACCCCACCCAGCCAACAACAATAATTCGTCTCCACTGAAGGAAATTTACGATGCAGGAGAAACAGTGTTTATGAAAAGCAAGAAGCTATGACTCGATCCCAAGGTCTGTGCAATTTCACAGCGAGATGGAACAACATCAGCGGAAATTACACAACGGGTTACATAAAATTGATAGCAGGCAGTCCCTTGGGTGTCAAAAATGATGCAGCATTATCGGATTACCGAACGCGGACTGGGCACAGAGAGTGGTGCTGGTACAAAGGTGATTTATGGTTTTTAATTAGGAGCCGGGGTTATGCAAAATGTCGCCATGGCGATCGGTTATATGGTCTGATCGAGACATTGGTTTGGGCCGTGATTCTGAGCGATGGGAACCCGCCATATTGAGGGAACATTTTCTTGCCGTAACACTTTTGATGACATTAGTCAAACATGACGTGATTCTCAAGGCAGTGGCGTGAAAATTCAGGCAGATTATACATAATTATTACATATCAGATGAACGATACTTACATTGTCTTTTATGTTATTCTGCCCCCAAAAAAATGGTTTTATTATTCTCTTCAGATGGCTTTCAACACTGAAAAATTGCCTGGGTTAATTGTACCCAAGCCAGGGTGAAAACTGCAACTACCCAAACATTGGGTTGTCCATACCCAATTGTTTGGGTTGGAATTTCTGTTAATTTAACCAAAACTTGAGGTCATACAAGACCAAACCACAAGTTTTGGTTGAATTTAACAGAAATTCTAATCCAAACAATTGGGTAAAGGGCAACCCAATGTTTGGGTATTTGCATTTTTCACTCTTGCTTGGGTCAAATTAACTCTAGGTAATTTTTCGTTAAGGATAGCCCGTCACACTGAAAGCGAACGATCAGCACCATTACATCATTGAGTGATCAGTGTCTACTTTTTGGTGGGGGGGGGGGAGCTGGTTGGTTTATATTTGATCGCATCTTCTCTTCTCCTTGCCAATTTAGTAATACGACTGTCTACAAAAGATGTAATGTCAAAGCCCAAGGACATCATAATCATCACCCAGTAAATCCTCTTCAGTATTCGGAAAAAGATTGTTTGGTAAGCAACAGCTATGCCCAAATGACGAAATAGCTGAAATAAATTATTTTAAATGAAATTTAGCAGATTATCGGCGACATGTCTCCCTATTCATAATTTATACGTTTTTTGTGATTTCTAAATTTCTGGTTTTCTCTGCTACATTGGAAAGGTTCTTCAACCTTTGAACATTGACAATTAACTTGTCCAAAATAAATTTCAATAAATTGCTGTGAACAGTTCTCTTTCGTTTCGCTCTTAATTTAATTTTACTGCCTTATGGATAGGCTCCATTAGAAACTCAAACCAATTCCTGTAGTTCTCCCTGAAAGCCATCATATATCATCTGTAGAATGTTTTGATTAGTCTGCTGACGTCAGAATGACGTCAATGAAACCACGACCGGATATAATGACTGGTTTCCAGGGTACCGTAATAACAACGAATGGTGAATAAATGAGAGCCATGGGACATTATCTGGTTTACAGTGGACAAACTAGAAAACACCTTACACAAAAAGAAACCTGCACGACCAGTTGTTGACAGTGCTATCAGCATTTGCTGCCCGAACGATTTTATCGCCTTCACACGAAGTAAGGTTAAGACACTATGTTCTACTCGGTGATGTAAAGGTTCAGTATCATGGATGCGTGGAAACCCATTACCCTAACAACACCTATGGAGGTCATGTGCACCTGCACAGGCGCCCTAGCACGAACGATGAACACCTAGAATTAATAGTCTAACCCGTATATTTTTTTTTTGGGGGGGGGGAGACTTGAAAATTGGAGTAAAGATGGAATTGGCACTAACACCCTTTCAGATAATAGTAACGGTATAATGGGGAAAAAGTAATTTTATTCGAGTCGGGAGGAAACACACATGGAAATTTCAAATGGTTCTTCGTCCTCAAAAAGTATCGCTGAAACGTATGCATAATATTATGGCGTTGTTGGCCACAAAATCGTTTACAGCGTACTATCGATCTAATGTCGTGACGTCACATATGTAGTGGCATTCAGCCCATGCCTGCGCACTAAATGCAATAAATGCATACGCTGACTGCGCTGCCACGTAATCTGACGTAAGACGAAGCCATTGTGACCTCATAAAAATTGCAATGTAGGTATACACCTTAGCCTCAACATAAAGATACTCAGTGCTTTTTAAGGCCACAGGGATCAGTACATATGGCGCGAGCCCCTAGGTACTATCAAAGGCTCCAGGCACCTTTACTTGGACATAAATGTCACGGTTTGCGTAAATTAAATATGACTGCACTATTATTTATCATCTCGAAATGCTCTTACCGCATTTTTCCTCTTTTTCTTCACGATTTCCAACTCTAATCGTCTCTTCTTGATTCTACTTCTGCAAAGAGGACAGATGTTTTTATGAGATAATATATAATTCATATTTCGCTTGAACTGTGATGGTGAAAACATGTCAGAACTTGTACACGCGAATGCTTGCATCCAATAATTGTTGATGGATAAGGCTGATGGCTAAGGCAATAATTGCTGGAGGCTAGGTGCAGGCCCGTCGCTAAGGGGGGGGGGGGGGAGGGGGGGGGGCAGGGGGCCGGCTGCAACTGTTGAGCAACTGCCCCCCCCCCATAAGCGTACAAAAGACCTACAATTGTGGGTTTTTTCTTGTGGTTTCCCCGGGCGGCTGGCGACGGTCCTGGTTAGGTGTCATTTTTGACTTAAGCATTTTTGACTTACTTCTTGAAATGAGAAATCGATATAGGTCAGCTTACCTGATGCGGAGTGATATCGCTGTGATTGCAAAGCAACCGATGACAATCGACAGCGTGATTATGAGGCCCAACTTGAATTTATCTGTGCAATAAAAAACAAATTGTAACCATTCAGACAATCATCCATAGCATGCAAAAACGGGACGTGACATATCTGAAGAGGGCGTGGTACATCCGGAGAGGGCGTGGCGCATCTCTCTAAAAAAAGAAACAATTAATTCAAATTGTAAAACACGAAACAGAGCATGGCAAATTCAAAGAGGGCGTGGCACATACGGAGAGGGCGTGGCTGCATGATCCCTGTACTTGCATGCTAATTAGCTGAGACAAAAAGTCTCAGCATAGAGAAACGTCCCTCTTGATGTCTCGCATATGCCACGCCCTAGCATCACAGTGTCCTTAGTAACCAGCTCAGATAGTGTGACGTCAACGCCAAATAACAAAAATCAATTTCCTTCACCAATTTGAAATGACAAACCACGCGAAGTAAACAGAAGAGATCATTAAATTGGCTGCATGCTTCTCTATAATTTGATCTGAAGTAAAAAGATAAGGTTTCACAATCTGGGCTAAACATGACGGTTGTTATACGTCATATCGATAATTGGTCAATATTAGCTGCACGTCTCGGAGTGCATTAAGGCCAGCCGTCTTTGTTCCAATATTTGTTCCATTATTTCTGTCAACACATTTGCTATTTAACAAATTAAAAGTTCCTGTGTTTCTTAGTAGGTTGCGTTCGTCCCTTGAATGCTAATAGAACCGTGAACCTGAATGAAAGTTGGTGGATTATGTCATGACGTCACTTCGGGAACGGACTTCAAATCGTCAGATAGTGTCTTTAAGATAATCACCAGTTCCCCTCTTCATCAACGTGACAGATCTGATAAGTCTGACAAGATGCTACGGCACGGCACGAAAACCAAACAAACGAGGTATACCAGTGTCTTGGGACTGCGGCCAGGAATTCATTTTGCTCATTTCCAATGTGATTGACTGTGGGCCCTTCAGCGTCCCCCGTGCAATGGCTGTGTTTCTAGGCAAGATTGCTTGTCGTAAGGCCTGCAGAGGTTCGGTAGACGTGTTCTGTGTGCATTATGGCTGATGCCATGTTCAACTGTTATTCTCTTTTTTCAGTCATGCCTGCGGTGGTAGATTTAGATGTAGACTTAATGTGTCCAAGTCTCTGCACCAGAGGGAGTTGGATCTTTCAAAATAACTGCGTGTGCATAGTGACGTAGAGGCTTTCTGAGCATTGAATGCTTGGCCTGAGAGTAGTGCACTTCTGCGGCCACTCAGGTAAAATCTTCCGCAGGCTACTTGGAATGAAATGGTTTCTGCTTTTACCGAGGGTGGCAGGGTACGACCCAGAATATGTCATCATGGACCTATTATCCATTTGGCCACTTGTCCCTTGTCAACCCTAAGTGTCATTTGGTGTCACCTGTACCATTACAACGTGCCCAACAGACTTCCAAATACTATCGTTATGCCCATCTTATCGGAGTCTTATATAGCGCACGTATCTACCAACAATTAGGTACTCAAGGCGCTGGAGATATGTCTATTATTAAAGAAAGGTAAATAAAGTTTATGAGAAATATGAGACCCATTATGTAGCACCTTATAAGGGTTTACAAGGTGCTGCGGCGCATATTGCAGCCACTGCCAGAAACACCGGGGCAAACCCCTTCTCTTAGCGATAAGTGTTACTGGGTTCTTTAACGTGCATTACACAACACACGGGACCTACGGCTTTACGTCCCATCCGAAGGACGAAGCAATAATGGTAAAGTGCCTTGCTCAAGAGCACAAGCACCATGTTCCCACGGTCAGGATTCGAACCCATGTACCACGGCACACGAGTCAAACACCGTAACCATTGGACCACAGCACCCCACAGCTATCTTTTGATAGCAGAAACACAACCAAGTGTAACTGACGTCACTCACTGCAGCCAATTATTTTTCTGTACCTAAAATTGGGGCGCCTTCAGGTCTCTTGAAGCCATGTTCTGTCAAAATATCCCGGATCTTCCCAAATGACAATTTCATTGGTAGTATTTCTTTTCCAAATCGTTTTTGAAATAAACATTTCCAATACAATGATACAATGATCTAGTATAGTCACCTAATTCTCTCTGAAGAATGTGGGCCTTATTCACCAGTTGGCCATTTTTGTTGAGTTCCCTGAACATGTATCATTAATTCTTAACTGTTGAATGGGATGGCGCCAGACTATATTTGCAGGCATAAGGCCAAAAAAAAGTCTCCGGTTTCTGGTATGGAGCTTGCCCCAAAAGTGGTGCGGCAACGCGGCTTTTTTTTTTTTACCTGGTTTTTTTTTTTTCTTCAAATGTCGGCTGATGACTGCAAATGGTGCCCGACTAAACTTAGTGCAAATATATGGGAGTCCAGAGAAGCCACATAAATCTTATTCTCGATCATAACCCCATCTAAAAACACGTTAAAATTGTGCAGCAGCAGAATTCCAGTCAAACCAGTGAGTTTGGCGGTTTTGAAACATCATCTTGTATTGAAACAAAACTTTTTCATTTTGCCGACGCGCATGGCTACGGCGACGCGCGCGCGTACCAGAAACCGGAGACTTTTTTTTTGGCCTAATGCAGCCTTTTAAAAAAAATTTTTTTTACTGTCATTCCTTTTTAGAATCTGGCATTAAACATTAAGGAATGTTTTAAGTACAAATTTGAATTATTCATTTAAGCAGACTGGAATAAATTAGTAATTAAGTTGCTTTCATTTCTCTACACAAGTTCCAAAAATGAAGATTTCACCTCACTCTCAACATGGCCGGTTCGTGAATAAGGCCCATTATGATATAAACCTGAAGGAATATCAAACTCAACTCTGTGCTCTAAATGTTCATCAATCTCTATGCCACGTCTTGTTCCCACTGTGACCACTTTCAAAGCTGGCACTTGCTCATTACGGCCACTATCCACTAACCAACCTGTGTATTGTGGCCATTGGTTCGCCCTGCCTCATGGATATTCTATTTTCTTTAAAGAATTGATATCACTACCATGCAAAAGAAACGGCAACAAACATGTCATTATTTTGTTTGCAAAATCATTTAGCCTTTTCCGTAAGCAATCAGTCTCTGAAGTGAATATTTTTAGCCGCTTTCTACTAAAATTAGGCCTTTTTGAAGGATTACCCCCACAATCAATTATGATTAATTAAACTGACGACTTTCCAAACGTGCCCACGCCTAGCCAACTTGACAAATATTGAGAAACTACTTCACCTAGTTTAGCCGGCAAATGTGACCTTTTTGAGATTCGACTTTGGTATTTTCCAGCACACTTAGAACAGGATGTCACATTGAGAGATTTGTGAGTTGCATACTAGGTGGCGAGTGAGACACAGTATAATGCAGAGTTCGTTAATGAGTATCTACTCGAGTGTGTAAACTCGAAAGTCATCGAAGCCAGCTGCAGTCGCGTTTTATTGAAAGCAACATATCAGTGTCTCGAGTCAAATGAATCAATACGCAGATAATTTGTTTTAAAATCAATTCCTGGCTGTTCTTAAACCTAGAAACAAGTTCCAATCATACAACGTGTATACATTCATTAAGCAGACTAATTGAAAGTGGTCCAGTCCGGATCACAGAAGGATGTAAATAATAAAAATTGCCCCTACGAGGGCGCTGTATGGAAGTTGTCTGCGGATGTTGTTGGCCAATCAAAGCGCAGTTGCCCAAAATGGAAACAAATGTCATGGGCACTTTTACCGCGATTATGTTCCTCAAGTTTTCCGTATTTGTCACTATCAGCTCTTTACTTGCCTCAGTTTTTTGTTTGCTAAATGGGTACATTACTGTGTCTACTTGAAGGCAAACCCAATTAACTTTTTTTCTGCTTTATAACCCTCAGGTTTATTTTGCTGTATCACTCACTATGTGTCAGCTGCCATTTTGCGTGCAATCAATATGGCTGCCGTGTGTGTTCACCAATTCCTTAACATTGAGGGCTCGCTTTAAATGAGGCAAATGTACCTGACAATTTCACGCCTTTTAGATGCAAGATAGGAATGGATGGCTTTCATGAAGGACATCAAAATAACGGATGTAGTTGGGTTCCATTCATGTACATGTATGGAACGCAAACCGGTTCAAAATTTATCAAGAACTGAAAATACTTTTTTTTTAACCTCAAGGGAGAAAACAGGTACCCAATACAGTGCGAGGCATTGCCAGGCATTGCCAAAAAATTCTGTTATAAGCAGAATATCTACACTGCAAAAACTGAGGTGTTAAATTTACACCATTGGTATCTATATAGGACCATCTGGTGTTACATTTTACTGGTGTTGTCCTATATAGATACCGAATGGTGTTAAATTAACACTGCAGTTTTTGCAGTGTATCTTCACCTGGCGTTATTAATGCGAAACGACCGCGCGCTGTAGATGTAAGTAATTCCAATGTACACAGCCGCTGGCAACCGTGCTAAAAATGTCACGTTTTGGTTTATTAATCTTCAGTGGAAGACATCACTCGAGTTCGACGGGGCGTGCTGGGCTCAACCAAGCGTAAAACCCTTAAAATCACCCGGGAAATTAATAGACAAAGTGCCGACTGATTTACGCCAGTCTTGATATCGGTAAACGCTGATTTGTGAGACCGAGTGGCAATGGGGCATCTTGCGAGGCGAAGACAAGCAAGAGATAACTCACGTCTGAAGTTTGGATTGAGGAGACGATAAAGTTTCTTCACTCTTAAAACGGCATGGTAAGAATACTGCCTTGTTTCTCTAGTTCACGAGAACTGACTGAAAATCTACTCGCTGCTAAAAAAAACACGCGCCAATCGATAAGCTTTCAACTAGATTGTCATTAAGAGTATAATCCCGGTATAATAAAACTTCTAGCTAGTTTTAGTAGGCATATTATAATAGAACAAGTTTATATGACTGATGTTCATAGTTGCGACCGGCTGATTGTAAATGCCTAGTTTGGTTTGATGGTTACTAGAGAAGTTGAGTTGGATGATTACCATGCTAGCGTGTCAACAGTTTGAATTTAATATAGGCATACTTTGATATTTCGGCGATTGCGCACCTAACCAAATACGTGATGGGGTTTGTCGTGTGTAATGCCATATGCCGGTACCCTTTTCAGAAAGTACATTTTTTTTTAAGGAGGGTAATTATCGTTATCTTGACAAAGTAATGAGCATTTTTGACCATAAACCATTAAATCTCACATAAATCCTAATGGTCACATTCGACAAATTTGTGAGAAACAAAACAATTGCCGTCTAATTTACCACGCAATGAGAGTCGTAAAACATGTACGGAATATCATGTAAGATTTATGGTTTTGCATTAGGGCAAATCGGCGCCCATTTCCCCCATCTTTTCGAGGAGAGGAAAGCACTTTCACGGAACATTTTCCCTCGCATGTACCGGCTCATAAATTTGAATCAAGCTTGTACCATGTCATTTTACAGAACTGCCAGTACATAATGGCTGCACCATCATTAGCTGGAGCGCTAGCGCCGCATTCAATGCAGCAACGAGCATGACAACCGGTAATTCCCCAAACACGAATCGGTAGTTTCTTCAAATCGAAAATCACTCTAATTTTGTCCCCCATGTCAAACCTGACATAAAGATTCAGGGAATAATCTCTCTAGGAAAGTTTCACTGCAATACATAGAAAACAATTGATATGAAACGAAATCGAGTTAAATGTATTTCTGGGATGGGAACCAAAGAAACTAGATCGTTAAGACGAATCCCATGCAAGCTTTCCTTAAAAAACAGAAAGGAGTCACGTTTCTGAGGACGCTGCTCGAGGAAATTATCCCCAGGCATGTACGGGCACAAGCTTACACCATTAAGGTTCCAAGCAAGCAGCGGCGCGCTTTTAATCTGCTGCACTTAATCATCGCATATTAGATTTTCTAAGACAGATGGGCGGTTGATTTCTCTTTCTGCGGTCTCTCAAATGACACGCGTTGCGGGCGTTTTTATCGGGCTTTTATCGGAGAAATGATGCGGCTGTTTTTTTTTTAGCAGAAATCGACCCAAATGTCACTGCTGTTTATTCAACCCGTTCTTGACTTTTTGTTCGCATTTTCCGCTGTTTTTGAAAGTAAAACATTGATGCAGCACTAGTTTAGGTTAGCCTCTAAACAAAACAAGCGAATCTTTCAAGTGGTTTAATTTATTGAAGTCCTTTCCCCCCATATTTTGTGGACATTTCCCAGGAGACTTTTCTGCCCAGGACGAGGACCTTACCCGGCCATTATCCACTAGACCTTTCAATGCTATCGCGACTCTTGCGTCATCGTGACGTCACTGCGAGCAAAAAAGCATGCATAATGGAGGTTTCAGTTCGGCTCGCGAAATGTCACGCTTGTAAATGATCGGCTTGAATAATGAAAGCATGGCGCATTTTTATGTCCCAATGGAAAACTCAAAGTGAAGATGTCTTCACACAGGCGTGTGTATGAAGGACAGTCGTGGGGCGATTGGAGGCCTATAAAACAGGTTGATTAGCCGAGGTGTTAGACAAATTGACGCCCCGAGAAGGTTAACAGAGCGGCTGCGGCTAATTGAAAATGTGAACCAACGACAGGTTGGTGACTTGTATTATAAAGACATCTTCTGATTGGAAAGACTTTGCCCCAGGTGTTTGTGGAGATGTCTGTCGGCCATGGGGAGTGACCCAAGTTCCCATCGGATCACATCGTGTCGCATATTAATCATACTGTAATAACATTGTGAATAACATTGTGTGTGACGAGCAGCCACGGGCAAACATACACGAGTGTGAAACATTGCCTAAATCACCAAGAGTCCAAGATGGCGCTATAAGCCTCAGTATAGGGCGTTCATATACAGTGGGTTGAACAAGAGGCTTTTCAAACACGCAAATAAACAGAGCTTTTCTAGATAGAGAGCTCTTAGTGATCAACAATAATATGGAAGAATCCCACGAAAGAAGTCTTAGGCACAACAGTGTTATTATGCAGTAGAAAGACCATACTCCTCCTTTTGATATATCACTGAGCCTGACATCTTAGTCATGCATATAATGTGGGAGAATGTGAATTGTTCTTTTGATTTTTTTCAAATTCTAAGAGGCCTGTGGGAAAAAGGTAGCTCTGCCGCTTTATGACTCATTTTGTTGGATTGAGTCACGATAATTTTCACCTTTACACGCCGGGATCTTGTACTTTTATCTCGCCTCTGATTACCCACAACAAAGCCAGAAAAATCACCTAATCATCCATCGCTGTGAAGCAAAATTATTAAGCAAATCTTTTAGCCGATGATTCGATGATCCATGCTGCAGCGTGATGCGAACAACATTTGAGAAACAAACAAGCAAAGATAACGAAAAAAACAACAATATTGCGACCAAACCAAGGACATGAAATCACGCCGGAGGCGATGCGAGTGAAGGTTAGCCAGGGCGGTGAACAATTGACTGAAACTGCTGCCCACCTTTAAAAGCTGAGTCAATATTTATCATCGAATCGACTAAAAGGGGTACGTTGAGCGGTGGGGATGAGAAGCTAATGTTCATCAAATTTTGCTGTTTTGGGTTTAGAGTCTGTGTGCACAAGCTACAAACATCAAACAAGGAGAATATACTTTGCAACCATTATGGTTGTTCAGAAAAGTGTTCTCGTATTTCAATTTTGTTTTAAGAAAAAGTATATTTTAATAAAATAACTGAATAATCGTGATAAAATTGCAGGTTGAAAAAACGAGCATACATAAGCCGTTGATATAAAAGCCTGACACGACCAGTCGGACTTATCCAAAACGTCGGCTTGAGAATGAAACTATTTATGAACTTCGAGACCTATCAAATTTGTACTTTTGGGGGAAAACGCAGGATACAAGCGCAGAACTAAGTTCAGGAACAAAATTTGGCAAAGTAATATAAAAAAGCTGTTTAATTAAACACGCTACCGGCTAAGAACAATGCTGGATCTATTATTGGTAATGGTACAACCATTCTTTCATTTAACGGCGGTGATGCAACAGCTGCGTTGAATGTACTTTTCGCGTTAATATTTTACCGCCAAAACGTGTTCGCCTTTTATTGTTACAAAAAAGGGAGCAATTCGGCTGTTGCAAAAAAAGCAGAATCGTTTGAGATAAATCGACTGAATTTGAGCAGTTCATTCATTTCTGGTTTCACAACTGGGGTATATGCTGATAATGTTCACAGCGCTGTTACAGTATTTGGGGTGTTAATATTTTACTGAGACTTTTATGTCAAACCGGGATAAGATTGATTGGGGAACATGACCACACGAGTCGATCATCAGGCAGGAAGGACAAATAAAAGCCTTTTACGCACGGATAGCTTTGAAATGGTGATAAAACTATTTTTATGGAATAGATATCTCAGGAAAGGAAGACAGTATAGAAAGGTATACGTGATACGTAGAGCAATACCCATAAAAACGCATTGGGCAGGAAACAAAGGCTGGTTAGAATATATACACTGCAAAAACTGTAATGTTAATTTAACACCATTCGGTATCTATATAGAGCAACACCAGTAAAATTTAACACCAGATAGTCCTATATAGATACCAATGGTGTAAATTTAACACTGCAGTTTTTGCAGTGTACGGGCAGATCTGAAATGGAAATAAAACTATTAATACATGAAAATTAGGAAAAGAAGAAACTATAGACAAGTAGTTACTAGACCAGGTAGGCCTACACCAAAATGAAGATCTCGGGAAATAACTACGATCAATTGACATTTTATACTGCAAATGTGGTGTTACGGGTAACACAAATGACGTCATTTTTCCCCTGGAACCGATCAATACAGATTTATCACAGTATTAATTTTTACACTGCAGTGTTAATTTTACACCGAAGTGCCTGCATTGTAAAAGTACCGCGCAATAAACTATTTGTGGACATTTGAACCTCATACACTGCAAGAACTGGTGTTTAGCAATTATACATTCTTCTAAACACTTTCTTGTCATCACTTTGTAAACACGTTTAGCGTTGAGCAATTTAACATTGATGTTTAGGAATTGGACACGTAACGTTTAGCCTCTAAACATGTTTACAAAGTGAAGGCAAGATAATTGTGTTTAATTGCTAAACACAATTTTGGAGCGAAGGTTTGTCTTGATGACGACTGGCGAAAAATGTTGATTATTCAGAAGACGGTACCAATAGACCTTATGCATTAAGGAGGGGTCAGAGGGCGATGGTTGTGTATAGCTTGGAAAGGTATGAGTAAACCTTTTGTGCACTTATTGTTGTTGATTAAAATAACAAAGGCACCCTCTGAGTCACATGCAGCGCAAAAAGGTCTATTTCATTTAGCTGTAGTGAACAAGGAAATTTGCAATGTACAATAATATTTGCGTAAAAAAGGTCATCAGCCAAAATGTCACGGAATGTCATGCGGATTTTTTTTTCAGAACAATTTGTTGAGAGGTATTTGGACACAGAAGAATCTCAGTGTGTTGTATTTCATTGTATTTCAATGATGCTCTGCCATCTTACATTAAAAAGACAATGACAGACGTGCCGTGCAGATTTACATAAACATGCGAATGCCGTATTAACAACAATGTCAGACAACAGAAACATAGAGTTATCAATTGTTACAAAAAATTGAAACATTTTCGAAATACAAATTTATCAGGGAAAATTATGCAGGAACTTGAAAAAAACCAGCTGAATGGTTATCGCAGCCATCCATTCACAATAGGAATCCAAACAAAATTATTCATTTCAGAAATTCAAAGATCATCAAGATTATTATCAAACGACAATTTACACGTCACTTGCAAAGGTAAGAGTTGTTGATATCATTTTGTTAAGACATTAATCTCGTTACCAAACAAATTGTGAGTTGGCACAAACATGAGGGCTAGTTACCGTAAGGCGAAAACGAGGCTTGTGTCGTGGTGGAAGCTCCATTTTCGGTAATAATCTCAGAAACCGTTGCCGTGACGACGGAAGAAGCAATGATGGAACTCCCGCCAAACTCCTGCTGGTCGGTGAAGTTGTCGTCTGCTCGCGGTTTGTACAGCGGCGTGGAGGCGGGAAAATCCGACGGGTCTTGGAAAGTGTCGGTCGTCATGAAGGGAGTCGACGTGTCGGTCCAGCCTTTGTCGAACTGAGAATCAGTGTCGACACTAGGAGCTGTCGATGTCGGTGGTAGAGTGTGGATTCCTCCGGTGGATGATAAGAGAGTACTGGTTGTTGTCACTGTCTGAATGTCCGACTGTTCTGGAGGTGTTGGTGTCGATGTCTCAAGATCATTTGCGAGTGTAGCTGATACAGGAAGTCGTGTCCACGTTCCCGCCATTTCTACTTCAAGTCTTACAGAAGCAAATTAACCTCCAGGTCGAGTGAGGAAGACATAATCATTTACTTACATGCATTAACAGATTGATCCACCGCAGATGTAAGTAATAGACCATTAAGGTAGGCATACTAGACCCTTTGAGGTTCGTCATTTTCAAAGAAATCACAACGGGCGACGATGAAGAGTGAATTTTATGTAGCAATTAGCCTGGCATCATCCGATGTATTAGGCCAGGGATTGTTAATAACTCGTCTGTCTTCGTTTAACTTCACCGATGCACGAGAGGCAACGCACGTACGCGTGAGCCGGGGCTTTAGTGTCCTACGTGCCGAGATCGGGCCCGGGATGCGAAGTCCAGAACTGTCCCCATAACGCCCTAAACAGAAACTCTAGAATGATAACGAGTTTTTATAAGGCAATCTTGAGCGTACTATCCCGTCCTGGGGATATCTTTAAACACGTGTTCAACATGACGAAGTGGATCGGGTTGGACCGAACTGGGCATCGAGATCGCCCGTCCGAAGAGCTGAGACTGTCTGATCGTTGTAGTACGGACAAGGCGTGCATGCGCTGTATGATCAGACCCCGTACCGTATGCTGCTAGTTTGCGTGTTGCGCGGTGATGTTTACAAAATAATGCTCAGCGCCGGGGCTGCACGTGTGATGCCCGTACATGCCGTACGTGATCTATTGATGACGGTTCGTCGCGCGCAGATACAGCCTTAGCTTAGCTGCATCTTGGCGACATCATTTGACATCTCTGATTCTCAGCAGCCTCCAAGAACCTCGAAATTGTGGGTGTGGTCTGTGGTATGGCCACACCCCTTCAGCTTAAACCAAAATCATGGTTGAGACATTTTTAACAAATTCAACATCATTTTGTATTCTGTTACCACGCCGAGTGCGCGTAATCAAAGCATTACAAATGAAGCAGGGAAGATGTAACGGGACACGGTATAAGATGGAGGAAACGAGTCTTGGAGAATCCGGCGTCTTGTGTTACATATTAAGATTGGAGCAGACGTACTTGAGAAAACTGAGGTGTTTGCAAATGATGTGGTTGTGCCTGAGGTTGTGGGGCGGGAAGGGACTTTATGAAAAAGGTTAACGATTACGGTGAAGATAGTGGAGAACGAGGGAGATGGAGGCAAGAAATAAAAGTTGGGGATGGAAAGAAAATGGACAAGAAAAGGGTGAAATGAATAAAGGGGGTGTGGTGACAAGATGGTACTGATGATGTGATGTATTCGTGGTGATGGAAATGGTGGTGAGTGGTGATGGTGAGGGGTGATGCTTGTGGGTGAGTTGCAATGGCGGATCTACGAAGGGGTATAAATCTTATACCCCCTTGGTCCGCAAGAAACAGGAAAATCAGGCAGAAAAACATGACTGCTAAACCCACCTTGAGCCAAAGCTAGATCGCCCCTGGTCGTGGTGATGGAAATGGTGAAGGTTGTGGTGAGATGGTGATTTTGGCGAGGATGAAGACAATGACGATTATAAGAATGAGGAAGAAATGTGTAACAGTATGGGAGTAGCCTGGTTAATGTGTTGCAGCCAATCGTTGTCAGAAGAACATTGTATTTACAGTTAACTAACACAGCATACATTGAACTGAAGTTGAATATAAACACGACATTGGACATCTTTATTAAATTAAAATAAATTGTGCGCAATATATACAAAACAAGTCCAGCAAATGAACTCCGTCCAAATCTCACGAAGCAATAACGTGTACTTTATTTTTAGTTTCTTAGATGAAATGAAACCACTTCTCATCCTGCCGTGTCCTTAATGAGGAGAAAGCAAAGATTAGTACGCCAGAGGCGACCAGAGAACTCATTAACCATCCTCTGGGGTCTTAGAGAAAAGATTGATTGGAAACTTAAGACGTTAACAACACGGTCCAACCTCTACAAACAGGAAAAGTGTGGGACGAGGGCCATGCAGCTGGGACGCTAATTATAAACCCTACAGATATTACAATCTAAATTCGTTCCACGATGACGCATATCCGTATAGTAATTAATTTGACTGGCTTGACCATTATTTTGAGGAGAACGGATTAATTTATTTCACGGTTATAAAAGGTAAGCCGTTCAGTCGCAGTGTGATGGCAACACTTTAAACACAAACGAGCAATTCTCTATGCAAAACTGCGGTGTCAGTATAACACCGCTGTTATATAATTAGGATCGCTGGTGTAAAGCTTTACATCTATGGTCCTATAGGTACCACCGGTGTTCAATAGTTGCAGTTGGAAAATCAAAGCAACAACTGAGGCGGGATAGAAATAGACTAAGTAAACAGGATAAACAGATGATCATACAGCATTGAAGACGAAAGCTTGAGAAAATAGGCAAAAACTGCAAAGTCTAAGACAAAAGTTTGCCAATTAGGAGAAAGCTATTTTAAAAGTGCGAAGAAAAACGGAAGTGGAAGTAAATGCAAGCAGAAAGTAAAAACAAGCACGGATGGTGATACAAGAACCACATGTTATTTAGACACGGGACAAGTAGAAGTCGAGGCTAGAGACTTCGGTAAATATGTAAGGCGAAGGTGATGAAAAAAACTGGAGACAAACCCCAAGGTTTCAGCTTGGGAGATCTCCAATTCAGCTGGTGCTGCTAGTTGCTGGTCATGAGCCGAGGCTGCATTATTTGTTTATGTCCCCGTGGTTCAAATCCAACGGCAAATCCTGGACCCCTGGATAACGTCATCTATTTCCCCGGGACAGTCTCCAGAAATCCCCCAGATACTGCACAGTTTTGTTTGAACGGACAAAAAAAAAAAAAAATCGATGTTTAAAGGAGCTGCATTGCGGTGCGAAATGATCTGCCATCTGATGCATGACCTCTTAGATTTGCATATGACCTGTATGCAAATGAAGCACGCCGAATATCACATCTTACAATGTATCAAACATCTCAGCACAGAACTGTGGCCTGACGGTAATGAAGACAGCACAAGAAAATCATCAGTTTTAGCACATTTACACAATCTGAACATCGTGAGTTGAATACGTCATTTGCATTTGACCTGAATATGCAAATTAGATATGCAGATTATCACACCCTTTAATGTATACATGTACATCCACGACCTCCCAGCAAAAGAAATCAGGATAATAAAGACTGTTACACCACCAAAAGAAAATCGTTAGCATATGAAACTGAGAAGATGTCTTTAAATTTCTGAGTTGTATGGCCGGAAGTTCCAACTCTATCTCCACCCATCACAGGCCGTCAGCCAAGGTAGAGACCCTATGCAGGATTGCGTATTCAGCAGCCATGCAGGCTACCGTGCCCAGGGTCTCTGTAATAGCAAAGCTCTGCGACCTTTTGAATGCTTTTGCCGGTAGCACACTTCATTATACAAGACAAGCCCCCTGCAGGAACCATATGCGGTCAAAAAAGGTTCTAGGACCAAGGGATGGCCGATGAACTCCGAGGTCTGAAAAAGGCAGTGTTCTGATCGCTGCTTGTTTGTTGCTTACACAAGGAACTAAAAACTGCGTGCTGCAATTTTATTGGCTGAAAGGCATATCGAGCTTTGATTGGTCAGACTTTGATGGAAATGGCTCCTAGTTGTGATTGGCCAAACTCTAGACTGGTTCCTAATCCATCCAGCATCGGTTCTAACGTCGAATGTAGGGAGGGGATACCAGTCAAGATCAAACTCCTGACGCCATCCCGATTGGTCCAACTATGAATTTGTACTCCGGTTCGACCAATTGCTGACATGATTATGAGTACTTTGTACTTAAAAATGTGGTAAGTCTACTCTGATTTGGTCTACTGATTGACGTCTGTATTTAGATATGGTCAGCTTTCAAAATTATTGTTATCCGATTGGTCCATAGATTTTCCTGTATGCACGATGCACATTTACAAATTTGGCCTTCAGACGACTATCGACCAAAATCTAAGAAATCACCCAAATAAAACGCGTTCATTATTTAAGAAGGTATCCTCTCCTGAGAGATGCACCATACTTGAATATAATGAAAGAACAATATACAAGCAAAAAGTCAATATAAGATGAATAAATCTCTATAGCAACGAGGGAATTTTGACAAGCTAGCCTGAGGCGGCATTATTGTATCTTCAAAAACAATTTTTCCAAGAGCACTATACATGTCTTCCACGAAAGCCTTCTATTGATTGATATTTCTTTCTTCTTCTTCTTTTTTTGCCAAAGGGAGGATTAATCATAGTTAACAAACTCTTTGAAATGCGAGCTCTTTGTTGCGCTGTTACCTCGACAACGGGAAAGTACAATCTTGCGAGTTCGGGATTTGTCCAGAATGAGATCAAGGAAAGATGATATTGGGGGCATGCTGGTGCATGATATCTGTCAATTAACAGGTTGATTGATTGCTGAGACTTTCCCGTCCTTTCTCGCCGACTCGGCTCAGATTAAGGTTACAATCTCTCGATATGACATGGTCGATGAGAATGATATTGATCACATTGATTAATCGGGTACATGTGGGCACCGGGCATACATGTACATCTTTGCTTCATTTTGTTCAGTTTTATTCATGAGCTTAGGCACCGAAGGGGGGGGGGGTATTATGACATTACGAAGGTCTGGCCAAGTCAGAGTTTCTGTCAAGCGCCTTTGAAGAGAGCGAGTGGGTATAAACTTTGGTGAAATGTTAAGTTCTCATCAGATATAATGGAAAGAATCCACTGAAAAAAACTTGATGAAAACGTTGCAGAGAACAAATTGTATCCAATATGGCCGCCAAATCCAATATGGTTGCTGTCACAAAAATAAACAACAAAATTCAAAACATGACGCTTGTGTAACGATTTGTGAGAGTTGAAAGATCTCTCAGATAGTTCCCGTTTCTTTTTCTCATCATGCAGCTCCATTATCGCGAGATTTAGAGGACGAGTTTGAATGATTATCAAGCACTTTTATTCAGCCGTTGAGGGCGCTGTGATTTCAAATGAATAGTTTGACCATACGCACATGCATGAAACCTCACATAAACGCCAAAAATAAATCTCGCGTATTCATATCTCTTTCCCCCGTGATCCATGCATTAACCATTATAACAAGAGGACACGGGACACAACCTTAGAAGCCAGACCTACTGAGGGTTGCCGAGGCAACGATTTCAACAGTACCGCGCGCCTCGTGACGTCACGCAGACCGCGCGCTCTGATGTCATTCTGGTCAAGAGAAACAAGCTAACAGTATCTTGAGTGAGGCTCGCGCGAGACGTCAGCTAGGTAAATGCCAAATCCATTATGAGCACTGCTTGCATGTTTAACTGAGCTTGAGAAGGGGGAAACCGTTCATAATGTGTTAAAGGTAAGGGCAAGGGACACCATTTTCCATCGGTTTTTGCCGATTGAAGAAACAACAATACAAGAAGTCTGAAGCAGGTTATTAATTTAACTTCAGCTCAGTAGATATCGTACTTTTTGAGAAAACTGTGAAATACATCTTTATTTTTCTCGACGCAAAGCATTGATTTCTGTTGACAACGCGTTGGTTTAGTCCTAACCATTGCAGGGTAATGAAAGTAAATACCTTTTTTTTCAAAAAAAAAAAATGACGGCCACTAGGCGCAACGATTTCACAGGATGTTTGATCTTTACAATCAAGTAGGATATTACATGATATCTGGAGAGTTTCATTTTTAAATGCTTGCAAATTGGTATGCATTACATGTAAGCCACGGCTCAGCCAATATTAGGGTGTGTAGACTAGACCTTTATAATTGACTCACGCAAAAACCGTGAATAAAGGGCAACATTGTGTTACGCTCGGCTCATAAGTTATGTGGTCACTGAAAAACATTCGCTGTAAAGTTCTAGAATTATAGAAATATTTCAGCTTTCAGATTGTAGATTCACCAGAATTTATTGAAA